ATTGTCATGTTGTCTGTGCATCACAACACACTACATGATGTATGGTAGCTGTGACCATTTCCATTGATAGTTTGAAGATATTGAGGTATGAGTNCACTACATGATGTATGGTAGCTGTGACCATTTCCATTGATAGTTTGAAGATATTGAGGTATGAGTTAGATAATAGGTCCTTTTTTTTAATAGATACTGTATTGCACACAAAAAAAAAGGATATATACAGATGAAAGCACATGGCCATTTCCATTTCCTCTTGAGGTGGTGTAAATGAGAACCTACTGGAGGCAGCAGGGGAAGTAATCAAAATTGGCACACAGACTGGAAGTGTCAACATAAAAAGAACAGCAGAGTGTGATCAAGTTTCTATGGTCACAGGGACACACACTGGCAAACAGTCATTATGAAATGAGTACTACACATGGAGACAACTATGAGTCATAATGCCGTGTCTATAAGTGGTATGACAAGTTCACTGTAGGATGCACAAGTGTCATTGACAACAAGCAAACGGCCACAATGTTTGTGGCTGACGAGGCCGTGTTTGGGTGATCAGGCTGCTTGTCATCAATGACACTTGTGTGTCCTACAGCAAACTTGTCATACCACTAATAGGCATGACATTGTGAGATATAGTTTTCTCCATATGCAGCACTCATTTCATGATGAATGCTTGCTGGTGTGTGGCCCTGTGCCCATAGAAACCTAATCATACCCTGCTGCTCCTCACATGTTGACATTTCCAGTCTGTGGGCCAGTTTTAATTACTTCCCTGTTTTGATTTTATACTTCCCAGTTTTGATCACTTTCTGCTGCCTACAGTATGTTCTCATCTAAGCCACCTTGGGAGAAAATAGAAAAGGACATGTATTTTCATCTGTATATACAACTTTTTTTGCGTGCAATACTGTGAAATCTGTGAAAAAATTTGCTTGACCTTATTTTCTGACTTACACTTGTATTTCACCATTAAGGTGGTAGGGGAGGAAAAATCGACCATATGGGATTCAAAATCTGAAAAGTAATTGTTGTAGGGGGTCCCTAGGGAAGTGCAAAGAGGGGTCGCACAGTCACCTCCGACCCATAGTTTGGCCAAAAGTCTCACTGCCAAAGTTGCCGCTAGATGGCCACTTGATGAGTCGAATTCAAAGGACTACAACTCGGAAACCATTGGTCAGAGGAACCTGCAAATAACATATTTGGAAAGCTAAGACAATCTACTTTTAAATAAGGGGTCGAGATTCAAGCTGACTTAAAAGGTCAAAGGTCAAACAGCCATAAAACTGGGAATAGCCGAATTTTTTAGAACAGTATTTCGACCGCCATTCGGGCCACAGATCCACCACAGCCAAAAGCATGCATGCGATTTTAGAGGACCTATCGGTCGATCTGTACACCAAATCTCATGGGCCTTGTACAGAGCATTTTGGATCATCCAGAGAGTCTTTTCTATCGATCCCCAGATGGTCGATTTTTCCTCCCCTACCACCTTAATGGTGAATATACAAGTGTAAGTCAGAAAATAAGGTCAAGCAAATTTTTTCACAGATTTCACAGTATTGCACGCAAAAAAAGTTGCATATACAGATGAAAATACATGTCCTTTTCTATTTTCTCCCAAGGTGGCTTAGATGAGAACATACTGTAGGGAGCAGAAAGTGATCAAAACTGGGAAGTATAAAATCAAAACAGGGAAGTAATTAAAACTGGCCCACAGACTGGAAATGTCAGCATGTGAGGAGCAGCAGGGTATGATCAGGTTTCTATGGGCACAGGGCCACACACCAGCAAGCATTCATCTTGAAATGAGTGCTGCATATGGAGAAAACTATATTTCACAATGTCATGTCTATTAGTGGTATGACAAGTTTGCTGTAGGACACACAAGTGTCATTGATGACAAGCAGCCTGATCACCCAAACACGGCCTCGTCAGCCACAAACATTGTGGCAGTTTGCTTGTTGTCAATGACACTTGTGCATCCTACAGTGAACTTGTCATACCACTTATAGACACTGCATTATGACTCATAGTTGTCTCCATGTGTAGTACTCATTTCATAATGACTGTTTGCCAGTGTGTGTCCCTGTGACCATAGAAACTTGATCACACTCTGCTGTTCCTTAATACAACTGTGAAGGTCAGACACACGGTTAAAACTAATGAAGGGGACGACGGAGGTCATCCAAGAGTAAATGTGGTGGAGTTCTCCTTTACCTTTACCGGTACACGAAAGTAGACATATATAGGAAATTTTTTGTGTGCAATACAGTATCTATTAAAAAAAAGGACCTATTATCTATGAGTATGGAGTTATAGAAGTTTGATAGTTACCTTTACCAGTGTCGATGGTATGTAGTACATCACACAACACTACGTGTCTGTTGTACTGTTAACCTTTTCCATGTCACAAGAAGTTGAATTCAGAAAAACTGAAAAATTTAAACTACTTTCCCCCTGGATCTCCTGCAATTAGTCCAGAAGGGCCACATTATCAAAGTCCTTAATATTCCTTAAATGCATAATACAATCCCAGCTTATTAAGATTCTTAACCCCTTAACGGTGTCAACCATGCATGAGTGACATCTGATTTCCTTTTAACAACACAGTTGAGACTTTATAAAGCTAATAAACTGCTACCAAGAGGAAAAGGTGATGGTGTTGAAGGATTGAAAATCCATTTTTTTCCATCTGTATTGAAATTTATCACTTCATTGACTTGTATAACATTGTCAAAATAAAAGTTATATTTTTTAATTCTCAAAAAAACCTGATAGAGTAGAAAATTAATTAGTAGTTGAGGGGTTTACTCTTTCTGCTCCATTTTTCTACAGCACTGCAAATGATGCCAAACCCAGTTCAACGAAGGAACAGAAGGGGTTAAAATCTAATGTAGTCATGAAGGATTTAGTTTCTAAACACCATTCCTATGGATGACCCAGTAACTTGAGTATCTTTCTATTATGTACAGAATGTCCCAGAATTCCTGTTGCAATTTTATTTTTTGTATTCTCTGTAATTGGTTTATCACATTGGTAAGTCATGTTTTTTCATTCAACTAGTAATCTGAATGCTGTCTGCTGCTTTGTTGTGAGGATGCCATATATACCTTAGCTTTTACTGAGAAAATGTTTTTAAAATGTATATAATACAGGAATTCTGAGACACTCACACATAGTCGGGAAACAGTTTCTGAGAATGTTCTACGACCTTGGTACCAACTTTGGAGATAAAGTGGATGGACTAAACAAAGTCCGTTACTCTCTCACGAGTACAAACGGTCTCTGTTCCTCTAGGGTGGTGTTGACATAAACATGCCCATGTACCACATTATACCACCAATCTCCTCTTCATCACATGATGTGCAGCTAGATTTTGATGCTAAAACCAAAACCATTTACTGGACAGATAATCTTCTCTTCCTTTATGCTACGAGACCTGAAAGATTACACTCGAGTCTACAGTAGTAACTGCAATCACCACTCATAGTCTACAAAAGGTGATATAGTATTAATCCCTGACTTAAAAGTGTGACCTTGAGGAACGCTAATTCTTGAGGCAAAGGAATGAAATGGAAAAAGTACATCAGAAAATATAAGTCTGGTCTCAAGATACTAGTAGTTATCAAATTTATGTTTTTAATCTTTTTTCTCTTGCAAAAGAAATTTATGAATGCATACGAGCATGAAAATCTGGTCCCTAATCATAATCATATCCTAAGATATTCTGCGTTTCTTTCAAGACTTTGTCATACTTTCTTTTAACCCCTTGCCTATGCATTTTCTTGATACTAGTCCTAGTTTCTTGTGGATACTAAGCTGTCAAGTTTTGAACAACACATCTTTTGTCCAGTTTTTATTATTTTAATTCTCTGTGAAAGTTCAAACTTACAAGGAAAAACGCATTTCCTACTTGAGCTTTCTTTAAGAATAAAATAAACTAAACAAATAAGCTCATTTGAAAAATTAAATAAGAATTCCTGGAAGTGCCATGGGAGGTGCTCACTCAAGTATTCTTAGGGATGACAGTTAAGTGTTCCATGCTTTAACCTTTCTGGTTTGAATCTCTAGGCAACCTTTAGCATGCTCACATATGCATGGCAGATTTATTTAATTTTCATATGTTATGAATTCCCTAAATTTGTTTGCATTTTTGCAAAGATTGTAAAGCAGAGAATGTAACCCTGCCAAATTTTGACAAGTTGATTTAAAGACAAGCAATAACAGTTTTTATCAAACTGTAAATGTAAAAATAGCTCTCATGTGTCCCTCCATGTGTAACTTGACATTCATCTGTTTTATGAAAAACATTTGAAACTAGGCGAATAGTTCAGTGCACCTTTCAGCCATTAATGTGTAAAATATAAAGCCATACTATGTCCTATCCTGGAGATTCAAGCCATCATGTCATCTGACAATAATGTAAGACATCTTTATGTAAAATCAGAGTAGGGATGCATATAAATTAATTGCTTCTGCTCAATTAGTCTGAATCTAATGAATCTTATAACCATGTGGTCATGTGTTATTGTTGATCTTTTATCTCTAATACATACGAGATATCAGTGGGTTAAGTTGGCATAATACTGCACCAGACATAGGCAAGGGATTAAGTTGGTTCTTTGCCCTTCAGTGCCAGTCTATGAAGATTGCTGTTTATGTTTTATTTTTTCTTCATAGTACTTGGACAACCCAGTGGCTTAGCTGTGGATTGGATATCTCGTCTCTTATACATCTCATCAAATGACTCACTTCTTGTGTCTTCTCTTAAAGGGGAGTATCTCAGCTTCCTAATGAAAGGAACTGGTACTGAGGTAAATTCTTTGGACCTATTTCCCTACAGTGACATAGAGAGCTTCTCATTGCATTAGTTACTTTAGTCAGTTTGCAGTCAAGTTTTTCCAATCNCAGCCCTTTGTCAAAGACTCTTACAAGATGCTGGAACCATGGTTGAAACCTCTATTTCACCTACCTGATTTGTTTCAGGCAATGAGAGAGTGCTCATGTTTGCCAGAGACAAGGAGATCCGTGGTGTTGACATAAACATGCCCTTGTACCACATTATACCACCAATCTCCTCTTCATCACATGATGTGCAGCTAGATTTTGATGCTAAAACCAAAACCATTTACTGGACAGATAATCTTCAGAAGGAAATACGATGCTCTGGACTTTCTAATGTGAGCTCAGATGTCATCATTGACGTTAGTGGTGAGTATCAGATGTTTTCCACTATATCATAATTAGGGACTGAATTTTCACACTGGAACTCCTTTGCTAATTCTTGAGGCAAAGGAATGAAACGGAAAAAGCACATCAGAAAATATAAGTCTGGTCTCAAGATACTAGTAGTTATCAAATTTATATGTTTTGAATCTTTTTTCTCTTGCAAAAGAAATTTATGAATGCATACGAGCATGAAAATCTGGTCCCTAATCATAATCATATCCTAAGATATTCTGCATTTCTTTCAAGACTTTGTCATACTTTCTTTTAACCCCTTGCCTATGTATTTTCTTGATACTAGTCCCAGTTTCTTGTGGATACTAAGCTGTCAAGTTTTGAAACTGAATTTTCACATCTTTTGTCCAGTTTTTATTATTTTAATTCTCTGTGAAAGTTCAAACTTACAAGGAAAAACACATTTCCTACTTGAGCTTTCTTTAAGAATAAAATAAACTAAACAAATAAGCTCATCTGAAAAATTAAATAAGAATTCCTGGAAGTGCCATGGGAGGTGCTCACACAAGTATTCTTAGGGATGACAATTAAGTGTTCCATGCTTTAACCTTTCTGGTTTGAATCTCTAGGCAACTTTTAGCATGCTCACATATGCATGGCAGATTTATTTAATTTTCATATGTTATGAATTCCCTAAATTTGTTTGCATTTTTGCAAAGATTGTAGAGCAGAGAATGTAACCCTGCCAAATTTTGACAAGTTGATTTAAAGACAAGCAATAACAGTTTTTATCAAACTGTAAATGTAAAAATAGCTCTCATGTGTCCCTCCATGTGTAACCTGACATTCATTTGTTTTATGAAAAACATTTGAAACTAGGCAAATAGTTCAGTGCACCTTTCAGCCATTAATGTGTAAAATATAAAGCCATACTATGTCCTATCCTGGAGATTCAAGCCATCATGTCATCTGACAATAATGTAAGACATCTTTATGTAAAATCAGAGTAGGGATGCATATAAATTAATTGCTTCTGCTCAATTAGTCTGAATCTAATGAATCTTATAACCATGTGGTCATGTGTTATTGTTGATCTTTTATCTCTAATACATACGAGATATCAGTGGGTTAAGTTGGCATAATACTGCACCAGACATAGGCAAGGGATTAAGTTGGTTCTTTGCCCTTCAGTGCCAGTCTATGAAGATTGCTGTTTATGTTTTATTTTTTCTTCATAGTACTTGGACAACCCAGTGGCTTAGCTGTGGATTGGATATCTCGTCTCTTATACATCTCATCAAATGACTCACTTCTTGTGTCTTCTCTTAAAGGGGAGTATCTCAGCTTCCTAATGAAAGGAACTGGTACTGAGGTAAATTCTTTGGACCTATTTCCCTACAGTGACATAGAGAGCTTCTCATTGCATTAGTTACTTTAGTCAGTTTGCAGTCAAGTTTTTCCAATCCAGTCTGAAATTTGGGGGTGTCTTACTGTGCATGACCTTATAAAGTCTGATCTGGCTCTTGGATGCCATTATTTGGACCAATGATTGTGGTGTGAAGATTTGTTGTTCATCCAGCTTTTCAGTATTTTACAGTGGACCCATGAAGCCCTTCAATAATTTCAGGAGTTTGTCATACCAGTCATCTAATACTTGAATTGAAAGAGTCCAAAAGTTGTGGTGGATATCACCCCCAATGTGCAAGGCTTCTGATGCTATGCCATTGGCCAGGCCATCCACGGCCTAAAGCACTATGCCTATAAGGTTTTGCTATTCTTGGTTCATAGGCTGGGCTGAAAGCAGTGGTGAATGGTTGTCACTCATCAGCAGCCTAAAACACAAGTTTAAGCCATTGACTATGGAATCTTATCTTCATAGGCTTCATACTTACTGACGCCCAATTATTGCTTGACACAGCTCACAATGAATGTGCATCGCATTTCCGCCAACTGACTGCAGGTTCTCATTATTCCTCATTTGTCACTTTTCGAATTTGTAATTATCTTTTTTCATTCATGATTCATTCCTTCATTCATGATTTATTTGTGAGGTGTCTATAAAAATAAATTTAGCTGGGCAGCAACACTTTCAAACTTCTCAGGGTTTGTTTTAAAATTTTTTGTTTGGTCTGGACCAAACTGCTTCATATCTTTTTGTAAGCATTTTCCTATTTCTGCCCATTAGATGGCCAGCATAGTGGCTGCAGGCCACTAGTCATATTTTATTCTGTTTTCGATTATGATTTGTGGACTGGTCACCCAGCTTGACAATTTTATTGTCAAGCACTGCTTATGTGGTAATTGTTACCATCAGTCAAAGTTTTTTTGAAATACTCTGTATTTCTGGGAATTCCTGTTGATTCAGCCTATGCAGCAATCCAGCTGGATCATTTTATGTCTTTTCTCCACAATATTTCTTTCCATCTGGAGGTGTATGAAGGGAATGCATTGCATCAGAGAATGTTTATTGTTTTAAAAGGAAACTCCACAGACAAGCCAGAGCCTTTGGATGGTTAGCTCACCAAGACACCATGGTAGCAGTACAAATTCGTTTTTATTTTTCAAATTTTTTAAATGTCTCCTTTTTAGTTGTGGCTACAACTTAACCCTCTCCCAGCCATAGTGCTTGAAAGCATTCTTGACAAGTTTGTCACTCCCAGCCAAGTCGGTCATAGGCATTCTTTTTTTTTGAAGGACTCCTAGTTTCACCTGTTGGACCATTGAGCTAGTATTTGGTGCTTTGACAGTTTATCCAGATTACGTTTTGTAAAATAATACAGTAATAAGGTAATATCTGGGGAATCAAGGCTTTGGAATAGGGCTGGGAGAGGGTTAAGCAACAGCTGTACATGCACCTCTGTAGCACACCTACGATGGGTCCTTCATACTGAATGCATGCACTTTATGCTGCATTCTTGGAAACAACTGCCTAATGTACAGGAAAAACTCATTAACTCAAATCCTGATAAGTCTAAGTTCTGCTTATGTGAAAGTTCTATGCTTGGTCCCAACTGAATCCTGTAAGTCACCATGTTAAATATTTCATTTGACTCGAATTTGCTTATCTCAAATTTCCTGATATCTTGGATAAAATGTTCACTCCAGATTACAATTTTCTCATGGTTAACTTGAAATTGGGATGTGAATAGGGGAAAAATTATTGTGGGATCTATCAATTTGTTGAATAGGCGAAAGGCAAGAAACCTGTTTGGGAGAAAATCCTTTTGCTTCTTTTTTTTTCTTCCTCCTCCCTCACAGATGCCTGTAGAGAGGATTAAACCTGAGGATAAAATTAAGCAACCTCCAGCACATACCCCATCTATTCCACTTCCAACCAGTCCAGTCATATTTGGTTTCCAGAGTACTGGATGAAGGGTGTTGTGATTAGTAAATTTTGCATGAGGAGTATCAACCCTAGACATGAATAAAAGCCAATTATAATGAGAAGGTCGTTGCTCCTTGAAATTGGATTCTTGAGGACAAAAAAAAAATCTCCCTAGGGGAGTGGCACCAGTTCGCAAACAGGGATCCAGTCAGCGAACGAGGGTCATGAAATGTGATTTGGTCTTTTGTTTCTCGAGTTACACGCTCCAGCTTTTGGTATCTGCAGAAAATGGATTGATTGATTAATTAATGCTTGGGATGGAGAGTGAAACTAGAGTAACAAAAGGCCAAATCGCATTTCATAACCCTCGTTTGTTGCAGAAAATGGATTGATTGATTAATTAATGCTTGGGATGGAGAGTGAAACTAGAGTAACAAAAGGCCAAATCGCATTTCATGACCCTCGTTTGCAAACTGGCTCCCTGTTCGCGAACTGGTGCTGCTCCCCTATTACATCCGCTGACTGAGTAATTTTAAATTTTATTTTATTTTATTTTTTTTTTTAGAGGTAGAGGCAATTCCTGATAAGTTGAACTTTGGATAGCTCGAAACGATTTTCCAAAAAGTTCGAGTTAATGAGTTTTTACTGTGTTTCTGATGGCCAAAAGGGAATCTGCCCAGCATTATTATGTGCCACTTTAACCCCTTGAGTGGGGAATGTGCAAACATTAATCTTGGTCAATGGTCAATTAATGGTGGAAATCCAAGAAAAGCTACCCTAAGGTGACATTTCCACCCAGTAATGCTCTTCATTGGGGCTGTACCAAAGGACCAGCTAAATTGGCTGCCATTATGGTATCATCTGTAACATAGACCAAAGGCATATTTTTGCACTGCTGATGCCAACACCTCTCTCCTAAAATATTAAGGAGAGGAACATGTGCATGTCACTGTGGCTTAGTGCCAGACTTGCCCATCACTTCTCCAAGAAATGGAACAGGTGTTTCCAACTTCTTCCACAAAAATATCAGAATATTACATGGCATGATTCAGTCACACTCTGACTGTCACCTGCGTAGAAACGTAGCTCAAGGACTTCTGTTGGACTTTCCTCTCATATTCAGGATAATGTAGACCTAAGGGTTAGAATTAGAATTAACATGTTCTGCCCATGATAAAAAATTTCTCACCACCCTCCAGCAAAATTTCAATATTTTGCATTGACTAAGATGATGACAATGAGCATCCTATCTCACAAAGGTGATCTCAGACTCCCAAGCAAGTATATGGAATTGAGAGGGAGTGTCACAAGTCTGCATGGAAAAAGTTAAAAGCTGTGATAATGTTGAATAATAAATTTGCTGATTTTGTTCCCTCTCTATTCTCCACAGTGAGCATCAGCACTGGCCTATGTGCCATGACTGGCCATTGGCAAAATACTGCCGTCAGTGTACCACTATCTTTAATGCATAAAAACTATTTGCAGGACAGGATCAGTTGCTAGCAACTATCAACTTGACTTAGTGTTTGGGGTTACCTGTAGGTGCCTACAATAAGTTGAAGGAGTCAATGTGACATTTCTGTAGGCTATCCAAATGAAACCTGTTGTCTGAAAACCATGCCATTTATGAGCCTTGGAGATTTTGAACACATTCACTGACAGATAAAGGAATTTGCAAAAGCATTTGCCTCTGAACAGTAATTTAGGATTCCAATCATCCTATTTCATCTTAGTTGAGTTCACTGGCATTGAATCCTGAAGAAGGGAAGTTGTTCTGGATCCAGCGTCAGAATTCAGCATGGTCTGTTGTGAAGGCTCAAGGAGATGGTGAAATGAAAGAATCTATTCACTCTTCATCTGCTTTATTGTCATGTGGGTTATTTCATGATCATCTTTCTTTACTGTTTTATCCCCTCCTGCCATTCTTTGGCCTTATCATTTTCATCTTTCTTCAGGCTTGTCATATGAAGCAAGAGGAATGTCCCTGTTTTGGGTCAGTAGTGACACTACAGAAATTGAGTACATCTCATTGAAGGAAAATAGAGTCAGAAAAATAAAAATGGACATGAAAGTCTCCATCATCACTGTTTATGGTGACCTGATATTTTATGCATCTGGTCCTGAATCTACTCTTCATGCTTATAACACCACTATCCACAAAAGTGCTCATCTGCAAGGGACCATTGGCAAGTTTAAACTTTCTCTCAGTATTGTACAGATGCCTCTGAATATTTATACTCATATTGCAACGATGACCATCATGATGCCTTGGCGCATGTGATTTTGTTCTCAGATGGGATCAAGACCTTGAGGGTGTATGATGCTGATCTTCAGCAAGGAAGCAATCCATGTGTGACTCATGGTGGTTGTTCACATTTGTGCTTACCAATATCCAAGACTGCCCATGTTTGCAAGTGTGCTGATGGATTCTTGGCTTCTGGACACAATGGATCCCAGTGTGCAGGTGAGAAGCTTCCCCCCCCCCTTTTTTTTATTTTTTATTTTTTTATTTACTTACAAACATACCATGAGGCAAACACATGACAAATGGGATATTATAATTTATGGAAGGAAGGAGATGCCTGCTTGGCTCAGGTATCACAACCAAGATTACTCCCGCAGACAGGGACAGATCACAGGTTGCCCAGGCCCATGACTTTAACTCCTCAAATGTGTGTGACAGCATACTCAGAACTGTTGCTGGTTTTCAGTAAAGTCACGCTTGGATGGTTAATTTACTAAGTGATTTTTAAGGCGTACTCCATCCATATCTCAAATGGTACACATATTGGTGTGTGTATCTTCTCACTGTTAAGTGGATACTTTTCAGAAAGCAGGTGGACCATCTGCTGTTGAAAAAATTGCTGACCATTGCAGGAGATTGAGCTATAGCTCAATCTCCTGCCCCCCAGGTTGACTAGAAAGCCTGAACCACTTATCCCCTAAACCTAGTGGGAAGTTACACTTGCTTTCAGCTTATCTACATATTTCAGATTTTGGCTGCTTTTGGCAAGTTCTAATGAATTGGGCCATTCGTGTGGTTATATCTTGCACTTTTGTGTGGTAGTGAGACTTAGAATGTAGCACTTTTGTACTTCAAAATACCAGTGCAACAGACCTACAGTCCCTTTCCTGCATTGTAACAGATGGATTCTAATATTGCTGTGCCATTATGTGAATATTACTGGGTTATGTCTGTTGATTCCTCTTCATAATCTGATTAGAATAAGAAAATATGCCAATACAGTCAACCCTCAGTATACTGCCATCCTCACTGATCACCAACTCTTTCCTGTGAATAAATCTTTCCCGTATCATAGTCACTCCCCTGTTAATGTACTAGCCTCACAAGCTACCATCCACCAATACTGCTATTTGTACAAACATGCTTTTGCTTGCTTAAATCCTCAATTTTGCTCCAAGTAGCAAATGTGCTGCAACCCTTATCCAGTAAAAAAAAATACTAACCACAGAAAAACTAAACTGAACTACAAGCTAAATACATCTACATACATGTTGCTACTATATGAGATGACTCAATGCCCTGGAATTGATAGTGAATATTACTAGTGTAGAGTATCAGAAGGGAATACGGATTGCAATATAAGCTTCACATCCATTTAGTCATTTTGTCTTTCAGAGATTTTGTTATAACCATTAGCATGTTGTGGGTCATTTGATATAGTGCCATCCTCATTAGAGCATCTAATTCAGTGATAACCAACAATGGCATTATATCAAGTGTTCACTGTATACAATATCACATGAATGAGAAAGAGGCTATACAGTGCTGAGAATTTACCAGAACAACACAGCTGGAGACCATTTGATGGCTGCCATTTTATCACAATTACACCTGATTATTACATTTAGCTCTAGCTTGCTGACGACAAATGCTCTGGATAAACACTTTCACATCTTCTGACAAGTGGTTTACTGTTCACCAAGTACAGAGGGTGATCAAAGAAGATCTGCATTTTGTTTATGCAATGAGAAAAACTGATGTGTTTATTTCAATTAAAAAGCACATAACATGGTTTATTGTGCCAACGATTTTCCTGCCTCACATTTCCAGATGGGGAAAAAAGGAGCTCATGAAAGAGCAGGATGGCACCATTTTTTACTGCCATAAATGAGGTGACTCATATCAGAAAATCACAAAAACAGTCTGATGTGGTCTTGCAACTGTCTGTCATGCATTGAAACGATATGTCAAGACCGGATCCACCAACTCCAGGCCACATTCAGGACAACCATGCCGAATTGACACACACCAGCATTGTCACCATTTCTCTCTGGTGTGTGTCAGCACAGGCATTTAATCAAGTAATTTTAAGCTTTCAAGTAAATTTAATCATTTAATCAGAAACTTTTGATCACCCTCTTTATTAGGAGTCCTTCCTCATATATCTATGTATGAACTACTTTGTATTGGGTGGCAGACAGGACTAAATTGATAGATGACTGGTTTCACTATAATGACTGTTCATGTGATCAGGTTGGTGTACTCAACTCTTTCAGTCCCATACCCATCATATGACAGGGATAAGCCATAGTGCATTAAAATCCTCAGGGCTAAAAGTGCTAAGTCAATAAATAGGTTTGGCAAGTATGTTGATCTACCTGCTTGAAATGGTAAGCATATGCCTAGTATTTCATTGGGATGGAGACTGGTGTAATATAATCTTTTAGGAATTTCCATTCATGTATGATCATATCAGAGCATGGTGACAAGGTCAGTTTTCCTCATTTTCAGGGCATGACCCATTCCTTATGTACTCAGTGGACTCAGAAATAGCTGGCCTCAATTTGGAGAAGAATTCTTCAAATATGGTTCTCATGCCCCCATCAGGAGTATCATCTGCCACATCCTTGGATTTTCATGCAGGTATTGGTGTGATGCCCCATTACATGGACTTATATCACAATTTTACTAATTACAATTAATAAAAGTCGAATTACAACAAATTCTACTTAATTTTTTTTTTCCAGAGAAAGGATACATCTATTGGGCAGACAATGAACAAGGTAGAATAAGTCGTGTTCGTCGGGATGGTACCAATCGTGAAGTCGTCATCCAAGGTGTTGAATCAGGCATAGAAGGATTGGCTGTTGATTGGATTGCAGGTTTGTTGAGTGTGATAACTACTGCAATATGCAGTCTTATTTTCCATTTTACTCTTTGCTGCAACTATCATCTGAAATAGGAAATTTATACTGGACCAACTCAAAACTGAATCTCATCATGGTGGCACATCTAAATGGTTCAAGTCAAATGGTCATTGCTACTGGAAATGCTCCTTCAGCGATTGCTGTGCATCCAAGTAAAGGATTAATTTTCTGGAGTTCTCGGAGCCCATCTTCATCACCCTCCAATTTGCAACAAAATGTTACCAAGTTCTCCTTATCTTATGGTATCATTCGGGCTCACATGGATGGGACTGATCAATCCACCATTCACAATTCTACTGCTGCAGATATATCCATTGACTATGAGGTGAGACACAGATTAGCTTGATTTTTGCCACAATGCTCACTGATGTAGGCCTATGTGCAATTTCCTTGTTAATTTTTTTCTTTTTTTTAAGGAGGACAAGTTGTATTGGTGTGATGTCCTGAATCGAAAGATTTTGAGAATGAATTTAGATGGAACCCGTGTGGAAGTTATTATTGGCAAAATAGCTACAGGTAGAATGCCAATAGCACTGACTCTATATAGGGACAGTATCTATTGGCTAGATATGTGAGTTTCCATTCCTTGTATTTTATCCATTTGGTCATTCCATGCCATATCGACCAGTGAGAAAGCTCAACCATCTTGGATTTTGACGGAAATCGCCATACATGTAGAAGCATCAATTTAAGGAATATAATTTCAGTCAATTTGTTTTCTTTCCCTCTGATCTCCAGATATTTGCATTTTAATTTGACCTAATTTTCGATCCCAGCGCCCATACAAACTGGAATTGTGAAACAGTTTCTGCAATAAATTCCCCTCTAGTTAAGATATAAGCTTCATTTTGGTTTCATTTTAAATAGTGAGATTGCCCTCTTTAAATTGATTCCAAGTATTATCCTCCTAAGCTGAAACAAGAAGTTCCACTATATCAAACAGTTTGATCAAGTTCAGTGGTCAATATTGACACTTACCACCTTGGGAATTTTTTGTTCCAATATTTCCTTTAAAAGTGCATGGTATGCCATTTCTGATGATACCAAGATCGAGATTGGCACTCAATGGCTTGATGAGATATGAATTTTTACCTGCAGCAGTTGTGCCAAAATTTCACTTGCTCAAACACTTTGACCGACTTCAATGACCTACCAATCCACTTTCCACTCCGTGAATCCCAGACTTATAATTCATCAATGAGAAGGGCGTGTTATTGCCTTTCTAATGATACCAAATTCAAGGTTGGCACTCATGGGATTCACGAGGCATAACAGTTTGATTGCATTGACAATGCATTTATAGTTACATCAGGGGAATCACAGCAATATAGCCCAATGTTATGAAGCTCTAGTTGTAAAATTTTTGCTGGTTGCATAGATTTTTAATAAAATTACTTGCATTCTATTATTTTTATGTAATTGCATAATTAATTTAAAGTTAATTAGGTGAGTTAATTGATTAATTTCTGTTCAAAAATTATTCTTTTGTAATTTTGTATGCTAGGAAAACAATTAAATGCTAAAAATTAGAAACCAGCAAAAATTTTACAACTAGAGCTTCATAACATTGGGCTATATTGCTGTGATTCCCCTGGTGTAACTATAAATGCATTGTCAATGCAATCAAACTGTTATGCCTCGTGAATCCCATGAGTGCCAACCTTGAATTTGGTATCATTAGAAAGGCAATAACACGCCCTTCTCATTGATGAATTATAAGTCGGGATTCACGGAGTGGAAAGTGGATTGGTAGGTCATTGAAGTCGGTCAAAGTGTTTGAGCAAGTGAAATTTTGGCACAACTGCTGCAGGTAAAAATTCATACCTCGTCAAGCCATTATCTCGATCTTGGTATCATCAGAAATGGCATACCATGCACTTTTAAAGGAAATATTGGGACAAAGAATTCCCAAGGTGGCAAGTGTCAATATTGGCCACTGAACTTGATCAAACTGTTTGATATAGTGGAACTTCTTGTTTCAGCTTAGGAGGATAATACTTGGAATCAATTTAAAGAGGGCAATCTCATGATTAAAATGAAACCAAAATGAAGCTTATATCTTAACTAGAGGGGAACTTATTGCAGAAACTGTTTCACAATTCCAGTTTGTATAGGTGCTGGGATCGAAAATTAGGTCAAATTAAAATGCAAATATCTGGAGATCAGAGGGAAAGAAAACAAATTGACTGAAATTATATTCCTTAAATTGATGCTTCTACATGTATGGCGATTTCCATCAAAATCCAAGATGGTTGAGCTTTCTCGCTGGTCGATTTTGCGTAGAATGACCCCATTCTATAAGTGATTTTTTAAAATTTTCTCTCAACACTATATTACATCAATCTTCCTTAGCACCAAGGATGGCTATTGTTAGTCCTTGCTCATTTTATAGGTGCTGTGAAGGTGAGGTTTTGAAAGCCCCCAAGAATAATGGCACTTCAAATTTCACAGTATTGAAGGTCCTCATGACTCAGCAACTCAAAGACATTGAAGTTTGGAGCCAGAGTAGGCAACAAGGTGTCAATCCTTGTGCTAAAGACAATGGAGGATGCCAGGATCTGTGTTTGTTCAATGGCACTACTGTCATATGTCAGTGTGCTCATGGGAAAGTAGCAGCTGATGGAACATCGTGCAGAGGTAATCCTTTTTTTTCTTATTCTCCTTAAATTCCTCATATCCATCTTACTTTTGCCTTCTTGAATCTGTCTTCCTCACACCATGGATCAGTACCAGTGTATATTGTTGTATATTTTCAGATCATGACGTATTTATCCTCTATTCAAGCGTCTCAAGTGTGAAATCCATCCATATTTTTGGAGGGTTGAGTCATAACAGCCCCTTGAAACCGATTGATGGGGAGGGACAGATGAAAAATGCAATTGGCTTGGCTTTTGATTACAAGAGGAAACTTCTTTATTATTCTGACATTGGGAAGAGCACCATCAATAAAATATTCTTCAATAATACTGGGTTGGATGTTATTGCCTCAGGTAAGATTCCTTCCTTTTCTCATGAATGACTATGACATGATGTTCCCAGCTCTCCCTGTTTCAGTTGGGGAAATGAAATCCTTTATTTTATCCAGATCAAGGAGCAGTCGAAGCACTAGCATATGAGCCAATTGGTCATGAGCTGTTTTGGACATGTAGCTCAGATTCCACTTTGAAACGATTGCAGCTGGATACCAGTACATCAAATACTGAGATAGAGAAAATTGTCATCCTAAGGTTTGATGACAAGCCAAGAGGCATAGCACTGGACAGCTGCAAAGCGTGAGTTACTAGCCTATTTGCTACTTCCCCCCCCAAAAAAACAAAAAAAAACAGGGTGAAGTCAATTACTTCATTATTTGCTCCATGCTTCTATCATGGAGTGGAATCTAACTGCTATGATGAGAATTTTTCATGTTTTCACTATATGTATGTGGTATTATTCTGAAATAAGGTAAGCTGAGGATGTATTGAACAAAAAGCTTAAACATATGGTAAATGAAAATAATGCATTGACTGCCACAGAATTTTGCATTTCAATGGTCATTCAGTCATTTGATCCCCCTAAAACATGTCCTATCATGTCCACTTACATTTTGGGTGTTACTAAATATATCCCAACTTATAAAATAAGAAGGTCCAGGATTACTGAACAAAAACTGTGTAGTCAAATAAATGAGCTATAGGCAAGCCATCTGACAGTTACTAAAATACAAAGATTTCCTGCAATTGAAGTGCGATGATGCCTAAATTGCTTCTGTTTTAAATTCATTCATGGTGGGTGCTTGGATAAAGAGTCTACTTCTGCTTATGGATGGCTAAAAGGAACCACCTCACCATGGTGGTGTTTCCAGGGCAATGCCAAGGCCCTTCAACAGATTTTAATTCAAGTAAATGTATAAATATACAACATAGTATATTGTTTGTTTTGCATTGTAACTTGTGCACTGGTTAGGTCAGACTCATAAAAGTTGTTATTCTAGTACTGGGTGGGCCAAAAAAAAATATAAAGCTGTCATTTATGGTGAGCTGTCAATCAAGTTGTTGGCTGCAGAGTCTGATGAAATTTGGTTGGCAAATAGGGCAACACTATTGCAGTTTGTATGCCGAATTTCTCCTTTCTGACTAATGTTATTGAAGCTGTTATTTTCTGATGAGCTACAAGGAAATGTTTTCACTAAACCCAATGCTTAAGAACTAACTATAAACACATACCAAGGGAGCTGCATTCCTTCTTTGTTGAGCTGAAATAGTGAGAAAGTCAACAACCTCTTTTGGAGGATGATGGGTCAGTTGGGTTAGAAAATAATCGCAGCCTTTGACCGTGACCCTTTCCAACCCAACATCATCATCCACCAAAATAGGTTGACTTTCTCACTCTTTGGCCTTTGACACAAAACCTGGAAGAAAATAATGGGGGTCCACCAACTGTGCTAGTGCAATGACAGGTCTTACCAGAATGACAAACACTACTGGAAGGGCACAGGAAAACACGCCATGAGAATGAAAAATATACTACCAATATATCTATATAGGCATATGTATGATATTAACACTTATTTGCTCCCAAAGGTATGGTAACAGATTCTAAAGTTAACCCCCCTTGGCATCTCTTTTTGATCCACCTCCCAAGCAAGTGAGGTTTTACTTGCTCAGCTGGGAGGTAGATCACACCTTATGGTAGAGTGCATGCTATGCAGGCACCCTTTTTTTATTTGATATTTTCACCATAACTGTAATCTGTATCTATTCAAAAGATGGGTAACATTTAACATTTTAGGAAAATGTCTTCCAATTTATAATTTAAAGAAATGAATGGCAACCTGGAAAAGTAGTTGCATTGGGTGAGATGAATCCACATGTTAAAATTATATGTTTCATTCAGAGATGAGAGGTTAAGACCCTGTATGCAATTACCTATTTATAGGTGATGGTATACAAGTTCTTAACCTATACATTATATAATTATATACATTTATTTATTTAATAATCTTTATAAATATATATATTAATAGTTCCATGCATTTTCTGGCTAAATATTATTAATTATCTAATACCTCTAATAGCATTCACTTATATGAAACATGGAAAACAACTGCAAATTTAAAGTAAGGGTATAAATTTGCATAGCTTGTATTGCTGACGATATTGTTAATTTATTGTTTCTACACTTGGCAATTTCTGGCACCTCACACACTCCTCTTATGTTAGTGAGTTTTGGTGGTTTGATCACAAATAGTGTCCTTAGGCTCATAGACCAGTGGGTCCTCCTTGTCAGGCCACCTCCAGGTTGATCCTGACAGGCTCATGACACTAATGATCACTTTGCTCCCAGGTACCAGTCTTGCATTTATATTTTTGCAGCATATCTAAAAGGTCAAAACATTACTTTTTATTTATATTAGCTAAAATTGTCATAAAAACCTTTTATATTTACTTGAAATGTAAATCTAGAGCATTAGATTTATTTATTGTGGCTCTGCAGCTTAAAAATGAAGTAGGTTCGTCTCATGTTAACAAAATTTAGGATTGATGGGGATAATACAGGAATATGTGGGGAATTCTTCATTTTAAAAAATAAAAGTATTGCTGGCCATCTTCTGACAAGACTTGAAGCAACTTAGAATTGGTGCAGAAAAGTCAAATGGGAAATTTTTAGTCCATCTAAAAATTGGCTTGTTTTGAGCATGAAAAAACATGGTTGATGACGTAGTAGTAGACTTTAATTTGTAATTAATAAACTATTTTCTTATTCTGGACTGATTGGGTACTGAATGATGTCGTTAGATTTGACATGATCACTGAGGAGCTGCATCATATGGAACAGAATGTTGCCAAGCCCATGAGCATCATTGTGGTCTCAGATAATGATCTGAAATGTATGTGTATTCTCCTTTTACCTTTCCATTCTTAAAGAAGTGTGGAACTTGTTTATTCCTTGCATATATGGTGTAGCTTCTTCTGTATTGTACACTGATACAACACTCTGTACTTTGAATCTCTCACCAGGTGATTTGAATCCATGTAGTCGCCACAATGGAGGTTGTGAAAGCCATTGCATCCCCAATGATCAGAGTATTTTACAGGTCAAGTGCACCTGTAAAAATGGCACCCACCTGGCCCCAGATGGCACAAGGTGCATAACAGAGGGATGTGCACCTGAGCTATTTGAGTGTTCTAATGGAAGATGCATCAACTATTCAAAAACTTGTGACATGGCAAAAGACTGTGACTCTGGCAATGATGAAAACCTCTCTTTCTGTGGTATGTCTTTGCATGCAATAATTTATATTAGTATCAATTGATACTCCAAAACTCCATTGATTCTTCATTTCTTACAGCACTGAGGAGGTGCACAAAGGGCTACTTCAAGTGTTCAAATGGACATTGTGTACCTGAGTCTGCCTTTTGCAATAGTGTGGATGATTGTGGTGATTTCTCTGATGAAAGAAATTGTCCAGGGAATGACTCATCCTTCATTTGTCCTTCTAGTCCATCAATTGAAGCTATTCCCTGTGATAGAAGCCCTGATTGCCCTGATGCAAGTGATGAAATGAACTGTCGTGAGTCAAGCTCTGTCTTTCCCACTATCTGATTCAATATGAAGAATTTCCATGAAATCCTGGATCAGAATGTGAAAGCACCTTGGGAGTTGGCACTTTTGCACCTGTTAACCCACCAACCAGTTTTTCCTTGCTTTGGCAATTTGAGTTCGTTTTTCAGCTCATGGAACTGAAAGTATCTCTTTGTGACACTTGGTCTGAGCTGGTACTCATTAGGCATGTATACCAGTCGCCTATGATTTGAAAGAAAGATTTTCTTGCTATTTTCCCAGGGTTACTCATGTGTACTCCTTTAAGTCTTCCTCATGATGGATAAGGTGACTTAAAATTTAATATGTGAATCATCTTTCAGAGGATGAGAAACATAATTTATTATAACAAACAATTCATTCAGCACTAAAGTCTGACTTCTACCAAATGCAGGTGAACATTTTATTCAGATGACTGGATTGTCTGATCAGATGAATTTGTTTAATGGTCAAGTGTTGGGGGCTGATAAGAGTTGGTCATTCTTTGGAGAACATTTAATTAGTTCAGCACATTACCCCTGGTAATGCCATTGTGACAGCATCTGTCACATGAGGAAAACCTTTCAGCTGTCTAATTCAGCAACACAAGGATTATTAATTTATTATTACTTACACAGGTAAATGGTTTGTGTAACATGTCATCTTATTGCCTTGAAATATACATTCTTGAGCTGAAAGTTGGATCTTTTGCCACTCTCTCACCAACAACAGCAGGAGATCAAACATATGGGTTGTATCGCTGAAAAAGGTGAAGAGGTATAGTGAGTATAATNTTTAATCAGGATGGCAGGTCCTTGATCATCTATTAGTTGATGGTTCACAGCCTGGGTTCACAGCAATTGAAGGGGGCGATCTGCAAGGCAAGTTCGTAACAGATTGACACCATTCTTTGAATGCTTTACACCACTGAAACACAGACGAGCATGACAAACATTCACCCTTGAACTGAGCTTTGAGCCTGCAATGAATTTCAGCTGCTGGGGTGTTCTCTGCAAAGAGAAACTTAAAATTAATATGCTGCACAGCAGCACTCGACACTCCACTGACATCCATCTTGAATACTCCGTGGGCTGTTAGACATAGACAAATAATGACTGCTGATCAGGATAGCCAACATACTGACCTTAGAGTTCCCAAAGACATAAAACATAAACAAAACAACATAAAACAAATTTACCTTGCGGGAAAAAAGTAAGTCCAGTTTGGTCTTGAATGCCTCTCGTACATCTGGATCATACCATGTAATGCTATGGGAAGGAGTTGCAACTACATTATCAAAAGGGAGCTGGTGGCCCACCACTTGTACTAGGTAGCAGGCCATCTGCTGCATAGTTCCACTTGCTGCTACCTGCCTATGACTCCCTAGCTGCCAGGAAACCAACACATTCATCAGATGCAACATCCTTGAGGAGGTGGTCCACTGGCCAATCCAGTATTCTAGCTGGCACATTACTGCCTCCCTCAGGACTCTGCCAGTATAGCACCTGAATTGCCTAAGGCCTGCCTCCTTGTGCTACTTGGATCATTTTTCCCCCTGAAATCAGCTCATGACAAGCAAGTTCATTTGCATCACTTACTTTTACTCTTTCAGATTTTGCTGCAGGATCATCCCCAACATCCATTCCAAGTAGCAGTCCATGGGAAGTTCTTATTCTGGACTGATTGGGTACTGAATGATGTCGTTAGATTTGACATGATCACTGAGGAGCTGCATCATATGGAACAGAATGTTGCCAAGCCCATGAGCATCATTGTGGTCTCAGATAATGATCTGAAATGTATGTTTATTCTCCTTTTACCTTTCCATTCTTAAAGAAGTGTGGAAGTTTGTTTATTCCTTGCATATATGGTGTAGCTTCTTCTGTATTGTACACTGATACAACACTCTGTACTTTGAATCTCTCACCAGGTGATTTGAATCCATGTAGTCGCCACAATGGAGGCTGTGAAAGCCATTGCATCCCCAATGATCAGAGTATTTTACAGGTCAAGTGCACCTGTAAAAATGGCACACACCTGGCCCCAGATGGCACAAGGTGCATAACAGAGGGATGTGCACCTGAGCTATTTGAGTGTTCTAATGGAAGATGCATCAACTATTCAAAAACTTGTGACATGGCAAAAGACTGTGACTCTGGCAATGATGAAAACCTCTCATTCTGTGGTATGTCTTTGCATGCAATAATTCATATTAGTATCAGTTGATACTCCAAAACTACATTGATTCTTCATTTCTTACAGCACTGAGGAGATGCACAAAGGGCTACTTCAAGTGTTCAAATGGACATTGTGTACCTGAGTCTGCCTTTTGCAATAGTGTGGATGATTGTGGTGATTTCTCTGATGAAAGAAATTGTCCAGGGAATGACTCATCCTTCATTTGTCCTTCTAGTCCATCAATTGAAGCTATTCCCTGTGATAGAAGCCCTGATTGCCCTGATGCAAGTGATGAAATGAACTGTCGTGAGTCAAGCTCTGTCTTTCCCACTATCTGATTCAATATGAAGAATTTCCATGAAATCCTGGATCAGAATGTGAAAGCACCTTGGGAGTTGGCACTTTTGCACCTGTCAACCCACCAACCAGTTTTTCCTTGCTTTGGCAATTTGAGTTCGTTTTTCAGCTCATGGAACTGAAAGTATCTCTTCATGACACTTCATCTGAGCTGGTACTCATTAGGCATGTGTACTCCTTTAAGTCTTCCTCATGATGGATAAGGTGACTTAACATTTAATGTGTGAATCATCTTTCAGAGGATGAGAAACATAATTTCTTATGATAACAAACAATTCATTCAGCACTAAAGTCTGACTTCTACCAAATGCAGGTGAACATTTATTCAGATGTCTGGATTGTCTGATCAGATGAATTTGTTTAATGGTCAAGTGTTGGCGGCTGATAAGAGTTGGTCATTCTTTGGAGAACATTTAACTAGTTCAGCACATTACCCCTGGTAATGCCATTGTGACAGCATCTGTCACATGGGGAAAACCTTTCAGCTGTCTAATTCAGCAACACAAGGATTATTAATTTATTATTACTTACACAGGTAAATGGGTTGTGTAACATGTCATCTCATTGCCTTGAAATATACATTCTTGAGCTGAAAGTTGGATCTTTTGCCACTCTCTCACCAACAACAGCAGGAGATCAAACATATGGGTTGTATCGCTGAAAAAGGTGAAGAGGTATAGTGAGTATAATCTCAGTGGATACAATCTCATTTTATGTTATAAGAATGGCAGTATGGGTGACCACATGTTTTTATTATGCTGAATACTACCATACAAACTCTATAGGACTGTAATCCAGGGACAAGAACAGGTGATCACTAAGGATGCTGCTTGGAACCCAGGTACCCAACTTGAATTCTGGGTATCTGGATACTAAGTCAAGGGCCTAGAGCTGCATTTTCTTCAAGGTGATGTACATTATATTTTTCAGAAAGCTGAAGCCCTATTGATTGCTCTAGCCCCTTGAAGTTTCCATAGTGAAATTGGATGTGTCCTCATTGCCCATATGTGCACAAAATAATGTCCTGTTGTCAAAAGCTATAAGATAACTGATGACAGGGACCTGAGGAAAACTCCCTCTTATATTTTGTAAAAAGGCCCAATTACAGGTATATCTGCATTTGTGGGACATATTCATTCTTCAGTTTAGCATTTCAATTTGGAATTTCATTTTAAATCAATAGATTTGATCAGATAGTCAAAATGAAGCTTTATCCATCTTATCAGTCTATCATAATAACCTGCTGTTTGATTGAATCTTTGATTTCATCCCCTTTTCCCTCTTTATTTGCCAGCCAAGCAAGACTGCTCTGCAGAACACCCTGAGAAGATAAACTGCCGATACACAACTGCATGCATTCTTCCATCTTGGATCTGTGATGGCACCAATGACTGCTGGGACAACAGTGATGAGAAAGATTGCCCCATTGTAGGTGAGAGAATCATTGCAGCTTTTAATTCTTTCATCCTTGTCAATATGAGGGATGAGTTCAGTAGGATTTCCTTTTTCTTTGTAGGAAGTTCCAAGGCATGCCCTGAGAAGAACTGGAGGTGTAAATCTGGACAGTGCATCCCATTGAATTGGAAATGTGATGGAGAGAATGATTGTGATGATGGTGAAGATGAAGATGACTGTGGTATGGCCTCATTTTATTCCAGTCATGAAATTTGAATCACCGCAAGAAATATTAACTGTCATCTTGACCTATAGGCATTATATGTATATATGCAGTTATGTTTCTGGTTCAGAGTTGGCTCTCTCTGATGCATACTTGGGCTTGGATTATAGCAAAATTATTACATGTCCGAGTGCATTGGCTCCTCTCTTTGCCAATCTCTCTTTGATTGAGTGCTTAGGGAAGTAGTATAACCCTTCGGGCATGAATCTCCACACCAGGGGAAACCTCTTACTGTCCAACACTAGTCCTGCAGATTGTGACTTGGCCGTTGTCGTTTCCCCATTCACAGAACGCTCTGCACTTGGTTTCTCTGGGAATCAAAGGTGTGAACCTTGTCCAGTTAATGGACTGTGCAGGAGTGGTGCTTGTAGGACGGACTTAAGCTGTGGAAGCTTTCTCTTGCGTCTGTTGCGACAGCTACTGTCTTCTACTCTAGTGATTATTCCCTGGTGTGGAGATGTTGAAAAGGGTTTTGCTACACTGTAAGTTCTTTGGTAGGATCATGCCCTGGTGAGACTCCTATGACTTGTTGGCCCATTAGGCCTCTTTAGCTGTCATTCACTTTTTAAACTTCTCTTCTTCTTCTCTTGCAATAATTTGGGCTCATACTGGCCATTGGTCTATCTTGATTGGTATGAAATTTCTATCGACTACTAGCAGAGGTACCAGGCATTGCACATGTGAATATTGCATATGTCCCTTATTTGAGGATTTAATGTTGTTTTAATGCCTCTTTGGCAAACCTGGCTAGAAATTGTTTAAAATATGTAGATTTTACTACACAACCAATTGGAAAATATCAGTAGCAAGCTGCATGTTACAACTTAAATTGTTTTTTATGAGTCCCCAAAATGTTGACTCCTTGGGTAGTAGTAAATCAGCCAAATCTGTATTAAATAAGGTTCCACAGGGGGGGTCTGAATTTCAAAATGCCACCTAGCCTATGATCATCCCCAGACCAAATGAGGAAGCAATGCAAAGTTGGTCAGGTAATAAGAATTGGCATAGCTGAAAACCCCTTGGTAAACTGACTTTTGGAACACCCTGTATATAAGCAGGGTGGCCCAAGAAAAAGGGCACACCACTTTTCAATGCACATTTTAGGTGTAATGTTTTCCAGTAAATTTTTGCTGGTTACATGTAATGGAAAGAAGAATGACTTAACTACAAATGCTTTTTTCAGACTTGAAATTTTTTAAATGATGAATAAGAAAAAAAGGATTGAAATTCTGTTATGAAAAATGGGCTTTGCACCTGCAATTCTGAGGCAGTCAGGTCACCTAACCTGACAGCCTTAGATATATCTCTTGTTTGTAATGTTACATTCTGTGACTACAGCTCAGCAATGATTCAGTACAGAGTATCACAGGAATTCACCAAGCAAGTGGATTTTCCTTCCTGCTTGATGGATTCTAACATGAAGGAGAAATTCTAAGGCTGCCAGGTTGGGTGACCTGATGGTCTCAGAATTTCTCATAGATTCTCATGATACTCTCTATGGAATCATTGCTTCACTGCAGTCATAGATTGTATTGCCACAAACAAGAAGGCATATTGTGCCTTCCTTTTGGGAGCTGCCATTTTGAAACATTATTGTATCTATTACCACTGTGACTGCAGTATGAACTACAGTGATGCCATGTAAAAAACGTTGATATCCAAACTACATGTGTGCATTGTATGGATATTCTGCAATCACCAGGTTGTTTCACAATGAATTTTAAAAGTTGTTACTAGAATTTATGTACACCTTGTATATATACATATATACGAGAGGATATGGAAAAATGAGACCACTTTTATATTTCCTGTTGCTGGAGCCAGATGCGCTTTTCACACTGCCTTCTTGTATTATTCATTAACTTGTAAAAAAAAATGCCATGCCCCAGGTTGAAATGGCTACGAGAACTCGAGCGTCAAGTGTGGGTGGTTGGACACCACCCACACTTTTACAAAAGAGCAATTGTGGACGATCATGTTTTTCTTTTTTTTTGGTACAGTGAGAAAGCAATTGATGGTTATGAAATGATGAAGTCTGTTCTTGGTGATGAATGTCTGTGTTATGAAAATGTGTGCAAGTGGTTTTGGTGATTTTCAAGTGGGCATTACAGCGTCCAGGATGAACCCTGTGAGGGACGGCCCCAGACGTCTGCAGATGATCAAAATGTGGTGGCTGTGAAGGCCACCCTCGATGAGGATGCCTTAAAGCCTTAAACATCGAGGGCAGCCTGTCCAATGACCCACACTTGATGCTCAAGTTCTCGTAGCCATTTCAACCTGGGGTCAACATTTTTTTTTTTTACAAGTTAATGAATAATGCAAGAAGACACTGTGAAAAGTGCATCCAGCTCCAGCAACAGGAAATATAAAAGTGATAGAATTTTTGCATATCCCCTTGTAGATTGAATAATAGTAGAACAATGATGCCCTTCTGTATAAGAGCAAAACATGGGGATTTTTTCTTGGTACAGTATACACGTGCCCAGAAGGAACATTCCTTTGTGACAAAACAGAGTGTCTCCCTGACCATTGGCGCTGTGATGGTGCAAGCGACTGTCATGATGGTTCTGATGAAGTTCCATGCAGTGAGTTCTTGGTTATTGTTTGACTTTCGCTTTTGACTCTGGGAGATGAGAGATATGTGCAATAAGCTATTTAACTTCTTTCATAAATTGCAGGTGACCAAGAATGTTCTGGTATTCTTTGTAAATCCAGTGAGCAGTGCATTCAGAAATATTCTATTTGTGATGGCCATGTGGATTGTCCAGAAGGAGATGATGAAGTGAATTGTACAGTTCCCATTTGCCAGGACAATGAATTTTCCTGTCTCAACCAAGTATGTATCCTCTCGGTAAGCAGTTTCAACAGGACCAGATAAGAATTCATTCATGACTCTTGGAAGTCACCTGTGATATGAAACTCATCATCATTAAGGATATTAGAAACCTTTATAGTTGCATTTCAAATTGTAATGTCCCCCTTTGCTCTTAGGAATGGGTATGTGATGGGGTAAATGACTGTGGAGACAATAGTGATGAGCCAGATTGGTGTGAATTCTGTCCAAAAGATCATTTCCAATGTACCAATTCCAAGTGCATCCCTCTCTCCCAGTGTGGAGATGGTAATAATGATTGTGGTGACAATTCTGATGAGACCCGATGTCGTAAGTTGCTGAAATTTTCCCATGAAACATGGATTCTCTTAAACTTCCATGTTCAAAACCTGTCACATTGTGTTTCAGCTGGCTCATCAGCACAAATTCCAAAAAAATGCACTGAGGAGGAGTTCAGGTGTCGTGATGGAACATGTATCCCATTGAATGCTACCTGCAATGGGAATAGAGACTGTCCTGGTGAGGACAATAGTGATGAGAATTGTGGTGAGTGCATATCTAATCTCACTGTATTTGAATACACATATGTGGCACTGTTTACTCTCTCTCTGATTTTCTTTTAGCTGTTTACTCTCCCTGAGCATTTCCTGTTTGGTAAAGATTTAAAAACTAACATGGAGGAGGCCTCATCAAAGGTTAGCTTATAATAGAGACTGGAGTTTTTATTGCTGCATTTGTACTATTTGTCATGGCCTGCAAGAATGTTCTTTCTTTTCCATGATGATTTTTCCATTAGCCTTTTACCACTTTCCTTAGCCTTAATTTTCCACGTTTCATCTTTTCACACTGATTTAAGAACTGAATAAATGCATTTTTTTTTTAAATATAATTTTTAAAGGAAGTATTGTGAGTTTGCAACTGGAGCTTTGGTAGAGGCATAGCTTGATTTGTCAGCCTATTATCTATTTAAGGTTCTTATATGATCCAAAAGTTTTAAATTAAAAATTAAAAAAAACACATACAAAAACATAACAGCTAAATATCCAAACAAGAACCTCATTTTACCAGCTTTTAACTTTGATCCAATTCTTTTGGTTATAACCCAAAGTACATGGTCATAGGTGATGGTGGCACAAAAGCACTCTTGAAGACCAAGGTTTTTGCCTTCTTGAAAATTTCTGATTTAGCAACCAGTCTGCCAGAGCTCCAACCAAACTGCTGAAGCACTGGAGGTGCTATTGTCAATCTAATGCTCATATTGACCATTACATGAACCAGAGTCTGAAGTACTTAAATCACACTTTTTTTTATATTGAGTCTCCCATAATATGTATTGCACAGGATTTCTCAAGATATCCATGTATTGGGGTTTGGGACACTGAGTATCATTCCAATCACAGTGCAATCTGAGGTGAACCAATAAAGTATGCCTTGAAGCTCCTGCCTAGACTACCCTAAAGGCCAGCATCAATGGCAAAGAAAAGTACATTTTCCTTGATGGGACCAATGTTGACTTCCTCCTGACCCCAGCTGTGCCAACTGGTCCTGTCCATGTGAAAGAGGAATAAAAAAGGAGAGAGTGCAACCCTGACACCCTCCCTATTGATGTTGATATTCCCCATAGAAGTTAGGCCCTTGCAATTCCATTATAACAATATTTTATATCCCTTCCACTTGGTCATGTACCATCATGCTCTCTGGGGTGTAGATCCACCCAAGGAGAGCTCAAGGAAGGAAAGTTTGAGAGTATACTCTCCTATACTTCACCTGGTAGTGGAGCAATTCACTCTCATACATTGCCACATGGCACACAGGTGACCAAGTGGACTTGCATATTATTCTTCTGTTTAATGCAGCATTGGTAAGACCCCATATAGAGTATTGTGTTCAGTTTTGAAGGCTGACAAAGATGAACTAATGGCACTCAAGAGGGTCAAGAGGCTGTGAGAATGATTAAGGAGGTAAGGGGACTTCCATATACGAGATCTGACAATAAAATAACGAGACTGACAACACTGTAATATGTGTGGCAACACTGGGTTACTGACGATTGATGTAACCTGTCAATGCATGTCTTAAGTCTCTGCAGTGACAAACTTGTCACAATACTTCCAGTGATTCCAGTGATGGAAAAACCCAATTGAAGTCTTTGAAATGTTGAACTTTCCGTTAAAATCAATCGTACTGTCTATCTATAGATACACAGTTCTTCAGCAATCATTCTGACAATAAGACGACAATCACTTCACACCAGAGTTCTCGCATTTTCGATGTTTCCATCCAATTTTGAAGTTGTTGGATGTCCAGCTTGACTCTCAAACTCAACTTCTTCCCTTCCTTCAGAAAAGCATTTGCAACATTCAAAGACATTTTACTCTGGACATAACCTCATCTCTGTACACTTGTTTCAACATTTCAAAGACTTCGGTTGGTTTTTTCCTGAGTTTGATTATAAATTTCACGTTGATTCTTTGTTCATAATAATTATCACCCATTTTTTTTACAAGTGCCCCTAACACTACCTTAGGTAAAGTGGTACTGTTCTGCAATCACTAGAAGTATCACAACAATTTTGTTACTGCAGAGACTTAAGACATGCACTGACAGGTTACAGTAATCGCCAGTAACCCAGTGTTGCCACATGCATTACAGTGTTGTCAGTCTCATTATTTTATTGTCAGACCTCATAAGTGTTTAGAAGGACCAGGACTTTTCTCACTTGAGAGAAGGTTAACAAGGGGGGGACCTCATTGAGGCATTCAAGATCATTAAGGGAATCTATAACATAGAGCACTGTAGGTTTTTCCAGTTCGATGACTGCAACAGAAAGAGAGGGAACTGACTTAGTTGTGTAAACCCCAGGTGAGGTGCAGGTTGCTACAGAACTTCTTTAATTGTTGAGTAAATAACACAGGACAATGAACACACATCCCTACCTGAACCTTGAACCTTGCCCTTGCATCCATCACAAGTGCCCACAACTTTACTGAAGCCATCACATCATCAATTGGCTAGTGTTGCCACTAAGTTCCAGTGCAACTGTCAAACCCCATGTGCCATGTACATTTGTAGAGATCCTTGTGCCAGAAGGGATTGCTAATGGTGGAGTCATTGCCAGCTCAAAAATCCAGCAACTTTTATCATTCCTGTGGCATGTGGCTTTTCCAAACCAGCCAATCATGCCACTCCATATATCTTCATCTTTCTCAAATTTCACCTTGAAGTATCCCATCAACAAAACAAAGTTAGTTGTTTGGAATCTCTCATTGAACCACAAAACCTGCAGATATTTTCAATGGTTTGCACCACCAAACTCATGGTAGTTTTTCTCTCCCATGTCAGCCTTATCAAGCTTGCTTCCACTTTGCTCACTCACAGGGCACATTCTGTGACTGTCACTCTCATCAGCCCTGTGTAAGGCATGATATGATGGCCCATGACTGCATAGTGCAGAGTAACTCCTGTGAATCCCACATCTTGTCACACCATTACAAAGGATGCACAAAAACCAATGTAACAATTTAAGTATGGCTGATGTTTTGGTTCTTTTCTGCTGCCCAGGAACAGTTAATTCACACAACTATTTCAATGCTAAATTGAATCCAATCACATGATGGTAGAGTAACATCTTTCTCTGTTGTGCTTTTTTTCAGGTTTTTGTGATCAACCCAATCTTTGTCATCAAGATTGCATCAATATTGCTGGAGGGTATCGGTGCTCTTGTCGTCCTGGTTTCCAATTAAACCACTCCACAAATTTTTGTGAAGACATCAATGAGTGTCTCATTGAAAGACCTTGCTCACACTTCTGTAGCAATACCATTGGAAGCTACAAGTGCTCTTGTGCTGCTGGATACATTGCCCTCCACAATGGAAGGAGTTGTCGTGCTAACACAAGTGAGTGCCTGTAATAACATGGGGCTTAGCAACTTGGTAATATATCACTTATACTGGTATGTGCTTCTGTTTTATAGCTGTGAAACCTCAGTTGTACTTCTCCAATCGTCATTTCATTCTATCAATGGATCTACAAGGTCACCATATTATAGAACTTGTGGATAATTTGACTAATGCCATTGCTTTGGATTTTGATCTTCGAGAGAGATGCATTTACTGGTCAGATGTATCCCCTCTGAGATCTCAGCTCAAGAAGATGTGTGAGATTGGAAAAAGTCAGACAATCCATGTAAGTTGTGTAATAATGTGGTCTTTCAAGACCACACATATTTTTATAACTCTTCATTCCATTACAGGAGGAGCAAAGCACTGTTTTCAATGTATTTGCTGATGCAATATTCTGGCAAATTTTCATTCAAATTATGGTCAGTTAGGCTCACTTAATTCCAAAAATACAGATCAAAACCGTAGATCACTAATGTCCTGTCAGACCCATGACATTTTAAGGGTTTACATGGCTGTAAGCAAAATAATTCAGTGTGATAGAGAAGTATTAAAATACTTCTCATTCATCTTGGCAAATATTGAATGTGCTGAATACAAATAATTCAGAGTTCTTCTTCATTCCTTTAGCCATGTTCTCAAAGCCTTGTCCCCTACAGAGCTACCAACATGATTTCCAGCTTATTGGAGTGAATTTCAATCATCATTGTTCAGCTTTTTTCTCATGATATCATGCTGATGCTGTTAATTTTTCATTTTTCAGGCTGTCCAAATGACTGACATCCATAATCCAGATGGACTTGCTGTTGATTGGATTGGTCGTAATTTATATTGGTGTGATAGGAGCACCAAGACAATAGAGGTATCTACCCTGAAAGGACTTTATCGGAAGGTCCTGATTCAGACTGGTCTTCGGGAACCGAGGGCAATTGCACTTCACCCTGACAAAGCGTATGTTTGCATTTTGTCGGTTTTGGAGATATGATGATTTTCAAAAGCTGTGGTTGTTTCAATCATGATTAATGAAACAAGAAAAAAGTATTAAATACAAGGGGTGATCGGAAAAAACTTTACAACCAGCCTCTAAAATGTTTATATTTACTGCAACCAAACAATATAGGTGCTGCATAGAGTGCTCACAGGGGTATACCTTTCCACATAATCCTCTTGGACAGTGAGGTATTTGTCCTATTGTGGTATAAGATTTGTAATGAATTCAGCATAGAATTTCACGTCTTGTGCAGACTGCCATTTTTTAACCTCTTTCACCACCTCAACATTTGACCAGAAATGATGGCCAGTGAGATGCTTCTTCATGAATGGAAACATATAGACATCACTTTGTTGTAGATCAGAGCTGTAGGGTGGGTGCAGAAAGATCCCCCACCCCATATTCTGCGGTAACTGCTCCACGTGGAGACAAGCATTACCATGAAATAGAAACCCCCCTTGTGTGAGACATCCTGGCCCTTTTTGTCACTTCATGCTGGTGTTGCAGAGTTGCATATTACCCATCAGCCTAATTAGTCTTCCTGAATTGGTCAATAAACATGAGTGGCATTATCTTTTCTTGAGAAAGAGCAAGGCCTGACACTGCCCTCCTTGCTCTTGTCCTTGACAGTCATTCACCTGCAATCAAATTTTCTGCACCATGCACCTACTAGTTGTCTGGTATTACACACCATCTGGCAGCTGGATTACACACCATCCCCTTACACCTCCAACAGCAGGCAATGAATTTCCACAGGGTTTTTTGGCCCAAAAAAACAGATGGTACCTCAAATTTCAACACAGGACCAATTTTCCAAGTGCGTCACCACTTCACGACTGCTCTGCTCTCCTGACATGAGTGATATAAGTGACACCTAGTACATGTTTGCCAAGTGCAACACCCTTAATATCCCTAGTTGCACACCCACGCTACCCACCTCGTGGTTCTCTGTAATGGGTCGTAAACATTTTTTCTGATCAACCCTCATACCAAACAGAGAATGAGAAAGAGATGCTTGATTTATTATCATTATTGATTATTGCAGATTGTATGAATTGCACTTGGCAATATTAAAATGCAGATCTCTATTGAAATAATTTGAGCATGCATCTAGGCCACAACATTTAATGTGGCTGTTACAAAAAAAAGAAGTGATACAGCATGTATCCAGACAAGTTAATATATGATAGTATAGACCAGCAGCTCTCAACCTGTGTGCTCCAGTACCTAGGGGTGATGTGGGCACTGGGAACTTTTTTTTGGCTGGTCACCAAAGAAGAGCAAGAAGGCCAGGAGGCTACAATGTACAGTAGGACAATTTTTGAAATTGTCAGGAAAATGTATTGAGCACCAAAAAAATTTTGGGAATCCAAGTAGTCCTTTCATAAGAGGACATTCCTGGTGGCAAAAAATGTCAAGACTCTCATCATTCAATGTGACTTTTTTTTTTTTTTTTTACAGAATGATGAAATATCAAAGGCAGTCAAAGTGTCCCACTGTACCCCTCCCCCTGGGCAGATGGGCAGGCATTGGGGTACTATGAGACATTCCCTGCTCTCAATTCAAATAAATGCCTTTTTTTTTCAAATCAATTTCTATTTGCTTACATTCAGAATTGTTTTATTTTATTTTTTTTGCTTCCTTGGCTTATTTTTCTTGATGTTGAAGATATTCTCTGCTGCTTCTCTTCCTAAAGCTCTTCAGCTGTTTTTTATTGTAGGATATTTTCCACTTTCTATATTCTAATTTATTTTGCAAAACCTTAAAAAATGGAAAATATCAATAAATGTAACAGCATGGAGTACTGTGGGACAGTCAATGTCACATTCCTGTCTACCCCATGACCAATTGTCCCACTCTACCATAAGCAACCATTTTTTAACTCCATATTTCTTGGCCAAAAATTACTCAAGCAATCTGACTATGTTGACAAAAGAACAATGAATAATCTAGGATAAATAATAATCAAATAATAAGAACCAAAGTGCTGCCTATGAAATGAATGATGCAAATGATGCAACATTTTCTAGCCTAGGTCAGTTATTCTATCTTGCAAAATACACTCTGTGAAATTGAAATTGCCCCCCTTAGAAGCAGTGGATAGATTCATCTCAAAATCGGTATATAAACAAAGGGAGACAATAGCTAGACATGATTCCAGTTGTAGCAAGATATCATTTGCAAAATACACTCTGTGAAATTGAAATTGCCCCCCTTAGAAGCAGTGGATGGATTCATCTCAAAATCGGTATATAAACAAAGGGAGACAATAACTAGACATGATTCCAGTTGTAGCAAGATATCATGTTTATTGGTACAGAAATGCACTTGCATGTGTTTGACATCAATATGTGGTATGACTGCCATGGTTGGCCATACATGAAGCTACACGTTGAGGCATCGAGTCATACAGGTGTTGGATATCATACTGCGGCACAGTATGCCACGCTTCTTGCAATTGCTCCTGCAGGCTGGCAATAGTGTGGACAGGTTACAGAAAGCCCTGAAGATGGCATCCTAGCATGTCCCAAACGTTTTGTATTGGTGACAGATCCAGGGACATGGGTGGCCAGGGCATGGTGTTAATATCACGTAGACTGTCTGGAGATGCTGGCTGTGTGTGGCTGTTATCCTTCCGCAACCTGTCCATACTATTGCCACCCTGAAGGAGCAATAGCAAGAAGTGTGGCGTACTGTGCCGCAGGATGATATCCAACACCTGTATGACTCAATGCCTCAACGTGTAGCTTCATGTATGGCCAACCATGGCAGTCATACCACATATTGATGTCAAACACATGCAAGTGCATTTCTGTGCCAATAAACATGATATCTTGCTACAACTGGAATCATGTCTAGTTATTGTCTCCCTTTGTTTATATACCGATTTTGAGATGAATCCATCCACTGCTTCTAAGGGGGGCAATTTCAATTTCACAGAGTGTATTTTGCAACATAAGAAACAGGGGAAATGCCAGAACTGGCAAGGAGTTCACTGGGGATGAAGGTTAAGTGGAGAATGATTAAAAAGTATTTTTAAAGCTGTTTACCCTTTCTTGGAATTGTTTGCCAGTAAGCCTTCTCCCTGTGCTACCTTCTTGTCTGGATTAATGGATTGAGTTGTTCCTGGAAAGTCAAGCTCTAGTAATATAACCCTGTAATTCAGTTTGGTAATTGTGATTGATCTCAGTCTTCTCAATACCTCTTTTTTTATTCATTTCATTCTCTCATGACCCACTTGGAAAACCATCGCGATTCACTGGTTGAGAACTGCTGGTGTAGAGTATCTGTATCAAGATAAATTACCTCAAATTTTACTTATATATTTTTTTAATCCTTTGGCATTTGATGTGTTGACTAGCTTCTTTCTGGCATTTCCTCTTTTTGTATTTCCAAGTGCACTGAAAATATCCAGAGAAAAACACATTTGATGTTCAATATTACTTAGTGCAATCCTAAAAATGAGTGGAAAAGGAAATAAGTCTGATGATTACTTCTCAACTACCCTGTATAGCAGCATGGAGACGTCAACAATGAGGTACATATTTTCAGGTACATGTATTGGACAGACTGGGGGGAAAACCCACATATTGGAAGAGCTGGCATGGATGGATCAGAAGGGAAGTATATTATGACGGACAATTTGGTGTGGCCAAATGCTCTTGCTATTGACTATGTGACTGAGGAAATTTTCTGGGCAGATGCCAAGTTAGATTATATTGGTGTGGCTGACCTGGATGGGAACAAGAGGAAGACTGTCCTGTCTCTTGGTGAGAAATTAATCTCATTCATGCAATTTTTCTGAAGTAGTGATTCCAGAATCCAAAATTGTATCAGTTCAAAAAATGGTCTGGATTTCATTTTTCCTCATAGGTGAAACTTCTGGTGCCGTGCATCATGTATTTGCAATTACAGTCTTTGAAGATTACTTGTACTGGACTGACTGGGAAACTAAGTCAGTAGAAAAATGTAACAAGCACAATGGAAGTGAACGAAAAACATTATTGATGTCTGAACACCAACCCATGGGCATCCATGCCATCCATGAATATCGTCAGTCCAACTGTGAGATATGTCTTGTTTGATTTTGTAAAAATATCTATTTGCTCTGCTTCAGTTGATGAGTCTTGCAATCTGTGACAATACTGCAGTGAGCAGACCCAACCCTTGCCAGAACAAAAGATGTGCTGCCCTTTGCCTGCTTTCACCTGGTGGAGGTGGCATTTGCGCTTGTCCTGAAGGCCATGTTCTTAATTACAATGGAGTTACATGTGACAGCAACTGCAGCTCAGCCCATTTTGTTTGCAAAACAACATACAAATGTATTCCATTCTGGTGGCGCTGTGATGGACAGGTGGGTCAGGTGCTTGTCATGGTTTGAAAAATGAGGGAAAAAAACTATAATCAAATGTTTACTTTTATGTAACAGGATGACTGTGGAGATGGATCTGATGAGCCAGAAGAATGTGCACAAGTTGTATGTGCTCCTGGTCAATATCAATGTGGCAACAATCACCATTGCATACATTCAGCCCAAATATGTGATGGAAAGATGGACTGTGAAGATGGATCCGATGAGAAGAGATGCGAGGAGGTTAGAATATCTCTTTCCACTGGAATACATGGGATGATAGAGGGAAGTTTTTTGTGAATCTCAAATGTTTCTTACATTTCCTTTAGTACACTTGTCTGAGGTCTCAGTTCAAGTGCCCTGGAAAGAAATCTAAATGCATTCCTCTGAGTGAGAGATGTGATGGAGAGGCACAGTGTCCTGGCATGGAGGATGAGGAAGACTGTGGCAGATTGCATGATTGTGCTGATGCATCTGATGAGTCTGACTGCTTACCTCGCCATTCTCTGGAACATTTCATGTATGCACCTAGAACTTTCATCCATCTGAAATCTTGGTAGCAATGTCTAAAATCTGTTCTCTGCCTCTAATTTGGTAGCTGCAAGAGTGGGAAGGTCATACCTATCCGTTGGTTATGTGATGGATCCCCTGATTGTCCTGACAGTGAAGACGAACTTGAAAATTGTTATGATTCCTTTCCATATACCTGTCAAGCCTCTTATTTCAGATGTGCCAATGGACAGTGAGTTCCCATGTAGTTGCTAACTATTGAAATATTCTTAGATGATTATGAATATTCTTATTTAGAAATATATATTGGTTGAATTTCCACCTCTTCTCATCCCATATAGGTGTATTCCTCCTGCCTGGAAATGTGATGCAGATAAGGACTGTGGTGATGGGAGTGATGAAGATGATTGTGAACCAAAGTCTTGTGCTTCAGATGAGCATCAGTGAGCATCACTGTTTCTCGTTCTATTGCCACAAAGACAAGCACATGCCAATCTGAATTTGAAGCAATTGCATTGGAATTTCAAACTTTTTTAAATATCTGATGCTTTACCTTCAAAGCTTTCAATTGGACAAGGCTTCAAAGGGACATAGGAGCATAGAGTATTAGTAAATGGGAATGAGGATTTCATCTTAAGTTTTTGTTTGCAGTAGAGATTGAAGCTCTATCTGATATAATTTCCAGAATGGTTTTGTTTTACTCATCATTTAAAAATAACTTTACAAGGGTGTGTAATACCTTTCCATGTGCAAAAAATCCAGGTTGTACCTCACTGAGTGCTTTTTAAAATATCACACCTAAGAAAACTATCTTTCTTGAGGACTTCTAGAATACTATCAGTAAAACTTTGATATTCTGATATATTTAAACCAGGGCTTTAGAATGGAACAGAAACCAGAGTGAAAAACTGGAATGGAACAGAAAAAATTCAATTCCAAAACCCTGGTTTAAACCATTGGTGGGTAATTTTAGTATGACACCCAAAGCATGATTTGACCTGGTAGAGAATTAAATGGACCAGAAAGGGTTAATGTTATTATCCTAGAGTACAATGATGAGAACTGACCCAAGAAAGAATGCAGGGATGAATCACATCTCAATATCCCTGCTTCTCTAATTCAGGACATGGCAGATCCAAGATGGCTGCATGTTGGAACAAGTATAGAAATATCTGAAATTCCTGCCTCTAGGACCATGCTTATTGTGTCAATAAGGGATGATGGGAACTATGATAGTCTTCATTCCACATAACTGTTCAACTTCAAAATGAAGTTCAGAGTACTTATTAAGCTTTTCCAGGTCTTGGAGGTTGATGCCTTCGTCTGCTAACATCAACAAGCTGGGCAGTGCTCTTCTCTTTCTCCTCCTAACTGTGTTAGGGACTCCTGGATATCTTGCCTGTCGCATCTTGTGCATCCTCTTTCTGTAGGGACTGCCTTCTCACTGCCAAAAGATTAGCCCACATCACAGTAATATTCATTTCTTTATCTGCCTAATTCACTTAAATGCAGTGGGCTTGTCTGATATGCATGGGGGAGGACTATCAAAATGCTCCACAAACTCAGTGCCAGAAGATGATAGTCCTCCATTAGCCCTCTATTTCCCCATACCTACTTTAGAGGTCTGCAGGGTCTTGGGAGTCCCAGTAGTGGGGTAAAATATCCAATGATGGGCCTGTTGAGGGTGTGTACTCAGTGATGGGCCAAGATGCAGAAAATTTCCAAAAACCTATGTATTTGAGGCATGAATACCTCTGAATTGTGTATATGCTTGCTTGTTTCTTACCTCTATCCACTGTCATTACAGGGGTATGGGTGCTATGGAACTTATTTGTTGGAATTTTTATGCAATGTGGTCCATCACTGGGAACTGGTCCATCACTTGGTATTTTACCCTATGCTTTTTGCTCTTTATACTAGTTCCCTCATGACTTTTTCAAGCCTCATCATCCTGGGCAGCACTTGAGCCTGTATAGGTTTTTAGGGCTTTTCATTCTTGAGAGAATTGGAATCTGATGTTATCACTTTCAGTCATGAATGACCCAGAGTTGTTCCTCTGTCTGCAGATGATCCTGCTCTGCTTTGGATAAAGTTTAACATTATTCAGGGTGTTAATTAATACTGTATTAGTATTATTCCTCAAGATTCACAACAAGTGCTGGCAAAAGAGGCATAAAGGGGATGATCCACATCACAATCTTTGTGCTTTTCTTGTGGACACAGCAGATAGTCATGTTCTGGATGGCCATGTGCTGAAGGATGTGGAGGGATATGTGACTTCCCAGCTTCTGGATGTGGCCCTTGTGGTCTTTGAGGATGACACTGGTTGTGCTGATGATGATTGGAATAATGGTGGTCTTCATTTCATGCAACAGCTCAACTTCCACTTTGATATCTGAGTATTTGTTCTACTTCTACCTGGTCTTGATTGAGAGGTTGGTGTAGGTTGATATGCTCAGATCAACAAGCAGGATGGTGTTCTCCTTGTAGATAGTGAGGTCAGGCCTGTTACAGGCATGTCCCAGAGGAATTTGGTAGTAGGGCCCTCCATTGCAGGTTGTGGTTGGTGTTCATCGCACTTCTCTGGAACATTCACACCAGCATGCTTACAGATACACCAGTGGATATATTGGCACCCTTGGCCATGCCTGTGCAAATACTGCTTAGGGACAAGTTTGGGACCAATTTATGAGGTGATACACTATTTCAGATGGGCTGTGACAGCTTAAGGAGTGGTTTTTGACATCCAACTTGAGGATGTGTTTCTTCTTGTTATTCTGCCCCAAATGGCAACAATGGTGCTCTCTGTCTTGACTTGACTTTGACCTTCTTCATCTGCTTTTTGCTGAGATCAGTGTCAACTGTTGGTTTATCAATGACATTGGGATGCTGGCCATGAAGTGGTTTGTCTCTCCATTATCCTTCCTTTTGTTGCAGTTCTGCCATTGTTATTTTGCACATTGTAGTCAATGGCTAAATGGAAGTTTTGGAAGTGGGTGGCTTCTACCTGGATAGTGTGATATTTTGAGGGTGTCATTCACCCTCAAGATATAAAGAGGTTGTCCCTATTCATTTGATAAACTTGGCAACATGACACATTGCCCACTTGTAGAGGGATTCAAGCAGTCTCCCTCGTCACTTGCATTTTGGAAGGTACATTCAATGGCAGCTTTCAGATGATGAAGATGAATGATGAATCCCACCCATAGGGCTGGAATTCATCTCCTATGGGTGGAAGTTTCTCCAGTAGCCTTATTCCCAATTCTGCCTGATGAGGAACAGGGGTATGGAAACCTCCAGATGCATACTTTTCATTGGCTACACCAGTAGACTTAGGGCCAGCACAATATTTTTTAAATATCCAGAGTAACAATCAAGCCAGTGTATGACATGTTGAGTAACCTTAACATATCACATGTTGACTTGGTTCAGACATACCAGATGTGATGCTACTGCTTTTTTTTTTACTCTAAGTGTACTTAATGACTCTCTGATCCATGAGACCAACTGGCAGTTGGACTGCAAGAGCCTCATCCACACTATCATTGAAGTGCCTGCCACCATTCGATGCAGTTTAAGATATCCAGGACATTTATTGTCATAATTTGTATTATATTATTATATTTTATTTGTTTTCAGATGTGATTCCTTACGGTGCATTCCCAGATCTCTTATGTGTGATGGGGTCTTCAATTGTGAGGATTTGAGTGATGAACTGAATTGCAATGTCACATGTCAAGAAACAGAGTTCAAATGTGCCTCTGGTCAACAGTGCATCCTGAAGTCAGTGGTGGTGAAGCATGAGAGTGTGCTTAGTTAGAAGTTGAGAAAATGTGAATTGTTTAATTATCGGTTTGATTCTATTGTAGAGAATGGAGATGTGATGGGGAGATGGACTGTGCTGATGAATCAGATGAAGAGAATTGTCCAGGGAAGAATTGTTCTGGGATTGGTCATGATTGTAGAGATGGACGATGCATACCATTTGCTTGGCGATGTGATGGACGATGGGACTGTCATGATAATAGTGATGAACTCCCTAAGCTATGTGCCAAAATCCCTTGTCCTTTTAATAGGTTTAGGTGAGTTTTCTGTGCCCTTCTGAATATCATTCTCCTGCTCAGAGCAGTGTTTCTCAACCCTTTTTTTTTTTTTTTTTATCCTGCTGACCCATTCCTGACCATTGGGACCTACATGGACCTCTTTCACGATCCAGTATAGTTATAAACTATAATCTGCTAACAGTGAACACACTAAGAAAAATGAGACAGAGTACTATCCCAGTCAAGCAGTAGACTTCCTTTTGCTGAAGGACACTTGATTTTATCACATCATTCAGTACATAGTTTTCTACATACAGCCATGCTTCCTGGTCAAGGTTTTTTCAGGGATGCATGTGCTTGGTGCTTAGTAATGGGACTGGAGTGGTTGAGGGAGGATATATGAGGTACAAGGTAATGTGTTGGGCTTGGGGAGCAGGGTGAAACAGGAGGCATCTATCCACTTGATCAACCAAGGACCATACTTGTGCAAATTTGAAATCATGATTTCATTTTAATAAATGTCATGCCTATCCTGTTCTTATGCTAAATTTTTCATTAATACAGTCAATTTATTCACGCACATCAGCTGGTCTTGGTGGCAGTGTCAATTGTAAAAAAGGGGAGGGGAAGCCAGAAAAATATTCTTCAATATTCTTCACTTTTTTTGCACCAAGTTATGAAATTCATGACTCATATTCTTCTTTCCAGTTCTTGCTCATGGGGAGGCCAAATGATTGAGCAAGTTTTAATGTAACAAATGGAATTATGCAATTTTATTGTAATTGTGCAGTTTTAGCCTGAAGGGGATGCATGAAACATTATCTCAACCAGAAAGTGCAAATCTTTCAAAAATAAGTAGGCTAAGGGTCTACCTTAGCCTGTATTTTTGGAGTCGAGAGGGGAACTCTGCCTCTTTCCCTAATGTCAGCACTTGATTCAGTGAAGGTATCAGCTACAATGAGGAGTTTCTGCATTGACATTTGCAGTGATAGATCTTAGCTTCCAAGGAAGTGACCAGTATAAGGCTTCATTTTCTTGGAACAGGCAAAAGTCTGGTACATGCATGATGCTTGACCCATATCTTAGCCACAGAATGAGATTTCATCATCCCATACTGCTTTTGGTTTTTCGAGAGAAAAAGACCAGAATAATTTTTTTTGTTTTCTTGGAAAAGAGATGGAGTCTTGTCCCAGACTGCATTCACACATGCATGCATTTATGGCTCTTCCTTTTTTTTCGGATAGGGTTATGACCTTCGCACTGACATGGACAGTGTGAAAACCTGCTGATGTGCAGGTGAAGTCATAGTAGCAGCCAATACCAGTGGTTACCAATGCATTGATACAGTCATAACCATAAGTGACACTTTTTCTTGAGAAAATGAGCCACTATAGACAAACACCAATTTCAGGTTTTATCTTCTTTAAAGCCCAAGACATTATTAATACCACACTCACATGTTTGCTTATTCATATTTTTTTAATAATTCTTTTTTAATTTTCTTCTTTGGGCATGGTTTTCCAGGCTGCCTAGAGCTTCACTGTAGGCCTTTAGGAGTCTGCACACTCCCAGTTGAGAAACACTGATCTTGAGTAACACTGAGGAGCATGCATTGTCATCAATTTAATCTCTGATTATTCCTCAGGTGTAAGGATCACAAGTGTATTCTCATATCATATGTCTGCAATGGTGAAAGAGACTGTGATGATGGATCTGATGAAACCCCAATGGTCTGCAAAGGTCAGGAACAGAGCCAAAGAACACCAGTCCTCCTTTTATATTGCCCTTCTGAAGTTAGAATGGCCTGAACGTTTTGAGCAGTAGCACCTGAAACTGTCTTATTATAGAAAATATTTTTTATACTTTGAATTTTTAATGCAAAAGAATCTGTTGAAAAATTCAGCTCAAAATGATATATATATCCGATAAGTAATACAACATAAGAGGATTTGTTCTCAAGAATTCTCACTTTCAGTCATTTTGCCATAAAAGACCTTGCCAATATGTTGAACATACACAATCAGACACAATGTGAATTTGTTGATGAGAGAAGCAGGAATAATGCCCACCCTTCACCCTTGGAAGCAGTGATGAGTAAACCTTGAAAGTACAAAATTGCATCTTGGGACACTAGCTTACACAAATTGAAAGTCTTCACTTGCCACATTTATTCCTTGTTAAGATGGACTCTCCCCCATTTTATTTTATTTCTTGATTTGAAGTTCACATTTTTCTTACTTTGGAAAAAAAAGTTCCTGGTTGTTGCTATATTAGGAATTTTCTTTCTTGGGATTCCTTTTTCTTCAGCTCTATACTCTACAAGTGAGTTTGTTTGCCCTTCAGACAAACAAACTTGCAATGGTGGCACCTTCAGTGCTCCATTGTCCAGGTTAGTGATTCATTCAGCCTGTCAAAATGTGTGCCAAGAGAGAACGAATCCATATTTCCATCGAAATAATTACATCAATTATTTCTTGTGTGCCTGACTTCAAATCTCATCATAATCTGTCCTGAGGGATCTTATTTGAAAAATAAGATATGCACTTCGCAATTGAACAGGTACTTCTGCTCCAAGTTTCAACTTTCTTTGTTCTCTCCTTCATTGAATCAGAAAAGTTTCTGGAAAATGCATATTTTGCAAAAAAAATATGCCCTCAAGGGTTTTACCTAAAAATTAACATTTTCACTGAAATCAGTACTCTGAGAACTATGTGCATACAAAGTTTCAGCCTTATCCATTTGCTCTTTTTGCTGGTGCAAAAATATCTTTGGAAAAGCTGACTGAGTCAAAAGCTATGCCCTGGGGGTATGCACCACAAAACTGGAATTTTTTTCTGAAATCACCATCACCTCAGTTATTGTTGTGCCAAGTTTCATATTCCTATCTCTGTACAATTCAGTGGACAAAAAAATTATTTGAAAATGTCACCTCTCAAAAATATGCCCCCAGGGCATGTATCAAAAACTTGACATTTTTCCTGAACTCAGTCTCGGTAGGTACGTCCATGTCACGTTTCAGCTTTCCATGTTTATCCATTTGACTGAAGCAACAAAAAATATTTGAAAACATCTCCCCCTAAAATTTGTGCCCCTAGGACATTTACCTCCAAAGTTGGAATTTTTCTGAACTCTGCATCCCAAAAGGTATATGTGTACCAAGTTTCAGGTTTCTAACTTCTCTAGAACATAATTAGAATTAGCATCAGTCAGTCAGTCACTCAGTCACAATCGTCTATATATATTAGATTCTGGAGTTGTTGGTGGCTTTCATGCACTCAAGTCCTTACTGTACAGAAATACAGGGTGTTCCATAAGTCAATTTACCGAGGGGTGTTCAGCAATGCTAAATTCTTATTAACATTGTTATTAATTTAAATGTCAAGATGAAATTCTAAAGCATGAGTCTTTGCCTAGAATGAAAATAAAAACTTTTAACAATAATGGCAATTAATANAGGTCAGGAACAGAGCCAAAGAACACCAGTCCTCCTTTTATATTGCCCTTCTGAAGTTAGAATGGCCTGAACGTTTTGAGCAGTAGCACCTGAAACTGTCTTATTATAGAAAATATTTTTTATACTTTGAATTTTTAATGCAAAAGAATCTGTTGAAAAATTCAGCTCAAAATGATATATATATCCGATAAGTAATACAACATAAGAGGATTTGTTCTCAAGAATTCTCACTTTCAGTCATTTTGCCATAAAAGACCTTGCCAATATGTTGAACATACACAATCAGACACAATGTGAATTTGTTGATGAGAGAAGCAGGAATAATGCCCACCCTTCACCCTTGGAAGCAGTGATGAGTAAACCTTGAAAGTACAAAATTGCATCTTGGGACACTAGCTTACACAAATTGAAAGCCTTCACTTGCCACATTTATTCCTTGTTAAGATGGACTCTCCCCCATTTTATTTTATTTCTTGATTTGAAGTTCACATTTTTCTTACTTTGGAAAAAAAGTTCCTGGTTGTTGCCATATTAGGAATTTTCTTTCTTGGGATTCCTTTTTCTTCAGCTCTATACTCTACTAGTGAGTTTGTTTGCCCTTCAGGCAAACAAACTTGCAATGATGGCACCTTCAGTGCTCCATTGTCCAGGTTAGTGATTCATTCAGCCTGTCAAAATGTGTGCCAAGAGAGAACGAATCTATATTTCCATCGAAATAATTACATCAATTATTTCTTGTGTGGCTGACTTCAAATCTCTTCATAATCTGTCCTGAGGGATCTTATTTGAAAAATAAGATATGCACTTCGCAATCGAACAGGTACTTCTGCTCCAAGTTTCAACTTTCTTTAGTTCTCTCCTTCATTGAATCAGAAAAGTTTCTGGAAAATGCATCTTTTGCAAAAAAATATGCCCTCAAGGGTTTTACCTAAAAATTAACATTTTCACTGAAATCATTACTCTGAGAACTATGTGCATACAAAGTTTCAGCCTTATCCATTTGCTCTTTTTGCTGGTGCAAAAATATCTTTGGAAAAGCTGACTGAGTTAAAAGCTGTGCCCTGGGGGTATGCACCACAAAACTGGAACTTTTTTCTGAACTCACCATCACCTCAGTTATTGCTGTGCCAAGTTTCATATTCCTATCTCTGTACAATTCAGTGGACAAAAAAATTATTTGAAAATGTTACCTCTCAAAAATATGCCCCCAGGGCATGTATCCAAAACTTTACATTTTTCCTGAACTCAGTCTCAGTAGGTACGTCCATGTCACATTCCAGCTTTCCATGTTCATCCACTTGACTGAAGAAAAAAAAAATATTTGAAAACATCTCCCCCTAAAATTTGTGCCCCTAGGACATTTACCTCCAAAGTTGGAATTTTCTGAACTCTGCATCCCAAAAGGTATATGTGTACCAAGTTTCAGGTTTCTAACTTCTCTAGAACATAATTAGAATTAGCATCAGTCAGTCAGTCACTCAGTCACAATTGTCTATATATATATATATATTAGATTCTGGAGTTGTTGGTGGCTTTCATGCACTCAAGTCCTTACTGTACAGAAATACAGGGTGTTCCATAAGTCAATTTACCAAGGGGTGTTCAGCAATGCTAAATTCTTATTAACATTGTTATTAATTTAAATGTCAAGATGAAATTCTAAAGCATGAGTCTTTGCCTAAAATGAAAATAAAAACTTTTAACAATAATGGCAATTAATAACAAAAACAATATCTCACAACATTAATTAAATTAATTAAAGTGAGAATAGCTGAAAATCCCTCTGTAAACTAATTTATGGTACACCCTGTATATTACTGCAACTTTCTCCTATTGTTTTCAAATGTGTATGTACTTCTTTTTTTGGATGATTTTATTCCATTTTGTGTTCAGTATTAGTTCTTCAAAGACAAACACCAGTCTACTGCAAACTTCCAAAGCCCTCTGAGGTTCATTCACTTCAGTCACTTTTACTGAGATTCATTGAAATAAGGTTCTGCCATATCTATGGTCCTGTCCTGTGCCAGAAGGGCTCCAGCTACATGCAACTAATTTTAAGCATTGAATGTATCAAATTTACAATCCACAAAATTGTGAGTCCATTCATTGCGAAAACACTCCACATGACACCTAATATTTTTGTTAGATAAACTTTCAATTCTCAAAAATTGCATCACATGCCAACTGTCCAACATGGAGCTATCAATATTCCTTTATTTTTGTTTTAAATATATGCTATGACATGTCTTTATGTTCTTTCAGAGCTTGGTTTATGTGGTCATGGAATGCTTACATGCAAGAATGGGAGATGCATTCAGGAAAAGCAGAAGTGTGACCATCTTGATGATTGTGGAGATAACAGTGATGAAGATGACTGCGACTTTGGACCATGCTCTTTTGGTGCCTGCTCACAGGTTTGCAAAGTCAACAGAGAGAAGCAGGATCATACTTGCTCTTGTGTTCTTGGCTACATCAAAGTTGGAGATGAATGTATTGCAACTGGTAAGCCTGTTGGTTTGATCAAATTAAAATAATAGGTGTGAGTGTAAGATTGTAAGTTAAGAAAATGTTGAAAGGAGGAGCTTGGAGTTTACTTGCAGCAACTGATTTGGCTGAGTAGTGATGAGATTGAGACACAGGAAGCCTACGATTCTGTCCATGGGACTCGTATATCGTAATGCCTGCAGGTCACATTTGTGACTCATCTATTTAAATTTATAATAAAGGAACCAATCGCTTTAATGACTCTTGCTAGCAAATTAGCAAAATCATTACCTTTACCCTTTCATGGCATATGGTCATTATAATATTATTATTTTGAGACTGCTCTTGTATTACTTTATTCAAGAAACTGGTTTTAAATTGTACCGTTTGATAACTCTCAGCGAGGGCTATTTGTGGATACGTTGTTTGTTCAAGCAGGCTGTTATTCAGGCATATTGTATCAAAACCAAGGTTGTGAAGAGAAATTTTAAGAAAAATAATTATAGTTATTCATCTTAATTCAACCATGAAAGGGTTGATACAAAACAGCAAAATGGTGACACCTACCCATAATTATAGTTCCTATGAAAAGAAGCCAAATTAAATGCAGATTATCTGACAATCACTCCCAAGATGGCAGATTTTGAGCGGATGATGCCTGAGTATTATGAGGATATGCTTGTGTTTTGTATGAATGCTGCAGATGTTTTGCCAGTGGAAGAGAGTGTTCTTGAGGGTGACCACAAGTGCTGGCCAACAATGTCTCTTCTGTGTGCAAAATAGCTGCACCATTTACATGCTTGATTTTTTTTTGCATCAACTTATCACTGAGATCTTGTGACAGGAAAGTATACACATGCCCTAATGCCTTTGTAGGTCTGGAATCCTAATTATATCCTAAAATGGCAGTAGTCATAAAATAAGTTGTTAGGTAGATGAGAAAGATATAGATCACATGAAGAAACTGCAGGGAATTTCAGAAACACATACTTTATTGTGTAATTGATTCCTTCACCAAGATTTCACCCCTAGCCTGTTAAAGTGGGTGCATGACTAGTGGCACCCTCTTTGCTCAGAACTTCCTTTCTTTTCTAGTGTTTCATTTATTGCAGAATATAAATCTGAGAAATTCACCTTCATAATTTTAGTTCCCTCTTGGTTATCATAGGCCCAGAGGCTTTTCTTTTCTTGCTTGGAGACAACATGTTATTCACCATGAGCTCCCACAAGAGAAGGGAGGGTTCTTTGAACATCACATTGATTCCTGGGACCAGCAGACACAGAAGTCATCACATGGACATCTTATACCACAATAATGGTCAATCACTCATCTATTGGAGTGATACTGAGAATATTTATAGAAGGGAAGCTCCCACTGTTAATGGTGATGGATTGCTTAATCGGCAAACAAGAAACCCTGGTGGATTCAAAGGTGTGAATGGGACCAGGGAACATCAGTCCAGGGATGAGGCTGTGGTATGTTCACCTGCATAATTTATCAATTTGTTCTCTCTTGGCTATCTTTGCACCTGGGGTAATGTTATTGTCTTGATGGGCCCTTGTAGGTAAGAACATCTGGCCGTCCTCAGGGACTCTCTGTGGAATGGATAACTGGAAAAGTTTATTGGGTTGATTCCCTGGAGAAGGTCATCAGAGTGTCTGACTTAAATGGGAACAATATTGTGACACTCATCAATACAAGCCTTGGATACTCTCAAGATTTACCTCAAGACATTGTTGTTGATCCCCATTCTGGGTAAGACCTCATTCATTCATTCAGTTTGATTGCTACTCGTTTAAATTTATTGGGTCTCAGCTCAAGCAGACCCAGGAGCATTCCAATGTTCCTGATCCTGGACAATAGGCTCAAGCTCAGCAGATTGAATGCTGAGCCTCTTATGCTAAAGCTCCCAAAATATTGTCATCACACCTTGTATGAGGCCTACTGACTGGTCTATTCCTTGTCAATTTGGACAGAAAAACTTTTTAGGCAGTGGCATAGCCAGGATTTCCTCAAAGGGTCCCAAGACTCTGGGGAACAGAGGGGGACTGGAATTTTGTGACATTTCCTCCAGGGGAGGGAGGGGGGGCGTTTTGGCAGTCACAGCATCTGCAGAAGATGCATTTAGACCAGAGTTGGGGTGGCTAGAACAAAAGAAACCCATAGGTGAGGCAAGTGAACTTAAAAATTAAAAGTTTCACCACCTTGGAAATTTCAGATTTGGCAACCACAGTCCATCAGAAATTCAGCAATCAATTTCATTCCAGCTACAGTTCACAATAAGTTGAACTGATGTACCATACTCTGAAGCTCCTGTTCAGACTGGCAAAAAAGGATGGCATCTTCAGTAATGAGAAGTATCCTTACCTCAGTATCACTGATGTTGACTTCCTTGAGACCCAAGCTGTGCCTACAGATCCTGTTCATGTATGCAAGAAACAAGAAAGGAGAGAATGCAACCCTGGCAGAGCCCAATACAAGTAGAGAAAGAGTCTGAACTCATCCCATTCACTCAAATGCAACACCTGGAATCACTGTGCCCATATTAGTTGACCATGAATTCAATATTATTGAGGCACTCCTCACACTAACTAGAAGAAGGGCTTGGAAGCAAAGATTTATAATAACCCTTTCAGTATTACAACCATACCAGCACAGGAGGATGTGCATGGTCCTTTTTAACTTTTGACTTACTTTAACTTTAAACTACTCATACTTGTAGGTACTGCATATTTCAAGTCCAAATTTTTTTAGTATAAGCACTGAGCATGTGTATCCCCAAAAAACCCCACCCAGGAGGCATGGCCATATGAAGTAAATTCTGTACCAAAAGTCTTAAGCATATCTGTTGTATCATGAGCAGGTAAAATGTACTCCCAGGGAGTGGTTTGCTGAGGGCATTGAAATGTTGCCATAGTTATAATTAAAATTTGTATGTCTCGAAGACATATGTACTGAAAAATAAGTTATAAAATAAAGTTTAAAAAAACAACAAAACAACTTCAGTTTCTGTATTGTGGGGCTGTGCAGTATTTCAATGCCATGAATTTGAGTCTTAGCTCTGGAACCAAAACTTACTCATTGTGCTGCTGATAATAAAACAACTGATCAACACCTAAGGAACTGTTGGAAGCATCTGAAACAACCAAAATAAAACAAAGGCATTGAATTTGAATATTGAGGTTGATTGCATTTCAGCTGCCCCTTCCTTGGCTGCCACCCCTCTCATGCTCTTGCCTGGCTCTGGGGGTGCACATACAGTTGTGGGTGTCCTCTCTTTCTGCTTGCCCTATCATCCCCTTTCCTAAGGAAAATAGGAGTTAGTAATACAATGCTATCACAGTACTGGAAGATTGATATCATAACTTCAAATTTTTCAAGCACCACACAGGCTAAATCACACTTCTCAGAACTTTTCAATTGCCAATTGTATGTTGCCTGTCTTGACAGAACCTTTGCATGAGTTGTAAGTATGTCTTTATTAGCAGTGCAGTAGTCAGATTCCATTTGCTTGCCACATTTCTTTCATCCCTTATTTTGCTTCAGCCACAGCTCAAACAGAAGCTCTATGCAACTTGCTGTAGCATGTCCTCAAAGAATACAACCTACTGAATATATACTCCCTATAAGCTGCCTTCTTGACTGCATCTGTCTGATGTACCTCTGATTCCTACCAGGGAGTTTGCTTGGCATGACCCTGTGCCACCCCAATAAGCATTTCATCACTCATTCACTGTACAGCCAAAACACCAGCTCAGAATAAATTCCATTTGGTCTCAATGTCAGAAGCCTTGTGAGGCAGTTGGGAATCGTTTATGCCTGTCACCTTGCCAATTTATCATGAATTTTCTCATCATAGATGACTTCCTACCTCACCCAATTTGCAAAACATGTGGCTTTCTCCTCTATTCTGAGGTTCACCTGTATCTGGAGCTTGCTAGGTGGTGATCAGTGCTCAGTTCAGCCCCTTTGCTTTACTGTCATGTCCATTATCAGGTCCCACAAGTCAGGTGAAACAATCACATAAGCAATCAGCAATTGGTGGTAATTAAGAAGGCCTCATGCATTATAATCATGTTTGTCAGCTGTAGAATTTGTCAGCACACCCAAACCTTCCTCATCAGGAACTACCATTAAGTACCAGTCCAAAGTGGACTCAATGGTACTCAATGGTAAGAAGGATGAAAAAGGGAGCACTCCACTTTTTACTCTTCATGAAGTATATGAAGAAGTGTCACCACCATTCAGACTAGTGGATTCCTCTGAATTTTACAAGTTACCTTATAGTTGGATGAAGTTGAACTGCTCTTGAATGTTCCAGGTGGATGTTCTGGACAAATCAAGGTCTCATGGCTGCCATTGGGAGGGCAAGGCTGAATGGAAATGACTCCAAGACCTTAGTGAGTGAAGATCTCCTGTGGCCAAGTAACCTGGCAATTGATTATCCTGCTGGCAGGCTCTACTGGACTGATTCACGAAAGGAAACAGTGGAAACTGTTATGTTTGATGGAAAAAATAGGCAGATTTTCAAAATTGGAATCCCAGGTCAGTTATTCATTTATCCTAGCCTTGTAATTGGACTCATTCTGAATTGCATCATGTTTTCTCTTCCCAAAGGTTGCGCATTGGATGTCTTTGAAGATAAGCTTTACATCACATCATGTGTGAATCACTCAGTTTATTCCCTTCACAAGTTTGGAAAAAACAATACTCTTGTACCTTTGACTGCAGGAAGAATCCCTGTTCATGACATTGTCATCACTCAGATGTACAAGCAAAGACTAAACTGTGAGTTCCTATTTGAGGGTTCTAGCTTTTCTGAGGCTTCACATGATTCCCCTCCATGAGGTGAGTCATAACCAAAGCAGTTCAGTTGTTTTTCAAAAACTCTAAAGCATAGTGATTTTCACTTGGGACATATATTCTTTCACATTTTTTTATTATTATGCATTGAGGCACTTCCCATGTATCCATCACAAGTGAAATCCAGTAGACTATATTCAATTCCCATTTTAAAATATCTCAGTTTACCTGGCATGATTCCTAGTTTTTGGATGGATCAGTACATGTCACTTCATGTCCTTACAGTGACAGAGAATCCATGTGAAAACAATCCTTGTCCTCGTGGTGCTCTGTGCCTCCTTGACCATGTCAATGAAAGGGGCTACTCTTGCCATTGCTCTGATGGTGCACCAGCCACATTGGATAGGAATCAACTCCAATGTGGTCTCTCGGAGAATTCTCTCTCGTGTGGTTTAGATTGCAATGCAGGGAAATGCATCCTTCAGGATGGCATACCTAAGTGTCAGTGCCCTTCAGGTATCAAAGGTAGGCCCTATCACAGTGTCTCAACATTCCATATTCAATGGGCACAATATGTTAACTCATTTTTGTATCTATTTCTCATGTCTTGTTCAGGTCCCACATGCTTGTTGTGTGATGGCTTCAAGTGCCTGAACTCTGGAACATGTCACTTGAATCAGAATGGGACTCCAAGTTGTAAATGTCCTTCTGGATTCACAGGAGTTCAGTGTGAACAACATACTTGTGAAGGAATTTGTAAAAATGGAGGTGAGTGATCAAGGTGGAATACTATTAGCAATGCATTCATGTAATAGGCAACTTCCTAAGGTATTCAGTGATGGACAAGACTTGGATGTGGAATCCTTCAATACTGGGGAAAGGGTAATAGAAAAGGAAAGTAAGAGTATAGGCTTTTACGGCCTTTGGCTCGGGGAGAACTTACAGAGGGAAGCATTGCTAAAGGCTCATTGAACCAAAAGCTTGAAACTCCCATCAACTTTCACATTTCTCAAACCAATTTCCAAAGATCATATTTGCTGCTTGACATTCACATCATTTTCCTCTCTTACAGGTACCTGCAACATGGAAACTCATGAATGCCAATGTGATTCCTTCTTTATTGGGAAGAATTGTGAGACTTTTGTGTGTGACTGTGAAACAGTCAGTGAAAATGTTACAGTCAGTGAAAACTGCCCAAATAATACAACACTAATCAAGACTCTCTGTTCAAGTCAGTGCTCCTCAAGCTCATGCCAACATCATGGTTCTTGTGTCATTGTCCAGGGAGGCCAGAAAATGTGCAGGTAAGATTCCTAGCACAAGTGGGATACTGAAAGCTTCTGAGCAAATTGCATCCTAACATAAGTTGATCCATATAGGCCTAGACCTACTGTATGAGGTTTTTCAGGGCCTCTGAGGAAGGATTACAGATTGCCTGCCATTCTTAGGGTCAAAGTAGACCAACCTTTGTCCTTATTTTTATCTTAATGATGACTCACTGGCCCCCTTCTTTCCATCAGGTGCATGCCTGGCTTTCATGGTAGATATTGTGAAGAAACCATCAGTGATGACCCATGCATCAACTTCTGTGAGAATGGTGGAGTGTGCAGTTTTGAAAAGAACAAACCTCCTCAATGCTGGTGCCTCAAGGGATGGACTGGTAATCAGTGCAAGATTCAGCTGGGCATGCGTGCATGCTCCAACTACTGTCACAACAATGGGAAATGTCACCTCAATCAGGACCTAACCATGGAACCTGTGTGCGAGTAAGTTCATTCCTCTCCTCTAAGATTTTGAATCAAAATATCAGGTATGCTCTTTCATTCAACTGCTCAAACCTCAATTTTGGCCAGATGCCCTTTAAATTACTATGGCAAGAGGTGTGATAAGTACATCAATCCAGCTGTTGAAAATGGTGAAGACTCTGTGACCCCTGTTGCTGTAATATGGAGCTTCGTAGCTGGGATTTGTCTCCTCGTCCTCCTCATTGCAGCTGTCATGTTCTACATAAAGAAACAAAGGTTTCATACCTTTCTTCTCATTAAAAATTGCCTACTTATCAGTGTTTTTTTATCAGTATGAACTTGATTTTTGTGCTGGAATAGGAAGCCCTTTATGCACATACGCATGGAAGATGGCAACAACTTAGAAATCAACAATCCAATCTATCTGCAAGGAGATGATGAAGAAGTTGAAGATGGAGACACTGAGCCCAGTTTCTCTGTTGAGAGTCATCGGGTGAGTATCAAGGCCTTCCCATCTTCCATTTTCTGTTAAGATCATTTGTTGGAATCAGTCAGGTTTGCATAGTCTCACTGCTAGTCATTCACTAAATTGTTTCTTTCCTAGTTGGGTACATTCTCCAATCCAGTATATGACTCAGTTTATTGTGATGGTGAAGAGAGTGGAAATCCTGAGAAAGAAGAGAAGAGAGGACTCCTTCAAAGCAAGGATGAGCTCAAAGTGGAATTTAGCAACCAAAGGACCAACAACACAACTGATTCTCTTGCTTAGACTGGAGATGTGCTTCTTTGGCTTCACTCCTGTGGAGTTTTTCCCCTCCCCCCATCTCTCCTAAATCTTAATTGCATGTATGTATGTAAGTATGTATTATTGGTTCACATCCATTGTTCACTTCCGTACTTTTGCACTGCTCACAGGCTCTATTTTGTCCATGTAGTACAGAGAATGCTTTATTGTTGTATTATAGTTAATGGCATACATGCAAATCCCATTTTTGCTTGTCTGTATGGAAGCAAAAATGTAGTAGTGAGAGACTGATGGATACATCAACTGACCCTTAACTCCTAAGAATTAGCAGAGTGAGCTTTAAGACTGTATACTCTGTGATAATTGTAATTACATGCCATAAGTATAACTTGATGACCAGGTTGGAGATGCAGAAAGGTCATGGTCTTGCTAAATGAACTCTGGGCATTATTTTTTGCTTGTGTGAAACATGCTTCAGCTGGCTTGTTGCATGCTGAGGATGCTGTTTAAATGCCAGTATTTGCTCACAGGCCTCTTCAGATGACCAAAGGTATTAGGAGCAGTAGGTAATCAAAGCAAAGGGTTTCTGCTCTGACAAATAGTGTGCCACTTCAAAGTAGTTACTAGTATTCAATTTTCCCCTTAGTTTCAAGTATTATTTTGGCACTTATTCATCATTGGAGGTTCACATCAGGAAGGTTTACTAAAGGTGTTCACTAAAGAAATACTCAAGCAAGGTGTTTTTTTTTGTGTCCCTGTATGATGATGAGACTGTATGAGATGCTTCATGTGCAAGATCCAAAATTTTATTCTTGAACATATGTACTCCTTTATAGGTACCAGTAAGAGATGATGTCTTGAAGGTCAAGTGAAGTTCATGTTTCCATGTTGTGCTTCATTTTCATGCAGTTTTTTTTAGATGTATTAAAAATAAGGCCAGAAGTGTAACACTCAAGTGACTTTCATGCTATGTATTTTTTCCTCAAACAAGCTGCCTCAACATAATAACTCACATACTTTCTAAACCACAGATAGCAGTAATTGGCATGGCGCACTGTGTCCATGATGGATTTTTCTTGTTCTCAGTTGCAGAATGCACCTCAGTGAAACTTGTTAGAGTTTATTCCCAAATTCCATTAGACATTACAGTATTTTTAATATAAATTCCTGCCTTACCACACTTTAGGTCAGCTACAAGCAGTTGTAATACTCTCTGGTCTATAACTTTGGTGGGTGGACATTTAGAAAAGTAATTTGATCATAATATTTATTGCTTTCTACATGTGTATAACCCCAGAAAGACATCAGAACAGGTGTCATTGCACACCCACCACATACATTAAACTTATTTGAATATTCCCCATTAAATCTTTGCTTGTGCAATAATTTTTTATTTATTAATTCCTTCAATTATTGTAATTTTCCTACAACACCATGGACTGTATAGTTCTATATCTCCAATTGTGGCTGGATGAAAGTATAGCACAGTGGTTCCACTTCGGAAAAAATTGTTTCAATGACATGAGAAAATCCTCCTCTCCCCCCCTAGTCTAAAACTAAATCTCTCTCATTTGGGTAAATTCTTCATCCAATCATGTTAACCTTTAGCAACTTTATTTCAGACTATGATCGGTCTGGCCAAAAACTTAAGCCTGCAATTTCAGCATGTCAATTAGAATGTCCAAGGAAGCTTTTTTTTGTGAATGCCCAGTCTGTGCTTCATGTTGTCAAAGGAAAAATGCAAAGCTACGATACAATAAAATGAAGTGCAATGTTCTTAAGGTTTTCCTTATAGATCCTCTAAAAGCAAAGTTTAAGTGGAAATTCAAAGTCATATCATCTAGCCAAAGACATGGGAGAACAACATCCTTAACCCATTGAGGAGTTTTTTTTTTTTTTTATGCCTGCAAGATCCCCTGTATGAATATATGGAGGTCAGGATAGTGTCAGCCTGTAAATATACAGGCTTACTCCTCAAAGGGTTAACCCTTTCACTGTTAGCCCGAGTACATACTTGGGCTGCACCAGATGCTTTTACGAAACCAAGTCCTTTTAGGTTGTTTCTCCTCTATTTATGAATGTAACTGACATACTGCACAATTCTTATAACACAGTGAAGGTCATGAGGACTTTTTTTTTTTAACAGTGAAAGGGTTAACCTCCTCCAATCTTGTAGCCTTCATTTAAAAATCATGCTACAAAGCATAAATATCCACAACAATGGTTCATCAATGGTGTTGTATCCCTCTCATCCTCACTCATCAGCCTTTGTGCCACAGCAGTTGTTGGCAGCAGTTTGTCGTGCTTGGTGAAATTTCCCAGTTTGTGAATGCTAGATGAAATGCCCCAAGCACAACACCCAACACGACTTGTAAATTCTGCAAAGGCTGCCGTTCATTCGTAATAAAAATGTACATTGTACATCTGTGTGCAGTCAGAAGAACAGCTTGATTGTTGTCATGAAGCAAAAGAAAAGAAAAAACAGCTTGTGCATTCTTGCTTTATTACTCAGTTTCTGTTTTTCTAAGTTTATTTAGAGTGTTTCTTGTAGTGACCTCATGGCCAATACAATGGCTGATCCACCACATGTAAATGAAAAATCTAAGACTGACAGGGATTGGTCAACATCCATTCTAGCACTTTCCCCATCACAGAATATCAAATGATACACTTGTTGGCCAGTACAGTATCTGCAGGGTCAGAGGAGGTTTGAACCTTTGACACATGCTGATGATTTTGTTTCCATGCACTGACTGAGTGAGTGAAAGTAGGAAACAAGCAACAAAGTTCAAAAGAGAGAAACTTACCCAATTTGGCCACTACTAATATGATGGGTGCACTACTCCCAGGGCATGTCACATGCAACATTTTGTGCACATCCCTGTCTTTTCTAAAAAGGTATCAATACATCCATAAAGCAGTGCTTTCAAATTATGGAGACTTTAAGCAGCCTTTTGTTTCACCAAAAAGAATATACTTTTATGATTCTATCTTTACTAGTCTGTATCTGTGAAACATTCATGTCTTCGTATTTGAAGTTAAGCGATTAATGTCTCAAAGAATTTAAATGAAACACAGCTGGAATTTTCAAGTCATATTTCAGATCAATAATATTGAGTGCATCCTGTCATTCAACCCCCCTTTCCCAAATCCCTGAATTTCCCAATATGCCAAATTTCAACAGGTTTGGTTCTATTATATTAAATTGAGACACAATGTACAAATTAGGAGCTATGTCTATCAGATGAAGGAGAAGAGATCCTTCCCATCCTCAGAGACCCCAAATTTCCCTTCATAGCAATTTTAAGTGAGTTCTGTTTCAGAAGACTCTAGGGATTACATTCGAATTCCAATCTGCCCAGCTTTGAATCAATAATAGGGGATGCATTGTGTCATCAGGGAGCCTGCAATTGCACGTATGCAAGTTTTCAGGGAGTGCTGCCTCGTGGCATTCAAGTGAGATACGTCATTCTAATTTTGAACACCCGGGCATACTATTGGACTAACCCGATCGGGCCAGTAGGCAATCAAGTTGGGTCCAGGCAAATGCACTATCAGAGGGATCTTTTTCTCCAGTTGCTTACAGCTGCTGGCAAAAAGAACACTTCATTCAGTCAGCTCTCGACACGTTCACGTCATTAAATGACATCACTCTCAGGCAAGCAGCTGGCAGCGGAACATCACGAACTGAGGCCACTGAACAGTCCAGCTATCATGGGATAGCTGGAAGCATCAGCAGAGGCAGCAGTCTCTTAGAAAAAGGACTGACCCCAAGTTCTGAAGCTGAGAGGGCTGTGGACTGGCCTGATTGGCCCTACACAACCCACTGATGGGGTCAGCAAAGCTCGGTCTGGCTTTCAAGTTTCAGATCAGGTAGGGCCACGACTCAAATCAGGCTGGACAGACAAACATCAGCTATTATATAGATACAGGGTGGGGCAAAAGTCAAGGAACATAGGAGTTTTGGGGGAATTTAATTTTCCTTTTAATCTTTCACTTATGTTCATAGCTCTCAACATCTCTCATGTTGATTGTTGTGGCTGTATGGACACCAGTAGCATGCCTGGAAAATCCTAATTTGGGGGGTTGGTAACATACAGTGTGAAAAATCGATAACCAATTTATGGCCAAATTTAAAAAATGAGTTTGAGAATTGAACCTGTAAAATGTATCCCAAGGGAAGAGGGGGTTATAACCCTCATAACCCCTCCCTTGGGCATGTCACTGATGGACACTAGGGCCAGAAGTGTTGTTTGGTCAGCTTCTCCTATTGTGCCCATTTCTTTTTTTGCAAAGGGAACTATGCAGGTTGCCTGGCATTTTGCTATCAAACCTGAAATGCCAGGGGTTGAATCTTGGCCTATTTAGGTGCCTTTCATGGTAATCATACTAGTTTGCTGAAAACTGTTATCTGTTTTTGCAAAAATCACCAACTCCACTCATTTTTCAGTTTAGTACACCATTGTTAGGTTGTTTCCCAGCACTTAGTCAAAAATCACTTCAAAACTTTGTCCTTGAAGTTATGGAAAAACTTTGCACACTCAAGCATAGAGGTCACCAACATGAACAGCAATGGAAATGGCACATTATTGCCAAAATTGCCATGCTTCTTCCTGGCGAGTAACAGTCATTCATTTCCAGTCACTTTCAGTGGATGCAGTGAGAGCACTCATCACTGGACTTCAACTATTGTATGCCAAATTGATGAAAAAGAGATACAGAAACGTGTTGCCATCAAGCAGTCGCTTTGAAAATTAAATTCCCTGATAATTCCTATATTCCCTAACTTGCCCCACCTTGTACTATATATAGTGATATCTTTATTGAATAATGTATTTTTAATTAGATGGTTCACCATGAATTTCTTCCATCTCTTTTTAGTGGGCCTCCTTTCCTGGAAGGAAAGAGACAACTTATGGTTTCATCCTGTCTGTGTGTGTGTCACACTTTGGTTGTCTGATAATTAATTGGCCTGACCAATGTGAAATTTTGGCAAATTGGGAAAGGGGTAGATAATTCTTTTTGTGGTGAATTTGCACTGAAATTGGCACTTTTATTGCAAATTTATGATTTGGAATTTGGTCATGGAGGGGAAGGCATGAGTAACCGAGAGCCCTTCAGGATCTGGATCACAATGCAAATGCATGCACGAGCCAGGCCTTGGGCGTGGGGCAGCAACCAGAGTTGTCAGTTCCCTACCAACCTTTGTGGTGGATGATTCCAAGTATGCACAACCCTCCATCCTCCCATCATCATTTCATGGGCATCATGGGTATATTTTAAATGTAACTGAAAAATGAAGTCTTTGATGGCCGAGGACTTGAAAAAGTTGGCATTTTGTTCAATCAAGTGTCAAAATGTGGGTCTCCTAAAATGAAGCCCACTATTGGAATGGACCATCTTGTTCTGGATGATACTGTCATTCTGATATTTTTTTGACAAGTGGCCATAGCCAATTATCACTGGTAATGGAGTATAGAAAATCAAGAAAAATATATCAAGAAAATGAATTATCCTCAGGTACAAATAAGTTTGTAACTAACAAGATAACAAGACTAGAACTGTGATATACAAGAGAGAAATTAAACTTTTGGAAGGAATGTTCCTTGGAGTAAGAAATTGAGCTTGACAGGACCTGAATATAATCCATTTCATTATGCCACTAAGCCAAAATATTCTTGCATATGTCACCAAACCTACAGCAGCAGCTCAAATTTATGCAAAAATGCTTTGCTTCAGGCAAGAAGTTGGCTTCTTTCCTAGCACATAGGCCAATATGCACATCTCCCTCTTCTGATTTGAAATGGGTAATGTCATCACACAAGTTCTTCATCCACACCATTTCTGCCATATTCAGGAACAACAGCAAGGTCATCTCCCCCAATCATCATATGTGGCACAGAAGCAGCGACCTGGCTCTGCTAAGAAATTAAAATGCACCATCTTTCCACTCCCAAATTATGTGTTGTGCTTAACCCTTATCTGGGTAAGGGGGGTCCATTGGACCCCCCAGGGGATATTTCATTTCATTACTCTCTGCAATTTTTTCAATATATTCTTCAAATTTGATATGGGTTTCATAGACAGTCATCCATAGATTCAAAAACTAATTTTTAAAGTTTGGATTTGCTTTTAAGGAAAAAATTCTAATAAAAGTGTTTGACCTTGCCCATTTGTGTCACAAAAATACCTTGCCTGGATAAGGGTTAATATTAAAAATGCCATCATATTTGGTTCTTATTTCAAGCCTGAGAACACTTACAACCTGCAGTCAATTATTATTAGCAAAACATGCATGATGAAGGGAGTGAGAAGCAAGTCAACTACGTATTGTACAAAGAGTTGCCAAAAAGTAATGACCTTCATTTATCTTTCACTATTACACTTAGTCATAATTTTCTTGTGTGTAATTTTCTCTATGCATGTCTTGCCTTAGCAGAATTAACATCCCATGCCATTGTCTTGTTTTTAACCCTTTCGGCATCCACCCGAATCGTTATCCCGCAGGAAAGCATCCTGAGTAAGTACTCCGGATGATGCCAAAAGGGTTGAAAGTTATGCACTTTTCTGCTTCTGGAAAACAGATCTGATTAAGTGAAGTTATTATTGACCACTGTGGACATTAATTCCAATGAGATCCCTGTCAAAATGTGAAAGATGTTCTCATGGATCTCCTTATGTTCAAAATCCTCAACATTTTGGCATCTGAGTATTTTGACTGAGACTGAGTTTTTTCCATACCTTGGCACTTTGCCAACAAGAGATAATTCAGGTGTGGATCCCAAAAGGTTAATAATTAAGAGTTTGATCTCAGCTCTACATCAAATTTTGCTGTATTCATCAGACATGTTTGACCTAGGGCAAACAGTGTGCCACAACTTTAGAGCAAGACAAGGAAATGGCATGAAATGTTCATTCTGCACTGACATGATTTGCAAGCATGCATAAAAACATTTTTGCTCAAAATTAGCAAATGGAAGGTAACAAGGCCCAGAACTTTCTCATCACTCCTGATAAACATTGTTTGACTTAACATTCATCATGCATGTTTTAGAAAGTATATTAATAATTTAATTTGCAAGTTCCCATGCACTGGTGGCAGGCTGGGTAGGTAGTTCTTTCTGTGTGCAACTCAAGTATGCAATGGACCTTCAATTAACTCATCAATAAAGCACAACCAAGAAGTTGGTAATGGGTGTGGGATGAATATTCATTGAGAAAACTTGCCAAATGCTCCAATTTCAATAGTAGCTATGGAATCGTACTAATGACTCAAAACTGTCACCTAGTGCTGTTTTTTTTTTTTTTATTTTTAAGATGTGGTTTGGAAACTATCATGCATAAAAAAGCAAGCAAAGTTTCAAGGTCATGGGATGAAGGGAAAACTTGTTAAATGCCTGTGGAATGGGGAAAGAGGGTGGTGCCATTCATGACACCAGATCTTTCCCTCAACACATTTCTCTATAGGACCATTGTTAAGAGCCTAACTGTGAAGCAGTGGCATGATGAAACTGTTGAAGACTACTTCAACAAGTTATTAATGTTTGGTCAATGTAGATTAATTGGGACACATGCATTAGTTTCATGCTCAAGTCTGATGCATTCCTCAAGTCAATGCATGCTAAGCATTCCTCAGGCATTTAACAAGTTTTTCTCTGCATTGCTTCATTGCATGGCCTTGACACTTTCCTCCATTTTTATAAATATCTTCAGGAGTTTTCAAACCATGTTCCATCAAGAAAATCCTTCTATGTGACCATTTCTGGCAATTAGTATGATCCTGTAGCCAATGTTGAATTTGAAATGTTTGGCAAGTTTTCTCAGTGAATATTTATCTGACACCATTTAAAATCTAATTTCATCAAAAGAGTATACACAAGAAGTGTATACTCTTTCCATACCAAGGACCCAAGACATGTACAGTCAACCCACTAGTTGAGAGGAACCAAAATCCCAAGACAAGTATACTCGTCATTCACACCACACAGGAGAATAGCCATGATGAGTATACTACCCATATCCAGTTCACTCTTTCCAAGGTAGCATCTTCATTTGGAGACACTGTTTGAAATACATTCAAAGCTTGTAGCAGCATGTGCAGCAAAGATTTGAAGGAAAACAGAAGACCAATTGAAAGAATGAACTGTCATCCCAGTCTGGGATGTAGCAATGAGCCTCGGGTATGAGCAAGTTTTCAGTGATTTCAGTGCATCTCTGATAACTCACATTAATTTGCCATGAAAGGGTTAAGTGGTTAAAGGAAACATTCTATGCTTTGATTGAAAAGGGTTAAAGAACTTGATCAACATTTTCTAATGAGAGGCAAAGTCCAACAAAGGAGGAATGGAAATCATGATGGACTGGGAAAATCTCAATGATCCCTACCTTTCTGAAGTTCTTGTAGTTAACAGAACATCCCGAGTCACTGGAAAGTGGTGCAGATGAAGAATATGAAGAAGTGAAGGATCTCTCTGGAGTAAGGTCTGCTACTACAACTACTTCAACATCTATTGCAGCCAGTGCTCCATCTGGTCTATCCCCTTCTTCTAGTGGTTCTGTCTTCACTGCAACCTCTGACTGCACCAAAATAATAAAACAGAGCAACACAGTATTGACCAAAAGGAAGTACGTCCATGTCATGATTTGGGCAAGCTTGGTGACCTGGTAGAATAAATCTTGGCATACCAAAATGGATTTCATTGACTAAATATTGTGCTAATATACTTTCAGACAATATTCCAGCCATAAAATGCCCCTTCTCAATTGAAAGATTGTCTTGTGTCTTGAGCAACCCACACCTACCTTCTTCCAGCAGTTATTTGTCTATGTATCCAATGGTGTATTTGTGAAATGGTATACATCCCACTGTAGAAGGGAAAAGACAAAAGGAACTTGCTGAAAGCATAAGGGTTTTAGACACAAAAAAAGAATTTGATCATTTGGGTATCAAGATGTAACATTTATAATGATCAAAAGGGTCTGGACCAAGATATTGTCAGTATTCAGAAATAAGTAAGTTGTTTCTTAACTTAAGTCCATTTATGGGATTAAGGGCACTTCCAGTGACCCTACTCTCTCAACTTACATATAATTGCATTCTGGTTGAGGAGCTGAATTGAATGATATCCTCCTGAAACCAGTAGTGCTACCCTTGACTGGCAACCCCTTTGACCTGTGTGGTATATCTTTACTTTTCTCATCAAGCTCACATGCCCCACTTCTCCCATCATGTGACTTTTGGTATTCAATTACTTCCTTTGGGCACATGGTAGATCCAGCTAACCTACCTCTTTATTGACATCATGGTGACATTGCATGAATTACTCCATTCCAAGAAATGTGACCACTTGTGAATATGAAATTTTTACTTTTGATATAGCCCAACAACAAAAATGTTGCATGACAGTGTTGTGTGGAGATTAAATGGAGCAATATTGATATTGCCTAGCTAATGAAGCAAAATAGCATAAGAATTAATCATAAGAAAAAAGAATTTGGAGTATCCTTGAAAAACATCATTGTCATCAAAAAGTTATAAAGACTTTTCAATCTATTGGATATACCTTTAGTCCCTTTTTGTCTTGAATTCTGCTTACAGGGATATTGTCTGTGATGCTAAGCCAGGATGTTGACAGCACTTTTGGTTGCTCAGGTCTATCCCCTTGGACAGTATGTTTCTGGACATCTTCCACTTGAGCAACATGAAAATGAAACACATCTTGTCCTCCTCGTTCCTTTACAAGGGACTTAGACATTGGAGGGCTCTTGATGAAAGAGAAGAGGTTTTCTTCTCTGTCAACCTGTTGCTTCCTACTGTGGAGGCTCACATTTCTTTTGGGAGCTTCACCAGAAACATCATCTTGAGATCTTCCTTTGGGCACATGGTAGATCCAGCTAACCTACCTCTTTATTGACATCATGGTGACATTGCATGAATTACTCCATTCCAAGAAATGTGACCACTTGTGAATATGAAATTTTTACTTTTGATATAACCCAACAACAAAAATGTTGCATGACAGTGTTGTGTGGAGATTAAATGGAGCAATATTGATATTGCCTAGCTAATGAAGCAAAATAGCATGAGAATTAATCATAAGAAAAAAGAATTTGGAGTATCCTTGAAAAACATTGTCATCAAAAAGTTATAAAGACTTTTCAATCCTCAATCCAGGATATACCTTTAGTCCCTTTTTGTCTTGAATTCTGCTTACAGGGATATTGTCTGTGATGCTAAGCCAGGATGTTGACAGCACTTTTGGTTGCTCTGGTCTATCCCCTTGGACAGTATGTTTCTGGACATCTTCCACTTGAGCAACATGAAAATGAAACACATCTTGTCCTCCTCGTTCCTTTCCAAGGGACTTAGACATTGGAGGGCTCTTGATGAAAGAGAAGAGGTTTTCTTCTCTGTCAACCTGTTGCTTCCTACTGTGGAGGCTCACATTTCTTTTGGGAGCTTCACCAGAAACATCATCTTGAGACACTCTCTTTCTTGTACTTTTTCCATTGTTCTCCTTACTCTCATTCACTTGGAAAGTGAAGTGTAAGTTCTCCACTCCATCCATTCTCCTGCAGAGGGTCATGGCAAGGATGAATGTGATCCACATAGCTGGACCATTGTAACTTAAAACAACTAGGTATCCCATTCCCTTGCTTGTTTTTATTGAGAAGCATATATGAAATTTTCTTACCACCAGATCAGAGAATAAGGGGATTGATGCAAAAGTTCTCACCTCCATCTGATGCCACATACTCTCAAATCCAATTGCACAAAGGAGGATGCCAAAAACCAGCCCCCACGTTACAAACCAAAGCTGGTGTCAATCAATAGATCTTGATGAATAGATCAAAGTTGTCAATGGGCACAAATCTGTCAAGAGAGTATGTTCATTGAGTTCATCAAAGTTCAAAACTTTGGTCGCTCTAATTCTTTTGCAACGCTTACAAATGTACTGTATTAAACTCCTATATTGTCATTCACCATGAATCTTGAGAATGGTATAGTTGAATTCTTCTTGTTGAACATTTTTCAATGATGTATAGGTCTATTATCAGGCCAGATAATTATTATCTGGCATAGCCTTACTTGTGTCTTCTTTATACATGTATCTGCGAACATCCCATGGAATATTTCTATGCTAACTAGTGCAGGGGTTAGTCGTCAATATACGTGCAGGTTTTCACGAGGTAACAGTGCTCCGTTTTTCTTGGACACTAAAGACAAGATGGAGGTGTCAGAAGAACACATTAGGCATATAATGCTTTATGAATTTAAGAAAGGGAATAACGCGACCGCAGCCTAAATGGGTGCTTTATCACAATGTTAAGCGTCGTCGACAGTGGGCTAGTGCCGGGGAACCTGCTGTACCACAGGCAAGAAGAGGTCTTCACCCCAGGAAGATTTTGCTGTGCGTTTGGTGGGATATTCTTGGTGTTGTTTATTTTGAACTGTTGCAGCCCAATGAAACCATAACAGTGGAGGTATACTGCCGGCAGCTCCAAAGTTTGAGCGCTGCATTGCAGGAAAAAGTTCTTTATTGGCCAATCGCAAGGGTGTTTTGTTTCATCAGGACAACGCGTGTCCTCATACCGCTCGGATCACGTGTGCCAAAATTGAAGAGCTGGGTTGGGAAAAAATTCCACATCTGCAGTACTCACCAGACATTGCACCCTCTGATTACCACCTATTCAGAAGTCTACAAAACTATCTCAACGGAAAAGAATTTGAAAGTTTGGAGGCCATCAAAAGTGACCTGTCTGCATTTTTTGCTTCAAAGCCAAAGGAATTTTCTAAACATGGAATTGAAATGCTTGTAGAAAGGTGGCAGAGAACGAAGGAGAATATATACTTGATTGAAACTTGATGCGATGCAGGTGTATTTTAATTTTGAAAAACAGAGAAAAAAACGACATTACTTATGGGATGACCTGATATTTAAAAAAGCTATTACATCTATTACCAGGTTTAATATACAGGGTGTTCATATTTAAACGCAACATAGGGAATATATTGCTGCCTGTAGGTGGAGGTCGAGGAATGCTATATGGCCCACCAGGTTGCAGATCTGCAAGGATACTACACACCAGGGATAGGTTCCATCCTTCCAGATATGCAACCCGGTGAGCTATAAGGCACGCCCTGAACTCCACACACAGGCAGCAAAAACTTCCCTATGTTGTGTTTAAATACGAACACCCTGTATTAACCCTTTAATGCATGATGTAGCAGATATGCTACATACCAAATAAACATTTTTAGAATGTGCAGGTAGCAAGCTCCTGAAGTAAATTGTTCGTAGCAGATGTGCAACAGCCCTAGTAGCACATGACATTGAAACAACATTGATTCACCATTGATTCAATATTCAGATGTTGAATCAATGTTGTTTCAATGTTATGTGCTACTAGGGAGTCTGGTCCTGATACCTAGCAACTATGCTGTCTCTAGGTGCTGTACACTCCTGGTGGCAATCAAATGAAAACCAATCTGGCTTTGTCGTATGGCAGATTGACATTTTTTACTATTTAAATTTAAGTTTCTTAAACTTTACGTTAATCCAGGGTCCAGGCTTCTCCATAGTTTTAAACTTTGATGACTCAATGATCGCACTCTCTGACAGATTTGTGCCCATTGACAACTTTGATCTACTCATCAAGATCTATCAATTGACACCTGTTTTGGTTTGTAACGCAGGAGGCAGCGGTCCCATAGAAAGTTGTCATCCTCCTTTATTACATGATTAGAAAATATCTTCATCAAACATATCACAGGCCTATCTATAGCATATACAATAAAGTTTTTAACAGAATAGAAAAATGTGGGGTCATATCAGCATCACAAACTATAACCTACTTCTCATCCCTCTGCAATGGATGCTCAGGAAACTGATAATTTTCAAACAAAAAATGTACTTTAAAATTTAGAATCAACAGCTGAAACTCCCTTTCATCAATTCAAGTAAACTGATAAAACTTTCTCATATTCATATTGAATTTCACAGTGTAAAGTACCTTTCTCAGCTGAATACACACCACCACAACAAAGCACAGACATAACTGACTGGATCTATAATTCATAACCACTTAGAACTTAAGACAGTTCATCAATATTGCACCAAGAAAAAAACTCACTCAAAAAAAAACTTGGGCTTACCTTCTCTTTTCAACATGTAGAGGAGGTGTTGGACTACTACCAGATCTATTTCTCTTGTTAATATTCTTCCCAGAACCAATAGAATGCTTGAAGGAGAAGGGATCTTCCAAGTCACTCATATCCGTTCTTCTAGGATATTGATCTTTTTCCTTCTTTTTAGAACTTCCACATGCATCAAGAGCATTTAATGATGCTGCATGTAAGAGAGGCTCTGCAATTGAATGTCTGAGTGCTGGTTGAGCAGTTTTGGACTTAAATTGTGATTCCAGATCTACAGGTGCCATAGTCTCATTTTCACACTGTCCTTTATCCAGGCTATCCTCCACATGTTTCACTTTGACCATCTTGGCAGATTTTTCATTCTGTAGGGCCGAAATCTCATCAATTTTCTTCTGAACTAGTGATGCTACTTTCTCATTTTCACCAGCTAATGAGAAAGATGAATCAAGTCTCTCCTTGAGATGATTCATATCTTTATGAACAACTTTGGCTGGTGGGATGGCAAGTTTATTTTCTAGACTCTGTTCATGGATGTCTCCATCAATGAAGTGACTATTGGCATTTGATTGAGCCTTCAGCTTTTCCATCACCTTTTGTATCTGATCTGATGTAGCCCTGGGGTTGCACACCACCTCCAGTGAGCATAACAGGATGGCCAAACCTATTTCTGCATCCTGAATCAAACGCTCCCCTGATTCTTTCAGTCTACCTGCAAGAATAATGAAGAAACATTTGAAAAGAAGGCACACCCAAAGAACAGTGGGATTACCAGAGACAGATGGTATGGATGGATACTAGATATGGGTTGACAGAAACAATAGCAATGCTCACCCTGTACAGCCCTCAGGACAGTCACATGTTCATCAGCACTTGGCATACATCTTGGATGGATGACAATTCCTCCAGGGTTTACAACACCATTTGTCAACAATGATGAATGGCCACCTGTAGAGGTTATAAAAAGGGATCACTTTTAGAGTTTCAGATGGGATCCACCATAGCCTTCCTCCTTACACTGCCAGGCAAGGTCAACATGAACCCTGCACAGGGTTCCACGATTGTGTATCAGTGCATTTCCATGTGACTGAGAGAAAATTTGGTTTGGTTTGAGGTGAGATCACATACCACATTGAAGGTGGAGGATAGATGGAGATGGAGGTAGAGGTTGTTTTATACTAATCCACTGCTCTGGCTCTATGACACATGTAGGAGTTGGTTACCAGCATTTTTGTTGTGGCCAAAATGTCGTATGCACTTTTGGTCAATGCACTATTTCATCACAGGCAAAGATAGCCTCATGGGTGAAAGCAACTGAACAAAAGGGTAGAAAAGAATAGGGCCCCTGTGTTCCTCATGGATATCAGCTGGGGAAGGGAAGGGGAGGCAAAGGGTTGCAGTCATTCTTGGCATTATTGTGTACCATTTCATGTTCATGTGTGTATATCTAGTCTTGTTAACCCTTTCAGACATGAATCAAGGCAGCTCTCGGAATAATATCCTTTTTGCATTTTTGAGCTCTTTCATGATTATGATTTAAATTTTCATGCTTTACATGTAGTTTTTATATTTTGTATAAATTTACTATATCATGATATATTATATATAATACATTTAATTAAATAACTGAAGATTACAAAACTAATGGGAGAAAGAAGGCCTCTGATGAAACTGAGCCATGCATAATTTTACCCAATGTAGCATAATATGGAGCACAAAGTCATGAGAATCCTAAGAAATTGCCATAGACACAGTGTAAATGCAATGTCCATTGGAATGGACACCAGGTCTGAAAGGGTAAATGGCACTTGAATACCTCAAGACATTTATAAGTAAAGCTTTGCACTGTAGAGAGGTGAAGTTTTGATAAGATAGCATGGTGATGTGAGCTACAAAGCTGTAAGGGTAGGATGCACACAAGAAATGATGCAGTGGCCAGGTCATCCACTGACCACAATCATGCACCCAGTTCCAATTGTGTCCAAGTGACAAATGCAGTTGAGGAGCTGAAAGCCACTGCTCAAAATTCTCAGGAACCCATGTGTAGACTTGTGCAAGCTGCATCTGCTCCTAGCCCTTGCAATGCCCTCATGACAAGGAGAATGTGATGAAGTAATGCATATACCAAAAATGTGATGTTTTGTCTGTGACAAAAGTGCTAGTCACAGTAGGAGTAACATTCACTGCTGACACTGCCCCAATTTGTTTTATGCAGGAACTCCACCCTTCCCCTCTTGCACTGTATATCTTGCAGGGCACTGTAAGTAGAAAGACTATGGTTACATAGGCATGCTCTTACCTGCAGCTTCAATAATTTTGGCATAATTGGCCAACTGGTCAGAACTAATAAAGTAGAACTCTTTCCCAAGGAAGAGTGTCCGACGTCTTAAGTTCACTTTCAAGAGAGTAGTTGCTTCTGGAGCAAGTACCAAGCCATCAAATGGGAAGGGCAAGTAGTGTTCAGGGTCAGGCAGGGCATTTCCATGCTTGGCAGCATCAAGGATCCCAAAAAAGTAGTCCACTGTGACAATGGGTTTCCCTGCCACCAAGCACGACAGGCACTGAAATTGAGTAAATTATGCATTTCTATAACCAAAGCACCATGTTTATGCAGTGATGGGAGATGGAGAGTGATGGGGTTTATTATACAGGGTGTAACTTAAGTCACTAACCAAACATGAAATGATACAATTCTTTAACCCATGAAGTTAATATTTCTGCTTTGCTATTTCTGAAACGTAGAAGGCCTAAAGTTCCATCCTCCTCATTTCAGGTAATGGCTTCTACACTTCCCACTGAGCAGTGAGTCGCTGTAGTGAAACTGTACTACGAGAGCAAAAGTACCACACAAGCACAGCAGGACTGGAGGAACTCTTTTGCTTCTCTTGCTCATTCCTCCGATTCCGCTGCGCTTGTGTGGTACTTTTGCTTTTGTAGTACAGTTTCACTACAGCGACTTGCTGCCAAGGCTTCGGAACTGAATTTTTTCATTGCATGTTTTGTTCCATTCCCCCTGAACCCCATGTGTTCCGGTTTCTGTTCCCTTCCACGATGATTAATTTTGTTCCGTTCCGCTGCATTCCATTCCATTCCACTGTTCCATGGAGAAACTTAGCGCAAGCAAAAAAATTGTTAGTCCTATCCATGATATGCCAGAAATTTTCTTCAAAAATCATTATTGCAAAGGAAAAAATGGTCTGGGTACTTGGAACGGAACAGAACGGAACAAACTTATTCCATTTTCTTGAGTAATCAATTTTGTTCTGTTTCAGATTTTCCTTCCTTGGCCATCAGCAGACGGTGTTCCGTTCTATTCTGAAGCCCTGCTCACTGCTCAGTGTTAAGTATCGAGCCACCAACCCGCAAATTGCACACGCCAAATGAAATAGACTTCATTGAGTTCCTGAACGTGGGTAGAAATATGAGGCTTGAAGTACAAATCTTTGGGAAGGATACGGTTGACTGGCCGAGGACAGTTTCAAGTCCCAGCCGGCAAGCGGATTTCGTTGGTGTCTACGTGATTTTGTTGGCAACCAGCTCGATATTCTCCGCTGATCTGCCACTGCACTTCGCTTGATAAAAGGTTTCCTTCACAGATGGAGAACAAACGAACGACGGTGACGAGCACCTCCAAAGAAAGTTGATCGGGCATTATCAGACAACCACTTGGAGAAGCAAAATCTATTAAAATAACGGTGAATGGGGCTCCGTTGTAGCCTATATCTGTTTTATATTTACAAATGTTGCTTCTTGTTTTGTGCCAACTCATCCCATTTCTTATTAGTATTTCATGCAAATATCCAATATGTTTGGTCAATTAACGCACGCTCTTTAACATGCAAAAAAAGTTTGCAAATAAATACCTTCCTTGCACAGTTATAGCTGTTCAAAGTCGTTCAGTGACTTTTGACTCACCCTGTATATTAAACTATGTATCATTTTGCTTTCATGAAACATGCTCAAGTTGATCTTTTCACCCTTGCTTCCTCTCTGGGGTCTTTTCTGACCCCACTCCTAAAAGAACAATACTGAAGTTATTAATGGATGTCATTTTTCTCTGTCACCTTTTGGACTGTAAATATGCATTGGCAATGAAATATGTGAGTGGTTCAAATATGACCTGGACTTTTTTTCTGCAGGTCTTAACACAGAACAATTTTACTTTATTTAGTTATAACCCTGTTGAACAGGTATGGTGGCTCACTTGTCCCCTGCCCACAGTATTTCTCAAAACAGACAGGATGGCGTCTGGTGACTTGCCAAGCTTTGTAGAACAGCATTGCAAAATCAAGTTTCTTGTGGAAGAAAACCTAAAACCAGCTGAAATTTACAAAAGGTTGAGAGCACAGTTTGGCGATGACTACCTCTCACGTGCGAGTGTCTACCACTGGTGTAAACATTTCAAAGAAGGCAGACAGTCTGAATGCAACTTGGAAAATGATCAGCAACCAGCTACTGCTATGAATCTGACCAACATTCAACAAATTGAACTGCTCATTCTTGGGAATTGATACATAAATGTCTGAGATATTGGGCTGTACGAATAAAACCTGAGCCCAGGCTCAGAGCTTGAGCTGAGACTGAGCTTTTCCTCCGTTTTTAATGAATAAACTTTCACTCAAGCTCTGAGCTTAATAATAATAATAATTCATTATGACAGCAGATATGACAGACGGTGCTGCATGAATAGTTACCTCTATTATGTATTTATGTATGGGTAGTGAAAATAACATCAGTTGTCTGAATGAGCCCATTGCTTTCAGATCTTACTTGAAACACAAAAATGAAGGATGATTCTGACAAAGCTGCTGATGATGAAACCATCAAACATAATATATCTAATATATTTATTAGATTTAAAAATCCAGTAATATTTTTTCTAATTCAGTGCATATGTTTTCATAGACCCCAAAAAACACTGGCTATCTAGTGATTATCTCAGTTTAAAGGTCAGATAGCAAATGTGTTAATTCTTAATGTCAACATAGTGGACATTTGAGTCCAGGAATTTGGCATTTACATTTTTTTATTATTTTCTCCTATACTGTGTAGTTATAGGGAGAGCATGTCAAAATCTCATGCATTATCCCAGCTAAACTGCTCTGATGGTGTTAAATAAATTACTAAAACCAAAATAGAATACATGAGGATGAGCACAATCCTCTCACTCATGTGAACTTGATCGCATATTTCAGGATTTTGAAAGACAAATTGGGAAAATGGATAGAAAAACCACTAGTAAGGATAAATGACAGCTCACCTTTGAAGTCATAGTGCTCTTCTCCAGTACAAGATGAGTAATGCTATTCATCCATAAGTTTGTCACGCTTCCTCCCAACTCACTGACCAAACCAACCAATTTTCTAGCTGTCTCTGCATTCAATGCAGAATGAGTCACATGCAGCTGAAGCTTGCAAATGCTGGAAAAATGGTGAGCATAAAATTCATGGGCTGAAATGTATAAAACATCTCACAGTAGGCCTGAAGTGCACAATGGGCATATTATAGCTCAGATCAAGAACACCACAAAGTTTTCAACAGACTGTCAAGGACTACAACAACAAGAGCTGGTCACTCCTGTTGATGGCACTTTCTGACAGAAAAACAAGCTGTTCAGGAGCTTTGTTAGAGGCAAATTCTGCAATCAACTTAGAGTGTAGCTACTCCTTTTTTATTTTTTAATACCACAGCTTTAGTCTCATCCCAATCCCACCACATGTGTGCAATCCATTAGTTGAACAAGGTTTACACTGATGTTATTAGAAAATTACCAACACACTGTGCTCCGTGGCTGTTGAGGTGATAATGCTCAGGAAGCAAAATGCCATCAACCATCAAGTAGTAAAAATAGTCCCTTGCACAGAGATCTATGCCCAAAGGGCCATATCATATCCCAAGGTGCACATACAAATTAAGAATGGCAAAGGGAGACACTGATGCACTGCAAAAAGTCTCAGTTTAGTCAACCGGAATCAAAATTTAATGGTTTTATGAACTTTTGATTGATATCATTTTCCATTGTGGGAACAAATATTTGAAAATGATAGGAAAAAGACCTGTCACAAGAGGTTCAGAGTCTACTTTAGAACTTGATGGTTAAATGGTCAAGAGTGACAAGGCTGTCTATACACTATACCAAAAGGTCCACTTATAGGATTGAAGGCAGGATGTATTTATCTTATGATGTTGTTCATGGTAAAAAAAAGGAACAGGTTTGTCATATCAGTTCTATAATTGCTGTTCATGGGAAATGATTGTAGTTAATATGCAAGTTATATTTTTAGAACAAATTCTACTGAACCAATTGAGCTTATTTTACTGAGAGTAAAACTAAATGGGAGGAAAATTTTCCTCAAGAAAATTGAGTGGAATATTTGTGTGCTCTGCACCTTGGCTCTTTTCTTTCAGAGCCTGGTATGTGGAAAGGATTTTTGGACATGGATCTCCCTAGAGCACATAGTTTTTCATGGCAGTCAGCTGGCTGTTAACTGCTTTTCTGGGCATCACCACTTCTGCAAAATATAATGCACTGGTTGTCTCAAAGCAGCATTCATAGTGTTTTCAAAGTCTCAATGATTTTTTATGAAAAATTTATTCCAAATTTTTCCAGGCAGATGGATTGGTAGGGGATCAAAAAGACTGTCCACTCTGTTTAACTAACCTCCACATAGCCCAGATCTTTCAACCAGTGATAATGCTCTTTGGGATATGAGACAACACAACAATTGGAAGAAGCAGTTTGTAGTGCTTTTTACAAAGTCACACCACTCATGCTATGAAACATGAACCAACGGACCTGGTGCTGTATTAGTCTGTGTGCAGAAAGTGATGGTGCCCACACTGATGTCATTGATGTTTAATGTTGAAGAGGATGTCCAGTGTTTCATTTTGTACAGATAATATCAGGTTGTAAAGGTGAAATTTAGACATTTTCCAGAAAAAAATTTATTGACAATTAACTCAACAATGACTAGAGTGCAGTCTTGCGTCAATGTATCTGTTGTAGGTTCACGATAAACACTCACACCCACAATGCCCACTGGTCACTCTACTTATACACCTACATAGAAAGTTCTAACATTTTCCAGATTTTTCTAGAAAAAATCGAAATGTCTAAATTTCACCTTTACAACCTGATAAAATGTACTATTACAATATTCAGTATTTCATTTTGTTACTGCAAAGCGAGTACAGAAAATGTAGGGGTAAAGGGACAGACTTTTGGGACACCCTGTACATCAGATGAGTAAGACATTCAATAAAATGTCAAACTACCAATTTTTACCTGTATCACTAGTATAGACTTAATATCCAACACCAATATGTTATAGCTTCAGATTCCAAGCTTAGCCCTTCATCTGCTGGGTTTTGTTTTGAGGTGGTACCCCATATACAAGTATATTTCAAGCTTATGCCAGCAATATGAAATATCATACTGATTTGAAATTGTGCACACTCACATCAGTAGTGAAAGTTATAAATTGATGTTATATAATTGCCTGATTGACTAGATTTACATGTACTGCACCATGAACAAAGAATGGTACCTCCTTGAAGTGGTGCCTGTATATAGGGTAAGCCAAAAAAATGCACCAATTTTTATAGCTTATATCTCAGGACTAGTATGAGGTAAAGGTAAAGGTTCAGGACTACTGGAAAGAGTATTTAATTGGCTTTAAAATATAGCAATTTTTTTTTTCACATTTCAAATGATAAATTACCATTTAACCACAGTTTTATAAGTAAAAAAAATTATGCTGCCATCTACAATTAGGAAACTCATTCATTATTTGATTCAGAGTATTACTTCTCCTCATACAAGGCCTCAATCAGAGATTTGTATAATTCACTCAAAGCCATCAGGAAGCTTCAAAGTTCCAAAGAAAACAAAAGCTACTTCAAAACCATGCACCAGGAGGAGTGACACGCTACACAACATTCTAGAATGTAACAGACAAGCTACTGTGCTCCACTGCCTGCCCAATGCTGAGAATGCCCAACGGTAAGCCACTCAAGGTCATGCCACTGCTGCAGCCACGGCAGCTCACTTTTTGCAAAGGGTTTGGAAAAGTGACCATTCAAAGCTTTTCGTTATATTTTGTCGACAAATGCAGTACTGTTTTAAAGCTAAAAAAATGCACTTCCTTATGAGAGCACCAGGGTTCCAAAAAACTGCACTGTTCCTGAAATACAAGCTGAGAAATATCAGTGCTGTTTTTATTGGCCCACCCTGTATATACAGGCATGACAGTGAAAGGGTTAGAGAACTGGCAACAAAAGATTTATGACTTCTCACATTTATGAATAAAACTGTGAATTCAAGGAGCATCAAATTGAGTTACTGACTTTGTGAACATCATGAGTTTCCTTCATAATTTATCACCAACGGTTGTGTGCCTCTGCACTAGCCCATCCAATTGGTGGGGAGAACAAAACTTGTATACAAACCATAAGAAAGAGAAACTGTTTCAAAAGCTGATGTCTTATGAAGCAATTTTATTATGAAAACAACTCCCATGCCTGCAGGTCTCTCTCCACCCACCTGCCATTGGCTTGCCTAGAGTCCCGCAGGCTTGACTGGAGATTATGTTAAACATAGCTCACAATGGAAAAATTTGGTCCTGGTAGGGAGAAAAATTTCTGAATAAAAATTCAGGAGGTGAATTCCAAATCGCGTGTGACAAAGCCCAGAAAAAAACTCAGCCAGTTACATATACAGAGTGACCACAAAGTCTGGAACCAATGGGGAATACAGTTCACATATGCTCAAAATATTCTCCTGCTATCCAATACATGTTTGAAGGCAATGCTTCAAGTTTAGATGAACCAATTCAACTCATTTCTCTCTTGTCAAAGTCATGTTCAAAACTTCAGTAATTCACCAGCAACAAAAGAGGGTTTGTAATAAATTCTATTCCCCATTGGTTCCAGACTTTGCAATCAACCTGTAGACAGGCCAAATACTATAACACCTCTGTGAGGTGGGGTTCATGACCAGAGGGAACAAAATGAGAACTTGGGACAAGATCGTGTGGATCTTTAGAATACAAGAGTGGTAAAGGTCTTGCTAGCACATTATTTAAATAATATTTACTTACTTGAATACAATTTTATTTCCAAAGAGAAGTTTTGTTCCAGGTTTGAGTCTGAAGTACTTCATGGATGCAAGTTTCTGCCATTTCTGAGTTGAGTCCTTCATGATATAAGTGCCAACTTTGGAGTTCAGGTCTTTCACAGCTAGGCGACATCCCTCACTTGAAGATGTGGTAGACTGTGATGTCTGCAAGAGATAGAAACCTCAAAATATATCATGACCATTTTCAACCATTACTACCGCCTTCAACCAGAATTGCATAATGTAATAATATGCTCAATATACTAGCCTGTTGTGTGGGAACCAAAATAAACTCAAAATGAAATCAGCTAACAGTGTGATGTAATGGTGCCATAAAATGTCAGTCTCTGAGCTTATTTAAAATTCTAGGGTTTATAATGGTAAGTATGTGATATAAATAAAACCTTCAAATATTCTCCTGTTTGCTCATGAAGAGTGATGGAATCAGGCAAGTGACAGATCTCCAGTCCTGCACTGTGCATTCAGCATGATACAAAAATTGCTCCAAAATATTAGTAAAGTGACCCTGAAAGTATGTTACATTAACACCTTTAAAATGTGGAATATTAAAACATGCTAGGGTAAATATAACTCCCCCCCCTCTAATTTTACCATTATTCAGAACTTCTCTCAAGGTGAAGAGAATCAAATGCCTATCGGAGTAATTACAAGAGGTGGAACTTGAATTATGACAATACCTTTACATAAATATTAATTTACTGTGCAATCCAAAGATATATCTTAATATTTTTATGAAAAGCTACAGATATTACTGGCTTTCAGTAAGTAGGTTAGGTCAATGTAGGGGAGGGGGGGGGGGGAGTTCAATTTAAGCAAGGCTATTTCAGATAGAAGAATAATAAATTTCATGTGATACATATATCTGATTTCCATTAAGATTGATTCACCCTAACCAAAAGCATAACCCAGTTTTAAATCATTTTCTCACCACCAGGTTCTGAGTTGTGTAGTTCTACAAATGGAGGGCAGTTGAGCAAAGAATTTTGATAAACTTATTACACTTCACAGATGGATGACCTGAATCAATATGATGAATTCATGACATAATGACAACATTGTATGGACTATTGGTTTTTATGCAGCAGATGATATGTTTCAAATTGGCTCAAGTAGAGCAAAATCAGTATTGTTGCAGTTGGTGCTCAACCAACTGTATCACTTTTTTCCCTTGTTCAATCAACAAAAGAAGTCAGCCATTATGTATAAACATCTCTAATACAGTTCAAAGACTGCAGATCCTCCATGAAGAGATCATCACCATGCTTCTGCCAAATAACTTGATAGATGCTGCTTGTTGGTCCCTTTCATCTTCAATATAAATCCTACAGTCTAGACATCCAGGGACAGACACCTAGAAACCAGAGTCTACAACGTCAGGTTATACCCCATGGGCACAGAAAAATCCAGACAGCAGGAGACCGAAAATTGACGGGGGTAGAGCACTGCAGTATGGTAGAGCACCAACTGCAATAATACAGTAAAATCTGTGCAAAATGGATTCTGCATTTATTAAATGTTTGATTGGAAAGAAAACTGAATGGATATTTTTTCCAAACTCTTTGAACCCTGAAAGTGAGGGTAATGCCTTTTTGCAATGGTGATGCATGTGCCTATTAATTTGAACCTGCAACAAGAAGGCAGAGTATATAATGGAGACACCAACATTAACATTAGCTCTTTAATGCACGATTTTTTCATTTTCAGCTAAAAAAAAATCTGGTAGGTTTTACTCAGGTCATAGAACACAAGAAAAGGGAAAAAAAATTTACTTTCTCAAATATATAAGTAGTAGCAAAAGAAAAGATAAAAATACAGATGAATCTGGACCCTGGATTAGCATAAAGTTGAAAATATTGGCACCAACAATGTAAGTCTATCACAAGATGAAGCCATGAGTTTTTAATTTGCTTGCCACCAGGAGTGTAGGGCACCTAGTGACCACTGGGGTGCTAGTTACAAGGACTGGACTGTCACACATTTGCTACAAACTGACTTACTGCTAGATCTTGCTACCAATGCATTCTAAAAAATTTTACTTGGAACGTGGCATATCTGTGATATCATGCATTAAAGGGTTAATATGACAAAGAAAGGCTTAATTTTTGGACTTCAAAAGAATCTGAAGGTTTCCCTGGGCTGCCTAGATTGGAAAGGTAACAAATAGATATTTAAAAATAATAGTAATAAATAAAAATAAACAATAATAAATAATAATAAATAATAATAAACAATAATAAACAATAATAAATAATAATAAATAATAATAAACAATAATAAATAATAATAAACAATAATAAATAATAATAAACAATAATAAATAATAATAAATAATAATAAACAATAATAAATAATAATTAATAATAAGAGGCTCATATGGGTTGCAAGGAGCAGCTACTAGTCAACCAGATGACCCTCAACGATGCCAGATCAAGAAAAAAGAACCTTTTGATTGCTTGGATGGATTGTCAAAAGGCTTTCGACAGCATCCCACACTCATGGATCCTCAAGTGCTTGAAGTTATACAGGGTCAGCCCGAGAGTAGTACACTTTCTCACTCATATTATGCCAACATGAAGGACTACAATGACTCTTCAAGGGACAAGGGACAAAGTTGTCACAAGAACATCTGCTGTGGAATTTTTCAAGGCGACTCCCTTTCGCCATTACTCTTCTGTCTAGCCATCAACCCACTGAGTGAGTTGCTCAACTCCAGTGGGGTTGGGTACCATGTTGGAAAGGAGAAGACAGAGAGAACCACTTTGTTAACCATCTTCTATATATAGATGACCTCAAACTGTTTGCCTCAGGAGACTGACAGCTGGAGGGACTCCTGAATACCTTGGACATGTTCTCCACATTAGAATGATGTTTGGTTTCGACAAATATGCAAAGTTATCTCTTCGCAGAGGGAAGCCAGTAGAAACTGGCCCCATCACGACAACCAATCAAGAAAGATTTGACGAACTCCATGCCCAGAGCACTTACAAGTATCTGGGCTTTGAAGAGAATGCCACCACTGCTCATCAAGGGATGAAGGTAAAACTTTCTACTGAATTTAAGAAATGCATAAGAACAGTGTTAAAGACCGAATAACGGCAAGAATAAGATCACAGCAATAAATGCCTTTGCCATTCCCGTCCTCAATTACAGTTTTGGAATATTACATTGGACCATCGCTGAGATGCAAAATCTTGACTGCAAGACGAGGAAGCTGCTGACACTTCACTGGCAACACCACCCAAAAGCTGCGATTGAGAGACTGTATCTTCCAAGGAGAGATGGTGGAAGGGTCTGAACATAGAGGGTCTCCACCAGCGTTTGATGGCCAGCCTTCAGAGCTTTGTAGATGAGAAGAACAATGCCGGGTAAAACCTGCCATTTTGTAAAAGCCAGCTCTCCCACTGACCATGAAGACATCAAGAAAACCCAACAAGCTACCTTCCTCCAATGTTGGCATGATAAACCTCTGCATGGTCAGCATGCAAAAGTAGTAGAAAAGCCATGTGTAGACAAGAACTTCAGCTACCAATGGCTGAGTAGAGCCAGTCTGAAAGGGGAAACGGAAGGAACAATCTTTGCCGTACAAGACCAAACCATCAGGACCAGGTATTATGAACGTCATGTCATGGGAAAGGAAGTGAATGACACCTGTCGAGCCTGTCAGCAAGACCCAGAGATGTGGGCACCACATTGAGTGGGTGTCCAGCGCTAGCTGCAAACACCTACATAAAATGTCATGACAATGTGGGGCACAGAAGAACCAACAGAGAAATTTAAAGATGCCTGGCTACTCACTTTGAAATGAGCTATTATCGTATTTCTTGCTGAAGTAGTTTGGGAGATACTGCATTTGTTTGAGGGGTCATTTTACCCTTCCCTCTCAAACTTTCAAAGGGCATACCTAAAAGACTGTTGGACTTAGACAGCTGAAATTTCAGATTTACCCGTTTCTCATAACCCCCAGTACAGATGATTTTTAACAATAAAATCCCAGTTGGTGCAGCAACCAACCTGGCGAAAATTGGTCCACTTGACATGGAATGACTCTGTTACCCCTCTTCATCTCTCTATATACCACAATGCACAATGACATTTTATAATTGTTGTAAGAAGGAAAGCATCAATGCTATTTTAATAGGATAAGATAATCTATGAGCAATTCTAACAGTACACTGAAGTGCAAAAAATAGGTAAAAAAAAAAAAAAAGTTCAACTATAACTTTCATAACCATAGAAAAGAGCTCAAAATGAGAAAGATGACTCAACTAACCAAATCAGTTGATGGCTGAAGTAGTTGAAGGTGAGCATGCATCCGGCTCACAGAGAAGTCTCCTTGAACATTAATATCACAATCAGTCCCTCTGCCAACTGAATATGGCCTATCTTCTATAAAATAATACCACCTCTTCAAATTACTCGTCTCTGTCAAGGCCTCCATGAACCACATCTTTTGGCATTTGTCTCCAATGCCCTGAAAATAAGGATATCACTTAATATTACTAAGGGAGACAAAGTTTATTATAACTTCAAAATATGGTCAGCATAATCTCTGATCTAGACATAGTGCTTTAGGTACTCAGGCCAGCAAGAATGCATTTCCATGCATCCACAGAATGTTGATATTCCTATGCATAGCTCATCCCTTATATTACAAGCACACTATACAGGTAGACCCTTTCCCATTTCAGAACCACCCTATGAAAATGTGCGATGTATATTCAGCTAAAACGGAAAGCAGTGGCAGACCAGTATGACTTGGTAAGAATTATGGTCATTCACACAAAGCAAGTAGCTGCCCCCTTCTCTGCCATTGATCTGCATTGAGCATGATGTCTTGCTATCTACTCCTCAGGATTCTTTGAAGCTGGAAGTAGTTCTTAAAGGAAAGACATGCTGGGAAGCAGCCAGAAAGGTAAAATTTGACATATCCATGGCATCTGATCAAGTGTGGCATGGACGGCTCCAACACAAACTTCAGGGCTATGGCATCCATAGTCCACTTCAATACTAATCTCTAGTTTTTTCTCATCTTCTTCAGTTGCAATTATATTTGATATTGTGCCATGACCTGATATCCTTTAGGGCAATGGCTATATCCAAAACTGTTCTGGATCCAGTTATATCAAGGGCAGCTTAACTACTATTCTCTTCAAATCAATACTATTTGTCCCTCCTTTGATAGCAAGACTTGGCAGCCCAATGGTTTATGGCTCTGGTGTCTATACCTGACTAAATGGCTTGAATCTCAGACCTCGCAATTGGCTTTTCTTTCATTCACTTCAATTGAGTTTCAGTCAGGGATCCCACTGGTTTGGTGTTACAAGAAAGCACACACAGGGTTCCAATAAATGTTGAACATGGGGAATTTGCCCTGGATATAAGCAGTAGCATTCTTTAACCCTTTCACTGTCCATATAAATTTTAGTTTCCTCCATAAATAACTTAAATTGTATGCAAACAGATTGAAAATATATACAATTGTCATACTTTGTGATATTTAAAACTAAATTTTGGTTCTGATGACATGTTTCTATTGTTTAATGGGAATGGGAAATATTTGTTGATGTGAACTACAGTCAAACTTTGCAGTACAAGGGTATGAGGTGCAGTTTGACTATAGTCAAATGTCACAGCAAAAGGGTTAAGCCATTGATCCATGGTCCACACAACTTAACTGCACTACAGAACTCCTTGACCTAATGCAGGACTCATCTGGAACCAATTGTACCTTTCCTATGTCTGAATGCAACAGGTACATGCAACTTTCTTAGATTTCTTGAGTTTCTGAGAAGGTTCCTCGCTGTATCAAAGATGTAGGGTAGGTTCTGCATGGCTATGACAAATGTTAGCCTAGCCTAGGGGCTAATTTATCAAAGGCTGATTTCCCAGGATCACGCCTGAATACTATTCAGCACCAGGGGAGGGGGGGGGGGGATTTCTTGCTACAAGCCAAAAAGGAACATAATTCTGATAAGCTCTATGCCAGGGGTGGCCAAACTTCCTGATCTTACGAGCCGCATTACAAAATCTTAATATGGCCAAGAGCCACAATACACATACCACTCAACGCATGCATTCTCTAAACTCTAGAGAATGCATGTCTAGACTTGAATAGTCTAGAGCATTTCACCGCGAGCCACACTTCAACTGTCCGATAGCCGCAGTTCGGCCATTGCTCTATGCCATGTGGTTCTGGTATCCCAGCACATGCTGCCGCACCCGAGTTATTGAAATCCGCATTGATCAGTGATGCCCAGATTACATTTTTCGTGGGGCCCACTTTGGACCAATGTGATCTTCTAACGTCAGAATACGTTGGTCCGACGTAGGTTATTCACGTAGGCCCCACGTAAAAGTGACCATTGGGCCATTGTGGGGCCAACGTTGCCAGGAAGTTGAAGCGCAACATTTAACCCACTTACCCAAGTAGCTGGTTTTCGCTCTATACTGGCCATCATTTCATATCGTATCACAGTGGTTCAGAATCCGTCAAAACCTGGCCAAAAGTCGAAAAATGAAGTTTTAATAATTGTGGGGGGAAATCTTATTATTTTAAATCAGAGGGGTCCATGTATCACTAAAACAACAAAATATGAGTTTCTCCCTCCCCTGTGACGGAGTAATTACCTAGTGTTGGAAACTTCACGACAGGCGTAGGTGTCGTTTTGCAGTAGTCAGTTTCCTGGTAATGGCTGTTTTAAAATAAAATAACCACTTCATATAAGAAAATGAAATTTGCTCCAACGGAAGGTGATGATAAGTGCCTTCTTTTCTATTGGTTGTTAGCCTTGTAAAAAATCAGATTTGTCCAGAAATTGCCCAAGCAGCATGTTTACGTAAACAAGATATCAATTCTTTGCAAACAATGTAAATTTATTGCGATTGCCATGAAAATGACATCACGTTTACGTAAAATTTACGTTCCTATGTTTACGTCACCAAAGTGTACGTCTATTTTACATAAACTAGACGTCCCTCCATTTGACGTGAAGTACTTGACATCAAGTTTATTCTGAAGTTAAGCTTTTTATTACAGCAGTGCACGGGATTAGGGAAGAGTAGAATCCCAGCTCACAATTACTATATCTTCTCTATCCTAAAAGGAAGATAGCTCCTTTGAATATCTACGAGTAGTTCTTCTCCCGAGGCTCCAGTACGGGAGGAGGAAGCAGTAGGTCACTTTGGTACTCTTGAGTGCTGGTGAGGAGGTGTACTCGTGTACTCGTCCAACCACCCTGGAGTTCTGAAGTATGTAAAGGAATAGGAGATTCAGTATGTCAATTCTCTTTAATGGTACTGATTGACTCTTTAAATACGCATGAATGCCAGGGAAAAATTAACACAAATCTTACGTAAAATGAATGTAAACATGCTGTTTGGAATGCAAACGGGAATGTCTATTTTACGTAAAGTTGACGTTAATTTTATATCACCGTTTACGTATCACAGAGGTGACATTTCTGCAAACATGTTGACATTTTCTTGACAATGGTTTGCGTAAAAATGATATAAAATGGATAAAAACTTTACATTCATTTTACGTAAAATTAACATAAACATGCTGTTTGGGTGGTTTATATTGACGGTATGTCCTCTTACGAAACGACGTTGCAGATGGCAATATAATTTTAGCCATTCTAACCACTCGAGCAAAAAACAAGCAGCTGGAACTATCATGACTGGATAACATACATATGTGAAACTTATTTTAGGAAAGTAAATCCTTGGCATTTATTGGCACACAAATTTCCGGTGAACAAGTTTCCAGGTCGGAAAAAAAATTGTAGTTTGAAAAAATGAGTTTCATGATTGCCCAATTTCTGGACAAATCTGATTTTTCACCTGGCCAACAACCAATAGAAAAGAAGGCACTTATCATCACCTTCCGTCAGAGTAAATTTCATTTTCTCACTATGAGGTGGTTATTTTATTTTAAAAGAGCCATCACCAGGAAACTGACTACTACAAAACGACACCTACGCCTGTCGTGAAGTTTCCAACACTAGGTAATTACTCTGTCAATTGGGGAAGGAGAAACTCAGAAATTTTGTTGCTTTAGTGCTACATGGACACCTCTGATTTAAATTAATCTGATTTTTCCACAATTATTAGGACTTCATTTTTCGACTTATGGCCAGGTTTTGACGAATTCTGAACCACTGTGCGTATACTTAAATCAGGGCCGGATTAAGGGGGCTGTTGCCCCGGGACCCATTCTTCTAGGGGGGACCCCAAAGGAACTTAAAAACGTTAAGTATTTGCGTAAATTGTGGGGAGGGGGTTAGCCCCAAGAATCCACTTGCCCCGAGCCTCGCCACTTCTTATTCCGGCCCTGACTTAAATTCATTATCCAGTGGAGGTATTCTCATCTGTAGTATGGAACCTGTACTATGTACTACAACCAGGCGTGGACATGTTTATACTAGCTAGTTTATTTGCCCTTCGGGCAAACAAATTCGCTATGGTCGCGCCTTCGTCGCTCCATTGTCCAAGTTAGTGATTCACTCATTAATTTTTTTATCAAAGTGGCAAAAACGTATTAAAATTATGTTCCTGTCAAAATGTGTGCCGAGAGAGAACGAACCGACATTTCCTTCGAAATAATTACTGCAATTATTTCTTGTGTGCCTAACTTCAAATCTTTTCATAATCTGTCCTGAGGGGTCTTATTTGAAAAGTAGAATATGCACTTAGCAAACCAACAGATACTTCTGCTCCAAGTTTCAACTTTATTTTAGTTCTCTCTTTCATTGGATGAGAAAAGATTCCGGAAAATGCACCTTTTGCAAAAAATGTGCCCTCGGGGGTTTTACCAAAAAATCAACATTTTTACTGAAATCAATACTTAAAGAACTACGTGCCTACCAAGTTTCAGTTTATCCGTTTGCTCTTCTTGCTGGTGGAAAAATATATTTCGAAAAGCCGACGCAGCCAATATCTGTGCCCCCAGGGCATTTTCCTCCAAATTCTGAATTTTTCTGAATTCAGGTTCCCAATAGGTTCCCATCTGAAAATTGATATTTTTCCTGAACTGAGTGTCTCAGTAGGCATGTCCATGCCATGTTTCAGCATTCCATGTCTCTCCGTTTGACTGAAGGAAATACATATCATTGAAAACATCTCCCCCCAAAATGGGTGCCCCCAGGGCATATATGTGGGTACCTCCAGAGTCGGATTTTTTCTGAACTCTGCATCCCAAAAGGTACATGTGTGCCAAATTTCAGATTTCTAACTTCTCTAGAACGTAATTAGAATTAGCGTCAGTTAGTCAGTCAGTCTCGATCTTCTATATACAGTATATTAGATGCCTTAGATAGGCAGGTGACCTAGGACAGTACAAATGTTGATCTACCCCTGACCATAGGCGCCGAACCCAGAGGGCAGAGCCGAATTAAGAAGTTGCGAAGCCCGGGGCAAGTGGGTTCTTGAGGCTACCTCCTTCCCCCAAAATTATAGTTGGGGGCATGTGCCCCCTTGCCCCCCTGCAGGGCCGGATTAAGGGGGAGGGGGGCAAAGGGGACTGTTGCCCCGGGCCCCATTCTTTCAGGGGGGACCCCCGAAGGAAATTGATGGGAGGATGGAGGGTTGTGCATACTTGGAATCATCCACCACGAAGGTTGGTAGGGAACTGACAACTCTGGTTGCTGCCCCCCCCCGCTACTTTACGCAAATATTTAACGTTTTTAATTTCCTTCGGGGGTCCCCCCTGAAAGAATGGGGCCCGGGGCAACAGTCCCCTTTGCCCCCCTCCCCCTTAATCCGGCCCTGCAGGGGGGCAAGGGGGCACATGCCCCCCCCAACTATAATTTTGGGGGAATTTTCCTTCGGGGGTCCCCCCTGAAAGAATGGGGCCCGGGGCAACAGTCCCCTTTGCCCCCCTCCCCCTTAATCCGGCCCTGCAGGGGGGCAAGGGGGCACATGCCCCCAACTATAATTTTGGGGGAAACCCCCCCCCCTCCAGAAATGCCAAATTTCAACAAAAGTATGACACATGGAAAATTGGAAACAAAATGTCGCTTCATGAAAGAAATGAAAAATATGATTTTCCTTTCTGTTTAGAGCTCCAATTGGGGGAGATCCCTATGTCACTCCGTAAGGCAGTGGTTCTCAACCCAAATGCTAGCTCGGTATGGTTAGAATCCGGACTACCATTTTTTAGCATTTGACAGACTGATAGGAGGAAAGGCATGTTCGGGTAGCATGAGTGACCTAGACTAAAAAGGAAAAGTTCGGACAGTCACTGGAGACACTTGGCGACCCACTCAAAATGGCTTGGCCCAAATTGGGTCGCGACCCAGGGGTTAAGAACCACTGCCGTAAGGGGATGAGTTGTACTTTACCCCACGTTGGCTCAAAGTAACGTGTTATCTGGGGTACTCAACGTGATATCACCACTTGACATTTTGGTCAGCGAGACAGGCGACCCTTGAAACTTCAGAAGTAGTTATGATTAAGGCAGGCGAATGGCTCGGTTGGTAACGAGCTTGGCTCCCGTGGCAGGGGACCCAGGATTAAACCCAGTCAAGTCCGGCATGCTTGGAATGAGAGACCCCGAAGCAGGAAGCACTCCCGTCCAAGTGAGGGTCGTTGACCCTTTCACGTATGAAATTTTCAGGCAAAAGAAAACTATCCACATTTTGGTTTAACGTTTAAGGAGGTACCCTGTTGCAATAGTCGCATGTTTCATCGCTAGAAAGCAACACTGAAGAGATTACTGTATGTGTACTTGAGTGAATTGAATGCACCAAAAGTTCCGAGGTATGTGTATCATGGCTGAAAAAACATCATCATCGTCTACAATTTGCTGTCCACTATAGCAGACACCATGCGTGAATGGGTTAAAGATCCTCAACGATGTTACGATGAAGACCGATCCCGGGTAGCGTATCCCCGGAGTCAGAGCCGTACCGAGGGGGGTTCAAGCGGTGCGCCCGCACAGGGCGCCGATTGGCTGCCATATCCCTGCAATATATAATACAATAACCTTTAAAAAAAATTGCAAAATATTCTAAATTTAACTAAATTTAGCACAGAAATTAATACGTAATGTATTGTTGGTGCTGGGGAAGCTGGAGAGATATAGAGGGGAGTGGGCGGGATATCTCACAAAGGACGCCAAACATCCTCGGTGCGTTACTGCCCGGAGAAACAGCACGGACCAAATTGGGTCTCCCAAGGTTATTCGCGTTAGCTGACGTTACGGGGGAGGGGAGGGGGGGGGGTTAGTTAGCGTTTAGATGGGAGATGGCGCTTCAATCGCTGCAGAGACAATCCACACCTTGATGCAGCTCTTAGAAGTCCCCAGTATTTTACATGTGGTACCAAATATTTTCTCATCCTACGACATATGAGATCGCATTCAAATACATCGATTCATTTTTCTAAAATAATAATCCAACTCAAGGAGACTCCGGGAGATTCTCGCAGAGGGGATGGAAAGTGCATGGTTCAAATAGTTACCCAACTGTGTGGGCGCAACCTCTGATACGCTCTCATTCTTAGTGATGCAAAAAAAAGCACAGAAGTGAAGTGAGTATGACCGTATGAAAATGCGTAGTAAGAGTGATAATGTACGACGCAATTGTGTAAATTCATGTGTAAAGCAACTCATGTTGCTAGAGGGTGCAGTAGGTCCGTTTGTTACTTGAATAAAGGTTCAGGTGCTTCTAGCACAAAAATAGCTGAAATAAAAGTTCATCGATCACCATTATGGAGAAAACTATTCCAATTTCGCGACGCGTTTTATGATTTTATTAGAGCAGAATGCATTTACAAAACTACTTTTAAATGTTTCCAGCAATGACTATTGAAGGGAAGGTAGATAGATATCAAGTACTGTACAGGGTGTCCATAAATTAACTGACCCATTTTAAAAATGAATAGCTTCCAAAATATTATAGATAGAACACTCCGGTTTTATTTAACTTGACGAACAACTCATAACAACAACTCTAAACTCCCTTTGAACCGATGTAGGCGATTTCAATTCCGCAAGCCACTGTACGCAATTTGCTTATTCCTGCTCTGTTGCCATTTTGAAAACTCAGACAGCCATCTTGGGACGAAAAGAACTACTAAAAGTTTAACCTTTAACTTGCTACAAGCCTCAATTGTCTAGCTGGTTTGGTTCCGATTTTATTCAGTTTTAAAAGTAATTCGACAATTTTTGGACGCCTTGTATTTTTCCGTATTTCTCCCATATCATGATTTCCATGCTTACATGAGGTAAATGCCATGCGCTTGCCTGGTTACCCAACCTTTAAAAATAAAAAAGATGCAAAATGAGGTGCGTGCATCTAATCAACAAACTCTCCTAAACATTTGGAAGTCGAGTTTTTTGGTATTTGAAACAGACAAGATTGATTTGCATTATCAATGGAGCAAGCTTCTAAATGGCTTGGATGAGGATGGAGGAGCAAAAAGGATGAGGGTTTATTTTATGTTTGTGAATCTTATCATCCTCATATCACCCTGTCTTTTTGTGAACCACTACCAGTTCCTGGCTATTTAAATAGCCAGCAACTGGTAGTGGTTTTGGTAGTCCCACGGGATTGGACATTTTCCACGTAAACCGGTGGTGTTTTGCAGTTTCACACAGAAAGCCATTTATTTGAAATTTTTTTTATATATTTGGAAAAAGTAAAATTTCCACCTAATGGTCAAACCAAGTAGACCATTCCTTTTAGTGCTTGATGTAACCCTTCCTCTTCGTTTCCTAGGAAACAGCATGCCTCTACGTCAGTCATAGGGGGAGATATGCGGTATAGTCAGAACAATGCGTAACGCGTGGTTTGGTAAACTTAATGACGTCACACATCCTGGAAGTCTCTATTACACAGTTACATCACCGTGTGCTCAATACGCGGACCGAGAACCCGTTGAATAAACATTTATATGCGTAACATTCGACAATGGGAACATTCGATAGAGATTAAGTGAAGCTAATAACGCTGGCTGATGGCGTCCAACGTCGATTAGAACTTGGGAGGCAGTGCGTAGGAGTTCGTCCACAGACCAGATGGTTCTAGGAACTGGCAACCTTATCATTCTTAGGTTTATTAACCCGTACCTCGAGGATTGAGACTCCTTGAGCTGATGAAGTCTTGAGGAGTCTTTGGGATGGGTCTATCGGGATCATTAAGTCCCAATTCCGCATCTTAATCCAGAAATACCTATTGCTGCAACGAAAGTGATTTTCTGTCGTTGAGAATATAGACTACTCATCACATTCCCCTCGTAGGGAAGAAATGGGAAAAGCCTTCGACAAAAAGAATCTCATATTTCTACATGATGGAGAGACCCATCTTTTCGAAGAGAAAGAAATTAACTCCACCTTTTTCCATCTTGGACATTCATGTCCAGCAGTAATGAAAACTTCAGAGCTACAATGATAAAATGTAAGAGAGAGATCTTGACGTCATTGAAATCACGTGTTTCTATGCAAAGGATTTGCATACCAATATATATCTTTTGGTCCAGGAAGGGAAGAGAGTAAGCAAATGCTGTAAAGTTGATCAGTTAATAAAGTAAAGGATGTGCACATAAAAGTAGACTCTAGGAAGGAAAGTTCAAAAGGATTCAGGAGGCAAATAAATCACCTAAGATGAAAAGTGATTCGATGCCATATCTCTGTGGAATCCACTGTGAAGCGCAAATATGACATCCCAGTGTGAGCTTTTTGTGCAGGCTAAAATCGAATGGCTCCTATTGACCTGTCAGTCTGGATTTGTGGTAGTGTGATCAAAGAGATTGAGGACATTTCAACTTCTTCTTGACTAAGTATAAGTAGACCTTCTGTCACAGACCTGGGCTGGATCGAAGTTCCTGATTTCCAGCCAAGAATAGGATAACCATTTTCTCTTCCCAGCCCCTAGTTCTTTTCAAAAAGTCAAAGGCACAAAATAGACCATTATATACACACGTGCACTTGTGTTGTCAGTCAAAATGAGGTAATTGAAGTATGCAATGAAACTATGCAATCAGCCTCATGAATGAGAATGTATTATATGTGCTGATAACTTAGAAAATCCATTCCAACCTAGAATCAGCCACTTCTCCAACTTCTCATGTAGGAAAAGTCTGTGAAGAGCTATGAAGATATAAGGAGTGTTTCAATAAATAATAGCAGTAATAAATCAGCAGTTACTGTGGGAGCACTTGAAATCCAAAATACTGACTGCCAAGGTCTGCAAAATGCAAAGTAAAAATACTTTGGAAATTAGCACCTGAAATACAAACATGTGTAAAACACATGTACATACCTTCAAAAATATCAAATATTCTCCCATCCCTTACAAATGCCAAGCCTTCACAGGCAATCATGTGACTGTCTTGTTTCCTTGCATTTGGGGTGATGATTCTACTTGAATCCTTCTGTTTTGTATGGATGTGATAGGTGTACTATTCAGCTCATCTTAAAGCAGCTAAATGATAAGCAATAAGCTCACCAAGTCAGTTTCACAGATCCTTGTAAACAACATGTATGTTTTGAATTGAACCGATGCTTATCTAAACCACTGGTGTTTCTGCATCAGGATGTTCAAGTTCATGTGCAAGTTCCCAAGTTGAATCTATTGTGATTCTCTATGCCCATAGAAAGAGACAGAAACAGATAAGAGCAACACCTGGGAAAACTATTTAATGCTCATCATCATGTCCAAGCCACCTGACAGAATGGAAATCCTTGGAGTGATGGTAATCTTCCACTTGCAAGAGGATGAACCAGACTAGAAAAATTCTCAGGTTTCATCTAAAGAAGAATTCTGACAATTCAACAATGGTAGTAAAGTTCTAAAAGGGTTTTATCCAAGCAGTTAGCATAAGATTTGAAAAGAATGCACTGACTAGATTGTCTGTGGTTAATTAGCATTTACAACCAACTTCAAACAAAATGCTGAAGTTCCAAAAATGATATATTCTGGTTGCAGTGTGAGGAACATCATTATGTTTACAAACAAATTAGTAGGTCAGCAAGTTTCTTTTTTAAATCCTAAGCAAACTGCAAGGTAAACCCATGAAGAACATAGGCTAAATATAGAACATTTTTCTCTCTCTTGCAGAATGGTATATCACCTTCAAAAATACTAAATCAGGAAATTGACAAATAAAATAAGCGTATCTCTCATGATGCTCAGTACCCGCCTGAGAACTAAATATGGATGCAACATTCATGGCAAAAGTCTTCCCAAATGAAATTCCTCATAGCAAGCACTTTCCCCTCAATTCCTGTCATCCATAGCATCAACCATTTTCAATATTTGAACTTTGTTTCTACCAACAGAGTAATGAATGCAATGAAATATTTCAGTTTCAAATCATGCAGTCTGAGATCTTAAGGGAAAGCAAGAAGAGAGTTAAATGGAAATCGAGTTCACATTACGTTTGGGATTGAAAAACAACAATTTAAAACAGTTTAAACATTTCTCAGAATGAGAGAAGAATGAGAATAAGAGAACAATTTGAATTCTTCCCCTGCAGCACAAGACATTGACTGCTATGAAGCTGCAATTATCATGAGTAAGTTTCATAAAATCAATCATATTGAAGCTCTGTGCACTAGCTTACATTCAGAAAAAAAAACTAATGAAAACAAGCTTGACAGGGGAAAGTTGCCATAAAAAGGCATTGGAACAGGGGTAATGAGACACAGAGAATTTAGTCTCGCTTGACACATGCCATGAGTCTGACTTTGTAGTCTCAGACACAATTATGCAAACAGCAGCTCATGGTCAGGATTGGTAAAAACTTGATGTGCAAGTCACATTGATTCTTCCACTGGGAAAATTTGAAATGCAAGTAAAAGAGGAGAGGATAGGATGAAAAAAGAGAGGATGACGAGTCTCAAGGAGTTGTGAATCAATTATCAATATTAATTGTGGAAATATTCCTAAGGTTGAGGTGGGAAGGTCTTGCAGGGGAGGCTCGCTTGGCTCGCTGTTCTTGCTTCCGTGATGATAAGATGATCTGTCGCACCATCACTTTGCAGTCTGTGCACACTGTCATCAGCTCTCCACACAATTTCCTGTATTCCCCCAAAAAAGGAACATTCTGATCTGTTTAGGAATCAATCCATGTACAAACGACGAAATTTTGGCCAAAGCATACTCAACAATTGCAAAAACATAATGGTAACAGGGATCCACCAAGATGCTGGGAAACCAAAGTCAAAAAAATAACCCCCAAAAGGCCCCCCAAGGGGCCATTTCGACCAAACTTGCAATCCTTTCTTAAATTATTACCTATTTATTATATGAACATGATTTAAAATTCAAATTTATTCATATTGAAAGGAAAACCCCGAGTATACAATCTTTATGTTCTCAAAATGTCACATTTTTGTGGCATTTTGCTTTGACATTCTTGAATTCGTGGTGAAGAATTAGGCTAACCACAAATTAGCGCAAGTCCCACAAATGTGCCGAGTTTCAATGTTCCAGAGATATTCTTTAAGTTTTAAGTCACAATTTTAACATTTTTAATGGAGATATTTGATGTTATACTTGAAGTTTTGGATTTTTAAGAATCAGAGCCCCTATTACGATTACTTTTTTTTTACAAATTTTTCCGAGATGATCGAGCATAACATTTTCTTTTCAAAAAGAGGTCCTTTTTTTTAGCGTGGAATGACCCCTAGGCCAGTTCACATGACGTCACCCATTATAACCGAGGGATCTTACCGATTATTTGAATTGGGGAGTGAGGAGAGGTTCATCTCCGCTTCATTCGACTCCAAACCAGACAGCCGAGGAGAATTCGGAGCACTTCCCGCCAAATTTCTGAGAAATGGAAAGGTAAGGAATATTGACTGGAATATTCTTAGGAGACGAGGAAAAGAGACGGCAGAGACCTGGTGAATTTCGAGGTGTGTGCGGGCATGGGACTGAGGCGAGAGAGAAAAGACTTTGCCCCGGACCTTGACGTTCCGGTAGGCGTCTCCTCCTCCGATGGCGACGTGGGACTAAGGGCGAACACGGGGATCCGTGAGAAATGCTCCACGGGGATGTTCATCTGCAACAGAAGTAGGAGTACCCACTTATGTCAGCACAGATATGGACGACAGTAACGTCTGCTTCTCTGGATTCTCTCTCTCACCTTGGAGCAACACTTGGCGCAAATCCGCTGCTCACACAATCGACATTTCTTCCTAAGTGAGCTGAGGATACTAAGTTTGGTTTTTCGGCATGAAAAGCAAATCTGGAATGATGAAAAGCAAATATGGAACCATGAAAACATATATCATGCAAATTGGGAATAAAAAAGGGAATTTTCTTCTCTTTTTTTCCCCAAATCCGAGTCTTCTCGTACCTGTCCTTTGGCGACAGCGTTGTACAACTTCAGATCAAACAAGAGCGTCTCCAGGTCCGCACGGGTTAAGACGGTCCGTATGTGAACCACTTCTTCCAAAGTTAGCGATAAGTAATCGATCGGCTCCTCCCAGAGACTCTGACATCAAGCATAGTACGCAACGTCATTCAAGCCAGCGAAGCAAATCAAATCGCCTCAGAAATATAGAAGGGGGGACGTACGGAATTGAGGATGACATCTTGGAATTTGGTGGGATACGAGGTGGAATTAGGAGATTCCTCAGCATGAGACTTCTTTCTTCTTGGTCGAGGGGTAGGATACTGGCACACCGAAATGCTATGTCTCCTTTCCACCTTACCTTCGCTGGATTCCGTTGACTCTGTCATCAATATTAAATTTCATTTTTATAAAGGAATCATGGCCTTTAGCGATCTCACGAGGAAATGAAAGGTACAGACCTCTTCTTTTGGGCTGATGTCGACCACCGTTCTGATTTTGACTGGGCTCTTCGTCGCTGAGATCATCGTCGCTATCATCATCCTGAAACATAAGCACGCCATGTTTGACAAGGCCAGCACATTTTGAGATCTTTTCTTCCCCTTTTGGGAGCTTACCTCAAAGTTGGGCAATCTTGCCAAAGCGTCTTCGGCTTGCAATAGTCGCCTTCTCGGCTCAGGAGTCGGCTCCGAATCATTGAATTTGGTTCTCGAAGTCTCCACTGACAAAAAAGAAAAAGAGAAAGAAGAGAATGAGCGAAGGAAAAAGTTATTTACACGAACGACCTATCACCATGATAACAAAAGAATTCTTTTCATGCTCGCCGCACAGTATTTGCCCCCAGGGTAGAGCTACCTCGAGGAGAAGCTAACCACCATCATCATCACCAGTTCACACAAAATAAATGGACAGGACGCCCTATGAGTCGTTTGAGAAATGACAAGAGGCTCAGGGCCCTCATCGACGAGAAAGTTTTCAAGAATTTGGAGATATGCCCTGAGTGAAAGTGCGGGAAAAACCTAATTTCATCTGAGAGTCTCTGGAATAGCATGGAAAGAGGATCTTTCCCTGCGTGTGATTCACGAATTCATTGCCTCACGCAAAGGTTTTATTTATATTTTGAAGCGACACGAACAAGACAGAGACTGCAATACAATGAATGGAGGACGATGAGAGTGGCTTTTGTTCATCGCCAGAATATTATATTGCTTCAAGGAAGTGGCACCTAACGAAAGGCACAAAGAAGAGATTCCAAGACGATGTTTCCCAATCCCCCTCACACGGAGTTCCTGCATCCTCAGATGAATCACGACATCCCCTGCTTGGAACTAATAGTAACTTCACAGGTTCTCGATTGGTAAACTGCTTGAATGGCAGAAATCAACGAGGTCGAGAAAGGAGGACCACAATGGCGTAATTACTATAACTGCAACCAGAAAGGTAATCATGAATAGATTATTACAGTTTCCTCGAAACTTGACGTCAACACAGTCTAAAAGTGGCGTCAATGCTTTCCAAGAGCCGTTCCTGACATTCAAAGAGGGGGAAGGAGAGCTCAATGAAAGTTATTTGAACAATCACCCTTGCGCAAGGTGAGTCCAGGAAGCCCAATTCAGGAGCTGATACATAGTCTGAGCCGATTTTGTTGATTGCAGATTGCGTCAGCTTCTGAGAGAAAATGATTCAGCAATGCTGACAGTCCCCCGAGATGCCGGTGGGAGTGAATATTGACGGAAGAAGTCCATTCCAGAGGACAAAGTCCTCTCGCTATTTCCCCTTCCATTCTACTTTTCAATGACCACTCTTTCTCCCTCCAGTCCATCAATTTGAAATCAGGCCATGGCACAAATTAGGACAGCCGAGACCCTTCTTCTGCAATCATCAGGGCACTCATTAATTCTGAAATGGAAAGTCTTGGCTCCGGGGGCTTCTGTTGCACAGGAGCTGTCTCGTCTATCAATCCCAGAGCCTGGATTATGGCCCCAGGCTGCCTAAAGGCTTTGCAAATTGCCCCCCCCCCCCCCTTTTTAATATTTACCTTCTCTTCGAATAAAGTTCAAAAGGAACACTCGAAGCGAATGTGATGAAGAACTGTCTTATCTTTTTTCACCTCAAGAGAAAAAACCTATTGGACAAGATGTCAAGAGTGAATTCATGTCGGGCACTCAAGTTACGCATCCATACTCAAGATTTATCCCGTATCGTAGGTGTATGGACACTAACTTGATCAAGACCAAGAAACACGATGAAGAGAATGATTGGTCCCTGTAGTAGTTTCAAGGAAGAAAGACAGAACCGTTCCTCCAGGACGATTTCTTTGGTCTAGCTCTTTCTCTTGACGCACACGCACACCCTCACTATCTCTCCCTCGCATGCACTCAATTTAGCAGGCTCAGGCTCACTTATGATGAACGCGTAACGTCTATCAGGGACGGCTTTCCTCAAAGACACCTTTAAAAAAAAAACAATATTGCGTGCGCTATTTGTGTCTGCTTATCGCAGTTTTCATGGGAGGGGTGCCTCATGGCCATAAGTACCTGTTGACTCATCCTGTTCCCCATCAATATCAATACAACTGTGTCACTTGCTGAGGCTACAGAGTCGCTGCAATCAGACTCATCTGAGAACCGATGTAGCAGATAATATGACCCCGACAACATCGAATTACTGGGATGCTTGGCATCTGATCAAATATGCACGCTTTTCGAGCTCTCCTTGGAGCCACTCCCATTTCTCGAGGTCACCAACATGCTCTACTCATTAACACAAAGGCGCAGGAATATCTGACGTCCTCACGTCCGTCGGACCACATGATTGATCCATAGAGGCCAATTCCAACCTTTCAATTTAGTAACGTTGCGCGAGGTCACACACCGTACCGCAGTCTCAAGTAAGATACTTGAATCGCCATACCTGATATATGTACAATGGGGATATGCATGTGATCGTGAAAACGTCGATCCTCCAAGATCATTCTTCACACAGTCATGCCACACGTCGAAGACAAGAGGACTGAACCGCTCCCGCTTACTACAGCATATGGCATTCACGATCCAGGATAGGATTCACACAAAGCTGGTTGGCTTGGCTCGAGCGCATCAAAGAACCGCTAGTCGGGCGACCCGTAGCCGTGAGCTGAGATGAAGCAGCACTTTCACTCAGAAGTCAAGCCTCTCAAAAGGGACGGATTATGAAGCCTTTCTTCACCTCTGCCCACACTCTTCGGCTACCAGTACCCACTACTGCGTCCGCGCTAGATTCCGCCCGCGTCATTTCGTGACTCCTCCTCCCAGTTCTTACATAACACAGTCTTTCTCTGTGCTCAAATGATGCTGTCCATTCCCTTTCACCGGCAAGAGCACGAGCGCCATTCCTTAAAAGACGTCGCAGAATATGGACTTCATGCCTCTCTCATTTGCGACACCCAAAAGGATCGTGAAGAGTAATTCGTAACTCGGGGTGGTGCAAACTTGGTCACGGGAAATCGAAAGAACTGCCTCCAAGTGTGCCAAGGAATTTCAAGACCTTCCCTTTATATGATCGCGAAAACTGTTACTGAGTTGAACAATGATGGAAAATTGTGATTTCAGATAACTGGATAGAAAATAATGGAACATTAAGAATCCCGATGGTGCAATGATATTGAAGTTAGCCGATATCCAAGACCCAAATTCCCGGCACCAATTGAGAAACTATGTATTCGAGAGAAACTGCAGCAAACTACTAAGATAACGTGTTAAAAGTCAAATTAGAGTCCCCATATCCTCACAACTGCGTAAGTTAAAGAAGTGCGGGAACTCAAGATTTGAGTTGGCACAATAGTAGTCTTGACTAGAGATCCATGATAAAACGTAAAAGTACTTCTGAGAGCACAATACTCGATATTGATAATTCGAAGATCGGCAAAAGCGACTATCATCAGTCTATACTTGAGAAGAGCGATGGAATCGTTACACCTCTACTATGGTTTCTCCTATTTAAGAACTTATGTAGAAACGGGCTCCAGGAACATGGACTAACTGCGCTTAAAATTCAACTAGACAAATGACATCTTCATGGATTAACTTGCCAGGAAATTCATATTACACAAGGTGAACGGACGATACCAAGATGAGCCAAATGCAAAATACGTCGGCCCGTTATTCAGATTGAGGATGGCGTGACAACGAGACGCATTGATTTCAAAGGTTACGGGTCAGTTGGAAAGTAAAGAGATGAAAAGAGAAGCGCAGCAGTTTATTCCGAACCAGATGGATGTTATTTCTTGCACAATCTCTCACGTTCTCACACACGTATCATGACCTCCTCAATCCAAAAAAGAAAAGACTGTTACTTTCATGATGGATAAGAAGAGAGCAGAGAGTGGATGATCCCATGCCACCCATTGACATCTGTCCCCCAGATGACCCCGGTGACGAAATCGGGGAAGATCACTTCACTTCCTCTCGGAATCGTGATCTCGGTTCGTGATAATAATCATCTGCCAGTTAGAATGTTAATGCCGTAGACAGCTCCCGGTTCAGGCCAGGGTCAGAGTCGCCCTTTTCCCTCCCTAATGAGTGGAATGCATTTGCCCCGGCGGATCTGGGTTCTGGAGCTCAAATAATCATGTCTCCAGGGGGTATCGGCCAATGCTTGCCCTCAATGAATTATGAGTGACGCAACGACTAGTCTCTGCTCTTGATTCTTGAAACCGGCTCAGATAGATCTCACATCTGCTACGGTTTGCTGTGTTTCCGAACATTCATGAATGTATCGAACATCGTGCAAAACATTATTTCGCAGTCCAGTGGATAATACAGAATTATGCAATGCCGAAAGGTCCAGAATGCGGCAACAACGCTGCAAAAATGCAAGGTTTCTCATTTTCCGCGTCACTGGATCCAATTTCCTCATCGACAAGGTAATGAATGAGTAAAATGTGTTTCTTCCTTTCTAGCAGCGGAATGGGGAACTTTCCAGACTGCATTCTCTAGCTTTTCTGCAGACAAAGGCGACAGACGCCGAGGAATATGTCTTTGGTATGTGGGATAAGAAGGAGTGAAAGCAAGATAAGGTTTCCTCTTATCATCATCCAGGACATAGATCTGCTAAGGTAATGGGACTGAGTGAATGTCGATGTTCATAAAGTGATGCATAAATTTACCTGGTTGGGTGAGGTCTTGATATTTTATCTCAATGACCTGCTATCTGAGAATATTAATGACTGAACAAACAATTATTCCTCAATGTTTCCAGGAGGAAAATAAGTACCTAATGTTCGAAGGGTCTGCATAGTATTGGGGAAAGTACCTTACACTTGCATGCACCAGCGAAGATGAATCAGCTTTCGTCTGCGCGGTGACCGTAAAACGGAACCAAAAAGGAGTCAAGACCCCGCAAGGCCTTGGACTGCATGGCATGGAAACGCCATCTGTAGGAAAGAAACTCCACTCCGCACTTTGAACAGCCTCACTCAGACAGCGCTCTCTCTGGGCTCCATTTTCCTCTCAATACTACACAGCCTTCAAGGATGCAAGAGCGATATTTGGAAATGCCTTCAAATGGTAACAGGTGCTCACAAATGCCTGCAGAAAGCATGTGAGCGACTTCAAAGGGCGAAATTAAAAACCTCATTTCAAGTAATTTGCCACAAGGGATGTTTGCAGGGATGTCGTTATTTTCAAACCTGTACTGGGTTAAAAGAATATACTGTATACATATATTTCTCAGTACACAAAA